GTTTTTAATATAAAACTTTATAAACAAACATCAAATCCAACACCATGGGGTCTCACAGGCAGTGAGAAATATATTGTTCCAAGCAACAGGCAGCAAATTCTGAGATAGCTGGAAAAATACGAAAAAGACCATAGCCTTATTGTAAGCATTATTTTTCTTATTTCTGATAAAAACATACCTGATCTGATAAAAACTGGATTCTAGCAACTAGCAATTGATTATATTCAAGCATGTAGAAGTTTAAAGGAACAAAATTTATATGGTCATATGTTATATGATTTATATGTTGAAGGCATAGAAAAATAATAGCTTTATTATAATGTCTTTAGGTCTTTGAATTTGGTAAACAGCAAAGCAATATTTTCAGGAAAGTGCATTTTATAAAACAAATGACAAAAAGCAACGATTAACTCAAAATTCTTTGTCTTTGAGATGATCTATAATTGAGTATGTTGATATTCTCTCTCCTAGAATGGATCTGAAGACTTCTTTAAGGTGTGTGAGAAAACCTCAGATGGCATGATCAAAAATATTTTTAAGTGTGAAGTCACCATTAGTGTGTTCTCTTTTCTTTATCACTTAAAAAGTATTTTTTTCTGTTCATGTATATGTGTGCTCCCTGGTTCTGGTCAACAGCTAGAGATTAGAGGGGAGGCCAAGACCTGACACACTTAGATCACGGTAGTATGTTAGAGTAGCCCAAACCGACTAAGACACTAACCAATCGTCTTTTAGAAATATAATTGATGAAACAGTACAATCATACACAGTTGCAAAAATAATATGTAAAATGGTTGATTGCATTTAGTATGCCATCTTAATATAAGTTTCAGCTTCCTTCCTCTGCCTTGGTGACATACTTCTGTCAAAAATAAATGTTTGAGAAACACCACAATGTAGGTTTGTTTGTTTAAAAATTATATTAATGTGCTGATACACTAATACATTATAAGTGAACATTTTCTTTTCATTAGTTATTTACCACATGAATTTTCTCCACACTTTAGTACATCTAGAATTGCTTGTTCCTTGTCCCCTCTTAATCAGATTCATAAAGAATTATTTTTCAGAGCTAGTTATCAAAGACATTTTTAAATATATAAAAATAGTCATGAAGGCATAATGAATTCCTATATACATATTACTCAGGTTTAATAATTCTCAAATTTTGACCAATCTCATTCACACTTCCCATATCTCTCATCTGAATTATTTTGAAGCAAATTCCCTTCATAGAATAATTACATTTTAATACAACAAAATTATATACTGTGCTTAATTAACAAAATAAAATGCGTGGAAGAAGAAATAATAAAAGAAAAGGAAAGAAGGGAAGGGGAGAGCAGGAGAGACAAAAAAGGGAGAAAAGAAGGTATGAAGAAAGGAGGGAGGAATGTGGTTAGTTATTACTTATTCCTGTAAAGATAAATTCAAATGAAGTAACAGAGTTTGCTGTAAGTGCGTTCGATTTCTTTGAAAATGTCTTTATTAATCCACATTTACCTTGAGAGATCTCAGCTGTCCTGCAATGCCATTGGTGTGGATGTCTAGATACTGCAAGCCTTTTCAGATCATGTTTAGACTCTGAAGGAACACTACATCCTACTCAAATAGTGGATGTTATGGAACCAGAAACACCTTATTCTGGCTTTCCTAGACATTTGAAATAAATAATGTAAAAATTGACATTTTTTGTTTTCACTTGGGTTCAAAGACAACTATGAAAGATTTAGTACCAACACATAGCCAAGGTGAAATTTCAACCACGGGAGGATCATCAGCTAACTTTTTGGCAACCTCAGATTTGGATCATCATTTCCAAAGCATAAAATATAGAACCCCATTCTTATAGAGGCTGGATGAATAGATAAGAATTTAGCTGCGTTGAGGCCAAGACTTTCAGCCTTTTATTAATGACCCTTGACTCTCCTAACCTCCAGAGAGACTCTTTAGCAGGCAAATCTACAGTGTGTCACTGAGAGGGCTAATATTTGAATGGCCAATGCAATGATTATGGAGTGAGGAATTGTTTCCAATAAGACCAAATGCTGGTGCTCACTTCATTAAAGATCAATGGTAGGAATTTCAGAATAATGAGCACCTATGATTCTGGTGCTTCCTTAGTGTGGCCTTACGTTTCCATGATTAGAATTAAGCAGTCAAACAGTAATCTCCAGTGCAATCATGTACATCTCCTTTGTTGTTATAAGTGAAAATTATGATATTCCACAGTCAGCTCTGCTACATGATAAACCCTGTGAGTTTAAAGTAGTAACAGAACTTTGGACAATTACAAAAGCCCACCTTTACAGGTATTAATGATATACATATAGCAAAAGCCATTATGAGATCTTAAAATTGAACATTTGTATCCTCAGTGTCTCCGGCATTGGTATTAAAGAGGAGTAATCTGGGAAAAATCTGCTGGCTGATAAAAAAGAGCAGGGGAGTGAATATTTGAATTTCACAGCAAAATCTGCAGCCTTACGAATATTTATAATGCCATTTAATAATCTCATGCATCACTTAATTCCAAGACATTTTACCTTCAAGAGGAACTTATGGATTTAAAACAAAAACTTGAAACATGCAAATCAGCACATTGCTAAATATAATAGGTAGACATCTGAGTTTACATACATATTTTAAATACCTATGTACATCTACCTATATGCATATAAATTAAATATGAGGACATCAGGAATATAAGAACTTAGCCTTGGTATTTAATTACATTAAGGAATCATGTTAATTGTTGCAGGTAGACAGTTTTATTCCAGTTTTGTTTTTAACTTCTTATATTTTAGAAATGTGTACTGAAATATTTATAAGCATAGTGATATCTTGGATGCTCCAGAGCCAGTGGTATAGAAACAGGGAGAATGGCTATTCTGGAACACAGAGCTGCACTGATTGTCCATGAGTGGATAATTACTGAATCCAAGAAATGGGTGCACAACATTTATTATGCTACACTACCTGTCCATGTTTTTAAATTTTTTCTCATTCTAAAACATTTTGGAAAAAAATTTTTCTCAAAGCCTATTTATCAATACAGTAATTTGTTTATTAATGAGGCCCATAGTTTGATAGATTATTGATTATGCTCCAGGAAGAAAACACCTCACATGTCCGCCATGTCCTGGGTTGGAGGATGGAATGATTATCCCTGATACATCAGGTCCTAGGCTTTCCTGATGACAGTGCTCCAGTTTGAAGGAGAGAAGACTAGTAGAACTTGTTACATTAGAGTTCTGAAACAATAAAAGTGTTTTAATAAAGAATGGGAATGGAAAAGGAGCAACTGCATATTTCATATGAGTTCTCAACAGTCAGAGCATGCTTGGAGAATAGGGGACTTTTTAAAGTTTTTTTTTAACTGGAAATTCAGATTTACAGAGAGGAGAAACAAAGAGAAAGATCTTTCATCCACTGGTTCACTCCCCAGATGGCTGCAACGGCCAGACCTGAGCCGATCTGAAGCCAGGAGCCAGGAACTTCTTCTGGTTCTCCTGCACAGGTGCAGACTTCCAAAGCTTCAGGCCATTCTCGGCTGCTTTCCCAGGCCACAAGGCAAAGGAGCTGGATGGGAAGTGGAGAAGCTGGGATAGGAACTGGTACCTGACATGAACAAGGCGAGAACTTTATCAAGTAGGCTATCATGTGAGGCCCAAGGGAACGTTCCAATAAGGAAACCCATCAAGATCTGGCTAAGAGGTGAGCTTATTATTAGGTTGTGGAGTTCAGCACCAACTTCCAAATACACGTAGGAAAGTGTAGGGCCCAGAGTTGGAGCTTAAACAGCCCTGCCTATTTCCCTACTTGTTGCCTCCACCTCCCTTCTGAGTCCACAAAAAGCTGAGTCTTGAAGGTCAGGATCCTCCAGCCTTCATTACACAGCAATACTAGCATGTTCCACGTTAAATCAAACATATATGGGATTTATGTTTTTAAACAGTAATGAAATAGCAAGCAGGAAAAAGTGATAGAATTAGCTTTGTCTTTCTATTGCTTCTCGGCCTTTTGGCTAAGATCAAGTGCAGCTATGTCTTTCTTACATTCCAGAAGCAGCAAGAACCCAAGTGGGAAACAGAAAGAGGTCTTTGGAAAGATAATGTCTGTTTATTTTTCTTCCAGAACTCCAAATAGCTGCCTTGACATGGATGCTGCCCTGTAACTGCTCCCTCCTGGAGACGTGGAGGTGTTTACAGAAATTGAAAGTTCCAGCAGTACATTTCCATGAGCTCACCACCAGTTTCAGCTGTAGCTTTTAGAGTTCACGTGTGTAAATGAGAATCCATGCAGGTTAAACCCAGCTCTCTGATTGTTCTAATTACAAACAGAGGCATAGAGGTGAGGTATTTAATTACTGCGTCCTCAGTCTACCTTGAGAATCTCTACTTCGGTCACTATTATTCAAAGCAACTCTAATGCTGTTTCTTGCCTGCCTCTTTATGCTAATCAGCCTAGTCCACTTGGCTCCTCCTCCTTCCAGCCTCCCTTAGGAACTGTACACTTCCAGCTGTCACTGTTGGTAACTCAGACCAGACTTGGACACCAGCTGATTTAAATCAGCAAGACTTTTCCCTCCTCACGTGTATATTATTTTACAGTCCTCTCAAATACTGGAGGCTCTGGGTTTCATGTTAGCAGGAGGAATCAAAATTGTCAAAAACTGTAATCTTTTAGGAATAATTAGTTTGTAGGATTTGAACTTTTAAGGAGGGAAGTTTCAGTTTGCTTTGAAGTGAAAGAAATTAAGTGACATTTTTAGTCAAATGAATTGGCATTTTCATACACAGAAACCGCACTGGTAAATATTTCAGAATCCTGAGCAGTGAAAAACATGGACGTTTATGAACGTGGTAACTGCTTCCCATGCAAGAACAGGATCTGCAAGTGCCTGTTGCTGCTGGGTGTCTCCTGCAGATCATTGTAGGTGACTAGCCAAGGGAAGGAAATGCTCTAGTGATCCTGACTACAGCCACACTGCAGCTACCATGTCCACTGGGCAAAGAGCAGGCAGCTGCCACCTATTCAACAGTCTGTGTGTGTGTAAGCGGAAGCTGTCGGAGGACGAGCCACAGCAAGGTGAGTCCTTCGGGATATCTGTCTGCATTCCTTGAAGAACAGTGGGCTGAAAATGTCCCTGGGGAGGTGCTGGTTATGACCTGCCTTGGAGTTGTCCATTTTTAAGCTCTGAGGATAGATGAGGTAATGATACACAAGGGAGCGTTGACTTGGATTACTGACTTTTAAAGAACTCTCAAAATTCACATGACTAACATGAATGCAGATGCCATGGATCTGTCATGCTGAACTTAATGTTTACATGTCTGAAACTACTGTCAGTTTTTCAGATGAAGCTAGACTTTGTGTAACTCAAAACACCCTTCAAGGAATGGCTGAATAAGCCACATGGAAAATTCAACTGAGAGCAGTTTTACTTTAGCCTTTAGCCTGGCTCTTAGGAATTAGTGATACGCTTATGTACTTTGCTTGAGCCTAATTTTTTCTGGATTTCTGGCTCACTCATTTGTGAGGAAACTCTAGTGGTCCAGGGAGAGCTGGAAGAAAAGTGTCAGACTTCACTTACTGAGCGTTCATCTTACCTCACAATGATTTTCACTATTAGTCTTCTACAAATTTTGAATTTACTTTACAGCCAGCAGCATCAATGGCAGCTGGTTAATGTGAGTAGAAAAGCTGATCCCTCCTGACCACTCTGTCAGGGACGGCAAGCCCCCTCTTGGGAGAGGCTGGCTGCTCCTGTGGATGATGTAATCACCATCACCAACCCACTTTTGGATAAGGTAGGGATTTACCAGCCCTTTCTACCTTCTCTTCTACCACTTAGTATGGACCTGTTTATGTAAGAGTCTAGGTTATGAGCTCTTCATTTTTTTTCTAGAGAAGCAGATTTAGGTATCAATGGCACGATAAGTGCTGGCTGAAGAGCTGAAATGTGATTTCTGAGTGCTTACGTGTGTGAATGTGTCAGGCCACCTGCATGTGTTAGCTTCTCAGAGCTGTGCACAGCAACTTCATGCTATACAAGGCCTGGGACAGTGTGAGCACAAAATACTTCACATTATATGCAAGCAGCTTTTTAAATCATGTTGTATTACTAGGGCTCAAGTAAATTATTGTGAACCAAATACCTGAAAATGTAAAGGCCTGGAATGTACCAGGGTTTAGGATCAGCCCAGTGAAATGCTCTTGTGCCTCTATTACTAGCTCATTCTAGTTGATTATAGAAGTTATTTTTTTTTTGTTTGGCTACTCATTGTGTTTAAAACTTTTAAAAGTAACTCCAACACATTGGAACTGCTGATGTAATAATATAAAAATCCGGAGATGGAATATTAAGGAGATAATAAAGAAAAACCACTTATAATCTTAACACCCAAATATACTTGTTAATAAGTTAATTTATAATCTAGGCTTTTCCTCTGTACACATGTGTGGACATTTCTTTTGCTTCATTTTAAATAAAAATTGGTTTACTGTGCTTTAAAACTGCTTTTAATTTAACAGGTGATGAACAAATGTCCACCAATAACTATTTTTAAAGGTTACATACTATTCCCTCACATGAACAAAGAAACATCAGGCAATTTCCTACTGTGACTTAAATAATGTATTTCTAATTTTTGCAATTCTTTTCAAATTTTATGATTGGGAATAATATCTCACTGTAGTTTTAAATTAAGGCAGTTGGTCTTGATGATCTCTCCATTACTGACCATATCCAGAGAAGCCTGGAAATATCACTATGATGACATGCTTCCCAAAATACCAAGTCTAGTTTTCTTTCTCAGAATGAAACTTTTTGCCTAGAATGTTACGAAAGCAGCCACATATTTTCATAATGAAATCTCAAAATATCCATCCATATAAACCACAATTCAAGAGGTTGTGGAGCATGCTAATGTAGTCAAGACTGGCCATGGACTAAAACAAGAAATGTCATCTAGAGATTTGAGCTGACTAATGACACTGGGTAGTGTTTGCTATGCTGTTAAATAGCATTCCAGTTACTAAAATTTAAAAGTTTAAATTTATTCCAGTCCTGGAGTATTTATTCAATGTAGTGGCCTGGTGTTTTTCCCCCTGAGCTATATTTATACTTTGGTATTATGCAAAGTCCAGTTAAAGTATAAGGAAGCAAAGTCATGAGTCTTAGAGAATGAGGTCTGACTGTAGATTTATTCACCAAGGCAACTAGAGTTCACTAATTGGGCCATCTCTGTCAAAGTAATTTTCCAGATCTCTTACTTAGTTTATAGATTGCTTTAATTGGCACTTTCATCCTCTGAAGATATAACTAGCTTCAACATATGCTTAGTTTCTAATGCTCCATGTTACATTCTAAAATGCTTTAGGCAAACTCCAAAGAATTTTAACTCTCCCTGTTTCACTTAATCACTTATAAAATTATATCTTTGGGGTAAGCCTGTATATAGAAGTCATCTGTTTTTCAGCAATCATCCGGGCAACTGTGTGCAAAGTATTAGACCAAATAAATGCCAGAAATGTGAATTGAACTAACTGAACTAACCCATGGTTTCCTGTCCCCATGTTGTTTATACTTTGTCAATTATGCCATGTCATTCCAGAACAAAAGCCCAGGGAGCATCAACAAAAAACTAGGCAATTTCCTTTATGTTCTGTAGTGCTTAAAAATTTACCTATGGTCTCACATATAGCATCAAATTAAATTCTCACAACCAACTAACTGAAGTGGTATGCCAGAGTCTCTAGTAAAGCTACTATCAATCATGCACATGGAATTATATATGCTATGTGTATATGAATTGAGAATGATTTGTTTGAAGGAGCTGACACATAATTATGGAAACTGACAGATGCAAAGTCTGCAGTGTGGGTCAGTGGGCTGAAGACTCTAGCAGTGAATCACTGAAGCTCATTTCTCAATGCTCTGGGGCTCAGGCCATCAGTGTATTGGATGACGCTAACTCACACTGCAGAGAGCACTTGAGTCAGTCACAGTCCACCAATTGCAAAGTAAATCTCATCCAAAGCTAATCTAACAGAAACACCCAAAATGTTGACCACGTATCTGGGTACTGCTGCTCAGCCAAGGTGACACACAACTATTGTAGGCATTTTCATTATTATTTAAAATATTATATGTTTAAAGATAGAGGGAGAGCTAGGAAGGGGAAGAGAGAGAGCGAGAGAGAGGGCAGGTGAGTGATGTGCAAGCTTCCATTTACTGGTTCATTCCACAAATGCCCTCAACATTTGAAACTTGGCTGAAGCCAAGAGCTAGAAACTCCATCCAGGCTTCTCACATGGACGTCAGGAAGCCAACTACATAAGCCACCACCTGGTGCGTTTCAGGATGCACAAAAGCAAGAAGCTGAACTCGGAAACTGAGCAGGGACTCAAGGCAAGTGAGATGTCACTCAGGAGACATCAAGCCTCCAAGAATAATGTCCATCATTGCTCTATAAGTTTGATCATTACTAGTGTTTCACTGCTTCATGTAAGATTAGAGCTTCTACACCAATAACATTGTAATTGCAAAGTTAGAAGAGTTTGATGAGAGGAACTCAGGGCAAATTGAGGCATAGGAAAAAGAACTTTCTAATAGCTAGGTTGGGAATTCAGTATCTTTTCCTCTTGCATGCTTCTGTCTTCTCATTAAAATAAACACTTGCTTAATTTTTTTGCTTTATTAATTAAAAAAAAATAAGTGTATCTGTTATTTTAAAGCTACAACTACACATTATATATTCTTTAATAAATAGTTAAAATGGGTTACTTCACGGACTTCCCTCACGTTACTTTCATGTTTCCTCCAAGTATGATCTTTTTTATAACACTTTTTTATTCCATTCAGCAAATAAAGGATGAGAAAGAGATTTGACTTTTTTTTTTTTTTTTTAGATTTCACTTTTATTTATTGGCTTACTTGCCAGATGATCATAAATGGTTGGATTAACATGAAGCCAGGAGCCAGGAACATCATCCAATATGGATGAAGACATTATGCTAAGCAAAATAAACCAGACACAGAAAGATAAATCTGGTATGATTCCACTATATGAATTATGTAGAAAGCTCAAATTTACCATCAGAAAATTTAATAGCAGTCAACAAGGCCTGGGTGGCAGAGCAAAATGGGGAGTTACATTATGCTTATCTTACAATATTTAAAAATAATTTTAGAAGGCATCACATAATTATAACATCTTCAATCCTTTTATCTTTTGGAAATACTCTCGTGTGTGTTTTGTGGTGTGGTGTAGTGTGGCATATGTGTGTAAGAAACATGTAAAAGCTGAATCTAGAGTAAATTTTGAAAAAACACAGCACTAGGCCTATTGACTTCAAAGATGTGAAAAGTTAAGTTTTGTTCAGCTAGAGAGCCAGACACAGGTCAGACAGGATGAAGGGGTGGGGCCATAAAGCAAAACATGGGATACTGGGATGAGACAGGGCTTAAGGAGAAATGGCAGAAGAGGGTGTGGTAGAGACATGTGGAAGGCCCATGAAGAAAGAAAAGGGAAAATGTGGAGCTGCCAGGGCCACAGTCCAAGTGGCTAATTCCCATCCTGGTAGCAATTAGCAGTGACCCATTTGGCAGCCCCCCCCCCCACCCGAGCCTCAGAAGGGGATGTTTGCCATCCTCTGTCTTGCTAAGATCGCTTCCATAACCCTTTTCAGCCCTAGCTAGGGTGGTCCCTTCCTACCCAGTATGAGAACTCAACTTCCCACAGTTTGTAAATTACCGATCGGCAGAAAGTTAGCTGTGTTCCAGGTGGGAAAGGTTGTAGAGAAAATGTCCGGGCACTTCTACCAGCTGTCTGTCCCCAGGCTACGGTGGCTCTGTTAGACTGCTAGTCTCTTCTGCTTTCAGGATCTTGTTTTTTGGCTTAGTAGGTCCTTTTAAACCCTTACTCTGAGATGATCCAGCAATAAAGTCCTCCAGTTACTTTCCAAAGTTGAAATACAGCTATCTCTGAGGGAGTCAATGCCATTTAAATTTCCTTTTTGGAAATAAAGGATAATGACAACATCTGAAGACTCAGGCAAGGCTTTCTAGAGAAAATTGTGGTCATATTAGAGTAGGAAAAGGGAGTTTTTATATATACATTTTACAAACATTGACTATGTCATATTAATATCCTGGAATCTGGAACAACAAAGCCATCACATATATCTATTTCTGCCTGCCTCACTGCCTGTTGTCTGTCTATATATCTAATATTTACCTGAATTCTTGCCTGAAGATTCACATGAGTGCTATGAGTGAAGTTCAAGGTCATGAACATAAAATACCCTTCAAAGGTGTGAACACTTTTAAAAAGAGAAAACCTTCAATTATTCTGGGGATGTTTCAATTACTTTCTGGAATCAGTGGGAAAAATATATATATAATTTTTTCTTATTTGCTGTTGAGAAGGAGAGAGTGAGATCAATCCCATCGTCCACTGGTTCATTCTCTAGATGCCCATGGTGGCCAGGGAGAGGACCAAGTCAGGGTGCAGAGGCAGTCCAGGCCTCCCACATGGTGACAGGTCCACAGTTACTAGAGCCATCACTGTGCTTTCCAACATCAGTATTGGCAGAAGGCCAGACTCAGGAGTCACAGTATTGGGAAAATGTTAGCGATGGTTACCTAGGCAATGGCACGCCCTGCCCTTATCCCCACTTTCATATTATACTGGTTCCAAAGTTTCTGTATTAAGTATGTAAAAACTTAGTAATTAGGGACAGCCAATCTAAAAGGGCCCATCTGTGTAAGCAAATGGATATCTGACTTGTGAAAAGAACTTTATGATATACTGTACACTGAGCACCTCAATAACTTGACTTGCCTCTTGTTCACATACAAAATACCCCAAATTGCGGTTATAATGGGTTATAGTTCTTCTGTGATACAGCCATTTATGCATATGTCTGTTTCTTCCACCATGAGCTTCATGAGGTCAGATTTATGCGTAACAGAATGTCTTCATATGATGGGACCTCAAAAAATACTTATTTACTCCAATTAGCTGGTTTACTCCCCCAATGTCTACAAAGGCAGGAATCAGGGACTAGGGGGTGAAGGAGATGGGAACTCAATCCAGATCTCCCACATGGCTGGGGGGAACCCAACCACTGGACCTATTATAATTGCTTCCCTGAGTATACCAACAGAAAGTTGAAGTAAGGGGCCAGCCAGACACGGAAACTGGGGAACTTGACATGGGACACAGGTGTCTCAACTGGTGTCCTAACAGCGAAGCTAAATACCCACTCCATAAAATATTTATTGAACTGAAGGATAAATAATTCTTGCCAAAGGCATTCTGCTTCTTTTTGTTGATAAAATTGATTTTTCCCTATATTAGTGATGTAGAATTTTTCCCACACAGCAATAATCCAAACAAATAAGCAAAAACTCCACTTTCTTATTGACTTTGGTTTACAATCTGCTTTTAGTGTCAACTTTGTCTCAGAAGACAATGAGATCTTCATCCTTCACTGACTTCCCCACCTTCCTACCTTCTGGACTAGGTAATAAAGAGCTTCTAGAACCGCAAGCCTAAAACTCTGACTCTTTGAAAACATTGATTTTAGCTGTGGCTTTTCTATTTTATTTTCTATTTTAATCATCACAAAATGCCGACATTAAGACAGGAAACCAAACAGAAGACTTAGCAGAGTATGCATGGAAGAGTATCTTGTGCATTTCTACCCTCAGAAATTCAGACAGCACATATGTTTATTTCTGTTAGCAAGTTTTCAAAATATATAATAATGCTTTAGACTCACACTGTGGAAGTTAGAACATGGTTTCATTACAGTTTATAAGTAATAAAAATATTACCTCTTTTCATTTGAAATTTGCAATGCTTTGATAAGTAAAACCACTGTATAAAAACACTTGAAATGATTCACACCTTCCCCTTGTTAAAATAACAGCTTCTCTTACTGTATGTTTTTATTTCTATTGAACAGCCAACTGACTTTTCTAAGTTGAGTTGATCATTAAGAAATAAACAAACACGACCTTCAATTTCTTGGTCCTTCTGCACCCAGGGACTACAGAAGTTTAAAGAATTAAAACCTGTTCTTCTTCATAATTCCAAGGATGTCTGAGCAACAGTATGTCAAGCACTGTCAAGTGCAGAAGGCACACTTCCTAGCCTAATAGGCCCATTCTGAACTGATGAGCTACAGATAATAAGAGAAATGGGAGTTTAAAATTCAGAAGCCAAAATGTTTTGTCTTGCTTATTGTATTTATGAATAAAATAAAGATATGACTTTAAGTTACCTAGAGATATACTTCTACTTGTTTTAATTAAGAAATTATTTAACATGCTGCAGGAAAGGTAGAAAATTGTACAGCTTTCTATAGTCTATTAAGTGTTCATATTCAATAACAGATCACAAGAATCACCAAATTTAAATCTAAATAAAAAAAGCAATTCTACTGACCAATTGTAATACTTGGAAGAATATTTTATAGAAATAATTCTTTTTTAAAAAAATTTCTATTATTTAGATGTATAAATTGTGTTGTTTATGCAGTTTCCAATCAGCACAATATCTTTTTGAAATGCAATTTGCAATCAACAGGAGAGATCTTTTAAAAAAAATTTTGAAATTTCTTGAAAAACAAATTCCATCTTTACTTGTAGTCACCACTGCAGGCTTACCTACTACAGTTTGGAAAAATAGCCTATCACAAGGTCATCTTTATTCTTCTGCTTAACTATTTGTTAGATCAGGGTGGTGGAGTGCAGATTTTTGCCAATACTCTTATAATTCTTCATAAAATTAAAGCACACAGTTCATTACTAATTCAGATTTTTTTTAATCAGATTTTTTAGAATTTCTTACCGCACACTGCTTCATGATTCTAAAGAACTTACAGAAAGTGACATAGTTTCCACACACTTCCAAAAGTAAACAGAACTATATAGCAAAACTCATGTAGCAATCCCATTTTTAGCAAGAGTGCACGCATGTGCATGGCCGACTACTCTTAGTTGTCAATAGCGACATCTACTGGTGAGGTCGGACCAGGACCGTCAAACCTTATCAAATCGATGCACTAAAGATTTTATATTTTTCTTACAGTGAAAAAAACAATGTCTTTATAACACCAACTCTTGTGAAAAGGAATGTTGATACAAATAGTGAAGAACAAGGTTTGTGGTTGCTATTTCAAGAATAATAGAAATTTTACTTTTTTATTTATGAAAGTAATAGAAAAAGCTCACAGAAAACGTAATTAAAAGATAAATTTATTTTGCCACAAAACATGTTAAAAACCATGTGCAATTTTTCATAACATTTTTTGTGAGATGTAAAATGTCCCTCATGTGCTCACGTGTTGTGTGTTAGGTATATGGAGGTAGGAAAGAGATAGCAAGTCCACCTGCAAGCACTAGCATCCCACGCAGTACCAGTTCCTGTCCCAGCTACTATACTTTTGATCCAGTTCTCTGCTAATGGCCTGGGAAAAGAGCAGAGGATGGGCCAAGTCCTTGGAAGCCTGGACTCACATGGAAGACCTGGAAGAAGTCCTGGCTCCAGATGGGCTCAGCATCTATTTGGGAAGTGAACCAGCAGAGAGGGGATCTTTCTCTATCTTGCCTTCTCTCTGTAAATTTGTCTCTCAAATAAAAACAAAAAAATTTTTTTAAAAAAACAGACATGGAAGGCAAGAAACCAATTAAAAAATACTTGGTAAGCCAGTTGCCAAAGTCAAAATGGATGTTTATTTGTATTTATTGGGGAAAAGATAACAGTAAGTGAGAAGTAGGCAACATAACACTTATCATTACTTTAGGAAAAAAAGTTAAAAATAGGAAAGAATGACTTTTTCATTAAAAAAAAATATTGATCTTTGTATTCTATTCTTTTAAGGTCCTGTGAAACGTTCTGAACACGTTTTAAGACCTGCTACTTTGCAGGCGCCTCAATCTCAAAACTGTAAAAGAGCCAGAAAATCATATGAGCACAACACATTGGAATCCAGCAGGATGACACAGGAAAATATAAAACATAAAGTAAGTACATTCCACTGGCAGGGTTAGCGCAATCCCACGTCCTTCTATGCATGGGTTGTTTTGTGGCCTGGCATCCAGATGTGGGGGCTGGGTGAACTTTGTTTTGTTGCTCAAACAGCAGCCAGGCTGGATGCAGAATGGTCTTGCTGACTGTGCTACCTTTGTTCTCTTCCGGGCGTGCATTTGCCGTGGTGGTTAGATGCTCCCATTCCCTAGGATGCCTGGTTTGGAGCCCCGCCTCTGGCCCTGACTCCAGATTCCTGCTAAGAATCCACTTGCTGCGAAGCAGAAGGTGATGGAATTGGGCTCCTGCCACCCACAGTGAAGTCCAGGATCTGACTGAATTCCTGGATCACAGCTCCTTGCTTTAGGGGCATGTGCAAAATGAATGAGTCAATGAAATCCTCTCTTCATGTTTCTCAAATAAAATTAAAAAAAAAATTTGTCCTAGGAGCAAAGTGTAAACCTAAGTACCAAGCAGTGCTAATCCAAAGGATCTTGTTGGATTGCTGTGGGGTGAGAACTGGAGTTAGTAGCCAAAACAGAGAGAGATTTTCTACATACTCAACTTGTTAACATCATAGTGTTGTGCTGCCTTGGCAGTGTAGCACATCAAGAATCCACTCAAGGCTTGTCTTCATACATAATGAGGGCAAAGAAACTGGCCCTGTAGCACAGGGTCTGGGCAGCCTCAAGAGCCAGGGAAGAATTCTCTCCTCCAACTGCTGCTGTGGCTGAATCACTTGTGGAGACTTTCTTAGGAAATATGAATCGGGGGATATTCTGTTTCTTTTGACTATCTATCCTAACATAACCTGATAATGCAAGATAGGAAGGCTGCAATTTGGAGTTATTCCATTGGTCATTTTTAAAAAATTTTTTCATTTTATGACACAGTTTCATAGGCTCTGGGATGACCCAACCCCTCCCTATGCCCTCCCCCATGTTGCAACATTGTTGCAGTAGTAGGTCATTTGTTTTCAACTAGTTACGGTTACTCACAAATCTTTGCCTGGTTCATTGCCTCTCTCTCTCTCTCTCTCTCTCTCTCTCTCTCTCTCACACACACACACACACACACACACACACACACACACTCAGAGTACAGAATAATAGCAGCACAAGGGAGTATAAATAATACCAACCATTTCATTCAATGAAAAAAAAATCAGCTAGTACTAGTTCTGACTCTGACACTACCTATATTTTTGGGGACAAAGCAGCTGACATTCTCTTTCAACAAAATCAGGTAGTTAAATATGAAGTCAGCATTTATCAATATCTTTATATTTGCAAACCCTTTTCTTCGTAAGAAAAAGAGATCTTTTACCCATTGGTTTACTCCCCAAATGGCCTAACGACTGAGACTGGGTTAAGCTGAAACCAGGAGTCAAGAGCCTCTTGATCTCCATGTGAGTGGCAGGGAACCAGGGACTTGGGCCATCTTCCACTGCATATCCGAAGTGCATTAGTAGGAAGCTGGATCAGAAGTGGATTTGAACCTGGGGTCATATGCAATGCTGGTGCTGCAGGCCATGGCTTAACTTGCTGTGTTATTGTGCTAGTCCTACCACATGAGGAAAATACCCAAATGGGCATGACAAAATGGAATTAAAAGGTAAGTTTATTTTGTGCAAAGTAACCCATGCATAATTTTCCCATAATACTTTTTGTGAATTTTTTTGAAGATTTTGACCATTTTTGGCAACAATAACTGATTCCATTTCCATGAACTATTTGAAATACCCTCATATTTGCCAGCTTTCAAACTCTTGTTTCAAACAGAAAAATACTCAAAATTATTTTTTACCAATTATTATACAAAAATTTAGGTGGAGAGATCCTGTCTGCAGGCCTTGGCTCAGTTCTGGATCCATTTCCAGTTCTGGCTTTCCGTCAGTGCGGGAGGCAGCAGGTGATGGTTCAAAGACTTGGGTCCCTGCCACCCAGACTGAGTTCCTGACCTTTGGCTCCTGACTCCTGACCTCAGCCTGGCCCCACCCCATCATTGGAGGCCTCTGGGAAATCAACTAGTGCATGGAAGAGCTCTCTTTGTCTAGAATATGGAAAACTTTGCATATACTTAAGTAAAATTAATGTTTCCTCATCTGATACTCTTACAGCAAGGCAATTTTAATAAAATTTCTAATGGATTTATGTCTTTTCAGATTTCTGAGGGGAGTACCTATTCATTAAGTGAGAATATACCCAGTGCCAGAATTTCCAACCAGCTGACTACTGACCAACCCTTTTAAGGAGTAACATTAGTAGCGTAAGTTAATACTGGTTGAGTATTCCTTTCCAAAATGGTTGGCACCAGCTTTTGGATTTGTTTGAATTTTGATATGTTTGCATATACATGAGATATCTTAGAGATGAAGCTCAAGTCTAACCATGAAATTCAGTTATCTTGCCACACATATGAAATGTGTGTATATATATGTATTGTAGACACATAATAATGGTAATTTTATACAATCTTTAAATAAATGTGCATTTGCACTGCAACCCATCATGTAAGATTAGGTGTGGAATTTTCACATTTGCACTCAGAAAGCTTGAAAATTTGGAGTGTTTTGGATCTCAAATTTTTGAATTAGGCATGTTCAATACATAAGGAAAAAACAGAAATGTTATTCCTTCATTCTTATCATTTTAACCACTCATGAAAAATAATTTTCTGACATCATATCAATAATTTATCAAGAGATTTTTTTTATGAACACAGGTTTAAAATGCTTTTTAAATTTTTTTATACTATTTGTCATTAATATTAGTTTATCCTAACTGTCTTTAAGACTTGGTAAAAATATTTTGAAAAGATATAACTAAACTTTTATTTAGTTAGGTATTAATAATCTGGTTGTTGGCTTAATGTTCTCCTTTTTCTGCCATGCTTTAACTTTTTTTATTATTCATGATTTCTCAAAATAAGTTGGAGTAACAAAAGGGAAAGCCATATAAACCTATAAAATGAAAAGTTATTATTGTTTAATACTGTCAGTAATTAAAGAATGTTTAACCTGAGAAAATATTGAAGCTAGCTTTGGACATACATCGGCTCACAGGATTAGGTCCTGGGCAAGTACCACAGTAGCACTTGCCTGCTGAATTCAATGGAAACACAGTGCAGAGCCTTGACATGAATGCTACCAAGACAGAGCTGCATGTTTTGCAGTTTCTCTCCACACAAAACATTTTTAATGTTAACATAGTTTCAGAGAATGAAGAAAAACTTAAGCCAAGGTACACTCAAGTATAACTGACAAAGTACATTGGCTTTGGGCCCTAGAGACCTTTGGTTGCTAAAAGCTAGGGCACTTAGGAAAGGTGAGAGTGCAGAGTAGAAATTGAAGAGATTGTGCTTAAAAAGCAACCAGCTAAGGCCTGGACAGCGCCCCCTGGCTAATCACACAGCAATGTGGGACTTGTCTGGATTGTCTCTATAACTGCCATAATAACTGGCAAATATCTCGACTACCAACTCGGGAAGAATTCATCCCAATTTTTCCTTCTTTTCTCATTAAATTCAGATAAAACAAAATTTAGCAGTGTTTATGCTTTACAAAAATCAAACCATCTGATTGTTTTACCTGCTAAGATGTAAAATTTCTTTATTCATACATTTAAAATGGAAAATGCTGATTTTTCTTTAGATGTCAACCAAGTGAAGATAGGAATTGTTTTAAAAGTTACAAGTCTGACTTCATTTTTGGAGAAAACATGATAAAAAGAGTTTTGGTAAGAGTTTGGTAAATGTTTCTATTATCGTATGTAGAGCTGTTACTTCAAACTTCTGAAGGCCAATCAGCTAAAAACAAAACTACCCTGGTTTGTACCTATTAATTTCTTGGTTAAAAGCAAATTTTCTTTCTTTACTATTAAACTTCTCTTGGGAAGCATCACTTAGTTGTTAGAATAATAGAAGTAACCCACTGAGGTAGGGAACTGCTTAATGAAAACTTACTGATATGAAATATTTAATCGTTCTTTAGACCAAAGACACCTAAGAAAACCTGAGAATTATCTGTAATAGATGTTCAACAAGTGATAATATTCTAATAAAGTCTTTCAATAATGTTTCATAACAAGACTGATTTAAAATTGTTTTCTAATTATTATAACCATGTCTTATAAGTTCTTATGCCAAAAAAGTATTATTATAGCATTTTTGGCTAACTCTACGGGGAAAATACTAGTGCTTTACTTGTCTAGAGGAATCTGTACTTGCCAAATACAAACCTAAGATAGTTCCTATTAATATCGTCCCTGTTTGAACGTGGACATCCTTCTGCTGCTATTTGGCCTGCCACGGAGCTCTGACTTCTTATCTCAATGTTGGCACTGTTCTATGATATTCAATTGCCTGACATCTTCATCTGAATGCTTGACAACCATCTCAATTCTACTTTCAAAACAAATTCCTTATATCGTTCCTCATGTCAACTTCTTCTGCAATACTGCTCCCACTTTGATGAGCGACAACTCATTTTTCCAGCTTCTTTGTTCAAACATTTTGGCATTCAATTTCTATTTTCCTCAGTCCTATTTTGGATCATGAGCCTCTCTCTTTAAAATACATGAAGAATCTGACCATGACTGAGTCACCGTCATCCCTCACAGCCCCTTACTTGTTCTTCATTATTCTTACCACTCCTCAGTAGTTGTCATGGCAGGAAGCCATTGTTAAAATATAGATCAGATCATGTCACTCTTTCTTATTCAAAATTCTTCAAAATACTTGCAAGTTTTGCAAATGAATTGCAACATGTCTTAACCAAAAATATGCCATGATATTCTTTTCTCCTCTCCACAGAGCTCTGAGTTCTAAGCACAAACTACAGTAGGGGATTATACACCCAAAGGAAAATAGCGGGACGACTGTGCCTACGGTTTCATCTGTGCCATCATATCACTACTGCATTTTTCACCCTGGGACCATGGCTAAGATGGACCCAAGGCGGCTAGGCTGTTTCAAGATTACCAGTCACATGAAGAATCCTAAGGAAGCTGCGGAGATTTAGAAATCTGTGAGAACACTCAGGTTAATACAGAGATCAATTTGGTTTCTTCCCAGATGGGAGGGCTTTCACAAGTCAGTCTATTTGAGGAACTTGTTTGCTCTAGACCTGCCTCAGGCTACATGTCAATCAACACTAATATTTTAGCTTATTTTCAAGCTGTCATTCTCAGAGTGAAGGTAAACTCATTAACCCTAGAACTGTTGACTCATACTTTTGGATTTGAACCAGAATAGTCCATCCTTCAGCATGAAATTCCAGGCAATATATTTAAGTGTATTTATTCTGTACCATTTATAGATTAGTCATGGCTTCTGTAAAATGTCAGGCACAGTTAAGTTACATTCCAACTTCATAAGATAAACTTTAACATTCAACTCAATTCAGCAAACATGTACTGCGTTCTTTCAGTATATAAAGCAATGGTCTTTATAAGTTTGGCTGTATATTAGCATCAACATGCCTAAACTTTTCCCCCCAGCACCATTAGGTCAGAATCTGTCAGTAAGGCCAAGTGTCAAATGAGTGTAATGTGCAGCTGGTTTGAAAAGCACCTGAATAAAGTGTTAAAGCTACAGGCAACTCCATGTTCTAAAGGTGCATTTTATTTAGTAAAGGAAGACAGAAAGATGCTTGAATGAACAATCTACAGTTTGGGGACTATCAATTTGTATCTGAAATGCACCTGTGCACCTTTACCATGGGTATTTTAAACGTGGCTTATAAAGGAAGTGAGCTTTCCATTTCTTTATTTTGCTAACACACTAAGGATGACAGGAACTATAATTTCTCCCCAAGTCAGCTCTGAAAACCTTTGGCCTTGGGATTTAAGGGCCAAGATGCCACCCTGGCTTGATGGCTGGCCCTATGCTTTTAAAGTGAATCACAAAAATTCCTGCACTTTCATTTATAGAAATAATTATTCTCATCTTTACAGATTTTAAGGGAATATACTGCTGTTCAATGAAATGATAAAGAATCTGAGCTCATAAATGAAAAGATAAAAACACAATTTTCAGAGCAGGTATTTGGCACAACGGTTATGGTGCTGCTTGGGACACCCACCACCACCATCTAAGTATGCAGGTTTGAGTCCTGGATCAGCTTCCAGTTCCAACTTCCTGCTAACATATCCCAGGAGGAAGCGGATAACAGCTCAAGTACTTGAGTCCCTTCTACATATGAGAAAGAACCAAACTGGGGTCTTGGCTCCTGACTTTGGCCTGGTCCACCCTTAGCTGTTGTGAGCAATTAGAGAGTGTACCAGTGGATGAAAAAATTCTGTCTCTCTCTCTCTCTCTTTCTGCTTTCAAATAAAAAAAAAGTTAAAATGTAAACATAAGTTCTTGACTATCACTGTTGGAATTTTCCTATTCTGCAGGTTCTGCACATTAGTATAAATGGCATGGCAATGACTCAGTCCTTTTCCAGGCAGGCTTGGATTACAAAAGATTTATTTACAGAGCCCCATGAAGTTGTTCTCTGAGATAACTGGTGAAGTCTCTGGATAATTTTTGTTTCTATAAGTGGTTAGCAAAAGGAGAATACTGAAATACACTGACATAGCTGCACTTTCAGGCACCAGCTTAGCCTAGTGGGCTCATGAAACAGCTTAGCCTAGTGGGCTCATGTTACCTTCTTTGGTGCCACCAGAACTTTCCTCATTTCCTGTAGAACTAAATCCTGTCTGAGGAAGACTACTGATAACTAGATTATGCTTTCTGAGGATTAGATCCAAGCCCCTCTAAATTAAATAGCGAAGAATTTCCTGTTTAGCTCAACACAAAAACAGCAGATAGGTTTGTTTATCATGTGGAAGTACAACAAAACTATCTTGTGGTTTACTGCAAAGATGAAGGACCAAATTTAGATAATGCATCTTTTTTTTTTCTCATCTAGGGTACTCAATTATTCAGTCAGTCTCAAGGTGAAAAGGATTCTTATGCCAAGGACAAAACATTCAGATCCACTCTGAAGCTTTCCACTAACTGTTCAAATTCAAGTAAGAATTATTTCATCCATTAGATACTTGACTCAAGTAGTTTGTTTTTCATGCCATGCTATGCAAAAATAATCCAACAATCTGGTATTTTATAGTTTTTATGGACATCACGTGATTACCCAGTATTTATAATAAGTGGGGTTTTTAAAAGACTTATTTTTTATTGTAAAGTCAGATTTACAAAGAGAAGTAGAGAAAGATCTTCCTTCAGCTGGTTCATTCCCCAAGTGTTTGCAATGGCCAGGCCAGGAAATTTTTCCAGGTCTCCCACACATGGGCAGGGTCCCAAGGCTTTGGGCTATCCTCGACTGCTTCCCAGGCCACAAGCAGGGAGCTGGATGAGAAGTGGAGCAGCCAGGATTAGAACCGGCGCCCATATGGGATCCTGGCGCATGCAAGGTGACTTAAGCTACCATGCTGGGCCCTTATATTAAGTTTAAAAATGTAACTTACTGTTTTTAGGGGAAACAATAAAGGGAATTTTGTTTTGCCCATACTCAAGCACCTTAATTTCATTTGGCAACATTTATTATTACAAAAATATAAGGACATAATGCGTGTTAACAGGGGCTATGAGGAACTTTAATAGTAAAGAAAATGAGACCTTTTGGTGTTTTTTTCCCCCTATTTTCCCTTAGAAGCACTCTCTAATAACACATCTCTAATCAAATCAGCTACTGCTGTCTTTTCCCAACCATCCCAAAAATGCTTGCTGGAGGAAACTGATGTTCTGAGGGGAGGAAGCAGAACGTAACGTGTTAAAGCTCCGTACACCATCTATCGCTCTTTCTGGTGGCATTTACATATTTGGAATAAAGTTATCACAAGCAAGAACATCTTTAGAAATGTAGAGTGAAGTATAGTTTTCATGAAGACTAAGTTGTTCAAGTAACTTTCTTACATTTGTATGAATAATTCTCAGTGAAATGGGTGGGTTTACTGCTCTTCATATTAATCCCTTAGAAAGAAGACACTTGGGCCCAGTGCAGTAGCCTAGTGGCTAAAGACCTGGCCCCTGGCTTCGGATCAGCTCTGCCTGGTCGTTGTGGCCACTTGGGGATTGAATCAGCGGTGAATCTCCTCTCTGTATATCTGACTTTCCAATAAAAATATATAAACCTTAAAAAAAAAAAAAAGAAACATGACACTCAATAATCCTGTATTACATTTAGACTTCATTTTGTATTTCATCACATTTGCTTTTATGATCAAGTTCATTAGTATATATTAAACTGATTCTACTAACACTGAAGCTTTTTTTTCTTAAAGATTTATTTTTATTGAAAAGTCAGAAAAAAAGGAGATACAGAGATAAAGATTTTCCATCTGCTGCTTCACTCCCCACGTGGCTGCAATGCCACTAGTGCTTTCCAAGGCCACAAGCAGGGAGCTGGATGGGAAGTGCAGCAGCAGGGACACAAACCGGTGCCCATGTGGGATCCTGGTGCATGCAAGGTGAGGACTTTAGCCACCAGGCTAATGTGCCAGGCCCACACTGAAGCTTCTTAAATGTAGATACAGTTTGGTTTCAGTTCAAGAAATAATAAATAATTTTGTTCTCCTTTTGAAAATTTTCAAATTACATATCAAGTATGGGTGCATGTAAGAGCATCACACACAGGATCTGTTGGGGGTATCACTAGCAGGATGGGTATTTGGAATATAATCCCTATAACTTCATGATGGATTTCATTTTGTCTTTCTCCATATTTCTCCCAAACACTCTCCAGTCCTCCTTGACATATAAGGACAATTTTACTTTAAGTCAGTGCGTATCAAAGCAAAACTATTTGATTAGATTAACTAAAGCCATCGTGAAATGACTGCTAGTGGTAAGGCCCTAGCATGCTACACTTTGAAAATTATATGGGTGAATCTTGCATACAATAGTGCTTGAGGACCACTGGCAATTATACATTACAGCTAGGAGCTCTGTAGTATCCCATCATGGTTCTCTGAGTTCTGATGTTGTCTCTCAAAATTTGAAGCATTTAAACAGCTCCATGAGTCTTTCACTTTCAAATAACATAATATAGCTCAAAATAATGTCATTTTTAATATAAAAGTTGTTTACTGTTAAATGAAAAAAACAGAAAGTACATGTGGTATTTCCACTTGTAGAAAAAAGAAGAGGACAAGCATGAGAGGTCTTCAGAAGGGTTATGGAAAATGCAGATTATGAAAAAAACTACGCATGGATTTCAAAATTTGGCGCCAGAATAAATTTACCTCTTAATCCAATTAGTTATTGAATGTTGTATATACGTATTAGCATGTAACTACACACAAATATTTCTGGAAAGATAAATAAAAAGATTAGCAATAGTTGTTATCTAAGAGTGGGAGTGGAAATTGGCAGATGCAGAAAAGAATTTGCAGGGAAGTTTTTCATTTTATATTCCTTTTTTCACTTATTGATGTTTGTGCCACTTAAAATTGTTATGTTTTAAAAGTTAAATATGTTTTTAATGCTGGTTTATAAATTATCAGCTAAGGTTATCTGATAAAAGAGCAAATATGAAAGTGGAACACCATAGCAAATAATTTATTTTGAAAAAATTCTGTAAATTTGACATTTACATTTTAAAAATGTAATTTTTTTTTTAAATTGTCACTTAGATCAACTGCAAGCTTTTTATATTCAACAAAGCAACACAATCCTGGACTGAGAGGGCAGAGGAACTTTGAGACTGAATGACACAGCAAGCAGTGACTGTGGAACATTACAGTCAAGACTGAGTAAGGAATCGTTTCTCAGGGTACAAGTCCCCATAGAAGTATGCACCATATTCGGCTGTTGTGTTAAAAGACACAGCCCTCAAGCAGATGAATGCAAATGGTATCACTCCTGACATACTTCAGGAGCCTTCCATTTCAAGGAGGACGCCATGTACGGTCAGACTTTGTGGGTTCCTGGGCTGGCTGCATGACTAACTAACTGGTGACCTTGGGTAAGTGACTTAATCTCTCTCTACCGCAGTTCCATCCATTTAAAATAGTGATAACTGAAGTTCATGACTTACACGGTAACACACATAAAGCACTATGCACAGCCTAGCACGCACCTGCATAGTCAACTTGACATTAGCTGAGGACTACAATACAGGTTATTTTGTTAAGTGAAAAGTTTTTCTAAAAGAAATTATCTTCCCCATAATTGGTCCCTGATATTTTAAACATTGTGTGGGAGTTGGGCTAAGGATCACTTTCTAGGGAAGCAAGGTGCGTGGGCATTGAATCCTGCAGGCGGAGTGATGATCAGAAGCTGCAGGCAGTCAAACTGAAAGTCAAGGAGATCTGGTGTCCAAAAAGGCAGCGAGCACTGCTCAGAGCCATGAATGGAGAGTGAGTACAGAGAGCAGGGTGAGGTGGGTGGATCTACTGGTCATTTATAGAGGTCGAAGTATTGGAGAAAACCACAGGAAAAAGTTGGAACCTGATCTAATGATAAAAGAATGCTGAGTTTCATATGATCAAGTTCAAGAAGTAAATAAACAGCACATTTCAGATAAGAAGAGGAACAGTATCTTCAGTTCTATCACTAGCACACAGGTTTGTAAATAATGTCACTAAGAAATAGTTTCAAGGATCCATTTTCACTGCCAGCCAAACACAGAAATAAAATGCAAAGTTCCAAAATTATTTGTATTTGTATCATGCAGATAATAGATGCTCATTGGAGAAGACAGAAATAAGGATCAACAAAAAGAAAAAAAATAAAATCATTTAAAGACTTATCGTCCAGAGACTGCCTCTGTCAACAGAGGCTACTCTGTTCCTTCTTCTCTGTACGCATCTGTGTATGCAAGCATGTAGGCCATGTGACTCAGGGTGTTCAAACAGCTTTTGGACCTGATTTTCTTACATAGTATATCTTACTATACATTTAAAAAAATTTTACATAGTAGCCAAGATCATCTTTCCACATTGATAAATATCTTTGTTCAGTATTCTTAGTGGGCTTACAACATTCTCTTAAATGGCTATACTGTAATTTATTTTATTATTTTATTTAAACATTTTTAAAGCTTTACTTATTTCAGAATCAGAGACAGAGAGATCCATCTTTCATCGGCTGATTCACTTCCTAAGTAAATAAATACTAAGGCTGAGGCTGGGGCTGGGGCTGGGGTTGAGGCTGGTGCAGGCCAAAGCCAGCAGTGAGGAACCTCTTTCTGGGTTTTCCTCATGGGTGACAGGAGCCCAGGGTGGTGGGCCATCTTCTGCTGCTTTTCCTGGGCTCCCAGAAGGTAGCTGGATTAGAAGTAGGGCAGCCAGTGCCGACATGAGGTACAGGCATTGCAACCAGCAACTGAACCTTTGTGGCACAACAATGGCCATACTGTAATCGATTTAATTCCACTTTTGGGACACCTAAGGTTTTTTTTTTCTTTTCCTGTTTTTGCCATTGTAAAAAAAAAAAAACTTGAATAAAATAGAGTACTAGCTCTTAAAAGATATTATACACTTTTAGTTGTTTAAAATTAGGATAATATTGGCTTGGTGCAGTAGCCTAGCAGCAAAGTCCTTGCCTTTAACATGCCAGGACCCCATGTGGACGCTAGCTCTAATCCTGGTGGCCCCACTTCCCATCCAGCTCCCTGCTTGTGGCCTTGGAAAGCAGTCGAGGACAGCCAAAAGTCTTGAGACCCTGTACTCGTATGGGAGACCTGGAAGAGGCTCCTGGCTCCTGGCTTCAGATTGGCTTAGCTCCAGTCATTGGGGTCAAAAGGGGAGTGAATCAATTGATGGAAGATCTTCCTCTCTGTCTCTCCTCCTCTCTGTATATCCAATTTTCCAATAAAAATAAATAAAATTACAAAAAAATAATGCAACAAAGATAATTCCAGTTATATAAGCTAAAAAAATTTCTCCAACACAATAAAGCAAATACAACTTGAAAATAAAGCTATAATCTAGTCAAATTACAACTATATTGTGAAAATGTAGTCTGAAAAGCAGCTACAAGATTTGTTTCACTTTTAAAAATGGTAAATTCTCCAGGAAGGCTAAGGGATCAACTGCTTCGGGTCTGACACAGTCACCTTCCTATTTCAGTTATGTACAACCAAGGCAGTTTGAAACTGATCCTCAATAGCAAACTCTGGGCTCAGATGAAGATTGAGAGAGCAAATCACAAAAATTTACGAATAACAGCTGCTGATTTAGAGGAGTATAGCATCAAAGTATTTTTAATTCAGGTAAGTGAGAATTTTCAATAATAAATGATTCTGTTATGTTAATAGATCCATTTATTTACCAACTTTTCATTTTGTTATAATAATCTCCACCACTAGCAAAAAAAAAAAATCAGCCATTCATTCTGAAATTCAGAAATTAATACCAAAGTTTATAGTCATCAATTGCTTCCCATTCCAATATATTATCTTGATATAGGTCATCCAACTTCTACCATTTTTTCCCCTGCGGATGCTATGTAAACCAACTTGCTGACTTCCTGAGGTGACTACTGTCAGGAAGGGCTCTCAGGAGGAGTGCTGCAGGATCCAAACTTGGTGCTTACACTGCACGCTGAGATTGAGAAGGCTTTGCCATCCTTGGAAAAGAACCAGTGAGAAATGGAAAAACACAGGCTACCAAGTTAAAACAACCAGTCCAACAGCAAATTCCAATTCTGGACATAAGTAAATCTCCAAGGTAACAGAATGGGGGCATAGCTTTAGCAGTTCCTGGCAGCAAGAATGCTTGATTCAAGTACAAGATTCAGACACAGAGAGCTGGCAAGTCTAAGGTCCCTTCCTGCTCCTTCTGCCTTCTGTCCCCTCTCATCCCCTGCCCCCAGAAAGGAGAAGCTGGGTTTCCCAGATGACCTGAGCCAGAAGACTAGTGAAGACAGGGTACCTTGGTATCTTGGGCAGAAAGTGACAATACCAGTAGACTGGCTTTCATATAGTAATAGAGAAAAAAATTGTTGGCATGTGCCTAGTGATGAAATGTCAAAAATTTTCACTACAGTAAGTACACTGTTAGGTGTAAGTGATGTAAGTATTATATTAAGGTAAGATTACATTCAGATAAGCTTGCCACTTAGGAAGATGCTTGTTATTCTGCTAGGCCAGGTCCCCCTAGTTCTGAGCGGATAAAGCAGCCCATCAGAGATTGAGATTAGGGCTGACAGTCCTAATTCCTGACCCATTTAGGGTATTTATTAGTGATAATAAAATGCAATAAAAACTATTAAAAATTCTACCCCAATATTGTCACTATGAAGATTTTCATCTTATTCTATATTTTAGTATGTACATGTATGTATATACATATATATGCATATGGCATACATACATATTGTATGTTCTTCAGACAGGTTAGCCTTTCTTAAACAGATTTCATTCATCTGCAAAATGAAAGTAAAATAATATGCTTTGTAAGGTTGTTGAGAAGCTTGAACAGCTAAAATGGCTTTTGAAGTGCACAAACCACATTTCATCTATTAATGTCAATGAGTGTCTCCATGCCTTTAAACACTGGTTTATATTCTACTTTAGTGGGTAAAATAATTCCATTAGGCACCATAATTTATTGCATTAACTCAGAAAACCTGAATGTCAAAAGCCTGGAAACCAATTCTCAGCAATTTGCTGACTACCTATAAAACAAGCAGTTTTACCTTTCTGAACCATTATTTCCTCAATTGTAAAGAGAAGGGGGGAAATGAGTATATACTGAATATTTGAGCTTTTATAATGTAAATATAGGATTATTGTAAGGACTGAATAAAAGAAATGATAACAGTCAATGTTAGTTAGCATTATCACATATTATTACCATATGTTACAACACTGTATGTTATTAGAAACCTTTAAAAAGTAAGTATGGGAAAGCTTCAGATATATTTACTGAACAGCATCATAGATTTAATGAGCTCTGCCTCTCCACAAAGCTAGGGGGAAGGCAGAGATGCCCAAGGAAGTGATAGGAAAGGACTTTCAGTATACCAGCAACAGTCTAAAGTTAGGCCAGGTTAAATTCATGAGCCTAGGACTCCATCTGGATCTCCCAGTAATTTTTTTAAATAAAATTAAAATAGTGGAAAAAGAATTGTTTTAGTTAACTTAAATTCAAATATAATTTTTAAATCACCAAATTTAACTTTCTCAGTTTCAAGTTGCTAACTTTAGGGTGTAGTTTGCTTTAACATCAGCTATTTACCTCTTTTTATTATTATTCATAAGCGCTTATTTATAATCTAGATTCATACCATTTTGTTTCCTCTTAACAGTCAAAGATTAAAAATGCATAAAACATAGTTAACATTAGTAGGTGACTTATGTTCTTAATCCAATATTCTTCATGCAGGCTAGTATCAAAGATACAGGGTACCTGTACACAGCAATACATCATCGGCTGGTTGCACTTCAAAGCTTCAGTAAGCAGAAGGCCGTCACTCAAGCTGAGACACGGTCAGAAGCCATCCTCCAACAATTGGACTTTGACAGCTGTGATGAGGAGGGGGACAATTTCTTCCAAGTCACTCAAAATGGATCAGGTAAGTAACCTTCATTCTGTTAGGGCAGAGGTATTAAAAATAAACTAAGCACAGTCCTAATATGCTAGATTTTTTTTTTTTAAGTGGAGCTGACTTGCTTTAAATGGTTGATGGTTAGAGATGTTTAGATCTGACAAATGATTTGAAAATCACTGTCTTCTGCAAGTGGTGTTCACTGGGATCTGAGCCTGTCTGTCAGCTGCATGATGATTCCTACAGGCTATTTGCCTATAAATTGCATGAGACCACAGTGACAATTTAAACTATTATTCTGTCACTTTGAAAGCAGCCATTGATTCATATTCCTCTTCATATGTCTTCATTCTATTACTGGTTATAAAATAAGAAATTATAAATACATGTAAGGAGATCGATCACCAGGGAACTCTAACTAAAAACCTAAAAAATTCTTGTCTATTTCCATCCTGGAACTTGACCATACAAGGGAAAAACTAGATCGTATAATTATATGCTATTTTTGAGGACTCCTTTGCCCAAGGCAAAAAAGTATTACTTTTTTTGATTAAGTCAGGATTCATAAATAAGTGAAGTTGAAGTGGAGCCAGCAGTCAACGGATTTTAGGTTTCAGTGCTTGCCCTGGTGTGTAGATTTCTCATTAACATTCATCATTATTTCTGGGACAAACTATCAAAGAAAGATTAAGCTCCACTTTGTTACACAGAGGTAGCTATTCTAATAATGTTTTCTAAGTCTGTTCATTCAGAATGAATTCTTATTGTATGGAGGATTCAGTGACACTGTTTCAAAGATAATGTGATAACAAGCATTATTTTTCACTTTTAATAATTTTAAATTCTAAAGGTGCTTTAATTACTTAATTTTGACATAATTTAATCTAATCTAAAAACCTATCAAAGTTGCTGCACATATCTGGATTAAAATATCTCCCTTTGCTTAATATCAAAAATATAATCAGGGTCAGTGTGGTGGCACATTGGGTAAATGACCATCTGCGACACTGGTATCCCATATCAGAGTGCCAGTTCAAGTCCTAGTTGCTTTGCTTCTGATCCAGCACCGAGCCAGGGAAGCAGCAGACGAAGGCTCAGACAGTTGGGTCTCGCCCCCATGTGAGTGCATATGGCATTCTTGGCTCTGGGCTTCAGCCTGGCCCAGCCTCAACTGCTGTGGCCATTTTGGGAGTCTGTCCAGTGTCGTAACCTGCTTCACTCACTGAGTCAAAAACTCAGTGATTATGATTTGTCTTGCTACTTTCCACAAATGGTTATTACTTGAAACATGAAATGAAAAGTGAAATCACATTCTACATGATTGTGTTTTTTAACAATGAAATGTAGTCTATTAGAAAATGACTTGTTATTAAAATAGTCAATTTGAAATAAGTATTACATACTTACGAAATGTGTATTATGTTCCATTTTAGAAAAGGAGTGATATGTAGCTATTTTAATGCAAGTAATGGAAATTGTGAATCACATAAACCTTCCCCCTCCTTTTCAATTAGCATCTTCCAGGAATATTGCAAGAAAATGCTAAAATGTTACAAAAGCAATGAGAAGTCTAAAGTATTAATTATCTAACAATGTCATGTTTAAAATTAGAAACATTTCTAAATATTATCAATGGAAATGTAGATTCCGCAGCTTTCATTTCATCATCAGTAAATATATTCATGAGTGTTCACATGTATTGCAGTCAATATTGTACCTGATTTAAATATTACATTGTATAACAAAATCTTTTAAATTTACCACACAGATCCTTCTAGGAGGACCCACAGATAGACTGTTGCCTGTTCATGAGCACTACTTAAGTATAAATACAACAATTCACAAAAAATCAGCCCTCTTACTGAAAAAAATGAAACCATCTGAGTGAAATGAAAAGATCTTATTCATTCCTTAAAGAAATTTTACAGGAAAGGTAAAGAAATATAGTTTGCTGCAATTGAACTTTTTCTGTTTTCCATGTAACATTTCATTATTGTGGGGAAATGACAGATTTTAAGAACTAAGGGGACTTCAGAAGTTAAAAATTTATCATTTTTGAAGATTTTAGGGTGAGATTTGATAACTAATTTTAACTATTCATCACATTGATGGATATAAAAGCTAAAATTTTGAATTTCTGAATTTGATAATTGTCTAAAATATTTATTTTTTGGTTATACATTGGCTGTAAAAGAAATATATTGCTAGGTTCCCAGAGTCATTTCTTTGAGAAATACTATAATTGCATGATACTAGTTCATTAAATCATACTTATCTTTTTAAATCATACTTATGTTAAGGAAATGTGTGTTTTCATTTAGCTTTTGGATTTTTTTTTAATACCAAGAGTATATATATTCATGACATCAATTCGTTAAAGAGAACATCTGATTTTGGATTGTGTTTATGGAATCTTAAAAATGCTTGGCTTTGAGTCAATACTGGCTAGTTGTTGAATGAATTAATAAAATATAATCTATTACCTAAGTGTCCAAAAAAAAAAAGCAAGTGTATAAACAGTGAAGTATGTTCACCTATTATTCTTTGCTTGAATAAGCTGTTTTTAATATTCCAGTATGTGTGGGAATACACAGATCCTCCATAATTTCATTTATTCATTTCATGTTTCAAAGAATAACTAGCCACTTTTTTTAAAATAGTAAGAAAAATCACATTCACCTAGTCTTCTGCCTGGGAAGGCAGTCGAGGATAGCCCAAAGCCTAGGGATCCTGCACCTGTGTGGGAGATGCAGAAGAGGTTCTTGGCTCCTGGCTTTAGATCAGTGCAGCACCAGCCATTGTGGTCATTTTGGCAGTGAATCACCGGAATGAAGATCTTCCTCTCTATTTCTCCTCCTCTCTGTTTATCTGAATTCGCAATAAGAATAAAATAAATCTCTTTTTAAAAAAGTTATGTAGGTAGGTGGCTTCAAAGTCTTCATTTTGGATTTTCATAGAAGCTCTTATTAAAATTTATTTCCTGGGCCCAGCATGATCGCTTAGTGACTAAATCTTTGCCTTGCATTTGCCAGGATGCCACATGGGCACAGGTTTGTGTACTGGCTGCTCTACTTCCCTTCTAGTTCCCTGCTTGTGGCCTGGCAAAACAGTTGAGGACAGCCAAAGCCTTGGGATCCTGCACTGCTATGGGAGACCCGGAAGAAGCTCCTGGCTCCTGGCTTCAGATTGGCACAGCTCCGGCTGTGGTGGCCATTTGGGGAGTGAGCCAGTGTACAGAAGATCTTTCTCTCTGTATCTCCTTCTCTCTGTAAGTTTGCCTTTCCAATATAAATAAATAAATCTTTAAAAAATGTATTTACCTATTCTTCAAATTTATTCAATATATAGCTAACATTATATCTGTCCATGGGTTTATTCCCCAAAATGGTTGCAACGGCCCAAGCTGAGCTAATCTGAAGGCAGGAGACAGGTGCTTCTTCTGGGTCTTCCACATGGCTTCAGGATCCCAATGCATTGTGCCATCCTCTACTGTTTTCCCAGGCCACAAGCAGGGACCTGATGGGAGGTAGAGCGGCTGGAACACAAACTGGCCCTCGTGCAAAGTGAGGATTTAGCCACTGAGCCATTGCACTGGGTCCTATACCTACATTAAAGTCATAAAAAGCTTCTTGTTTAGCTTAATTATCGATCATTAAAATATTCTCTCTTAAAAATGTTGCTTTGTATGCAGCACTTCCAAAGGAAAGGTTCTTTATCCCAGGAGAAATGTTATGAAAAAGAGGACTACATATCTTCCACAGTCATCACACAACAGGTGGTAAGGAAGGTTGGAAGAAATGCACAAAGATTAAGCAACCAGTTCAAGGTTCACAAAACAAACAAATGCTGAAACTGGGATTGAACCAAGGTCTTTCTAATTTCAAGGCCCAAGTTCGTTCCATTACACAACACTAGGTGAATCACCCTGAGCTAGAGTGGAGAGAGAAGCAGCAGGGATGGAGAGAGGCAAGCGGGAGAGAGAAGACAGACTCCAGAAATGGTTTTAGGGAGAATCCCAAAAAGGTACAGAGACATGGAAGGGCACAGGGTGCTGGGAGATAGGTTTCAGGACCAAATCATAAGTAGGACAGTCCTTTCCAATGCTGCACAAATACTCAGGAACCCATGGACTGAAAAACGTTTCCTAAGTTTCATTCAGATCATTTGGTAACCTTGGAAACAGCAGTAATTAGTGAAGTGGCACGAATAAAGGGAAGACAGTACAGATGTAAACAGCAGGGCTAGGAAGATCCTTCTGCGTCTCAATGTTACAGTCACGAGCACGTTTACATCCTGAAACACCAGGAGGGAAACGTGAGTCAATATGTATGGGCAGATAACATGATGAAGCAATTATTTCAAAGGAAATTTTGTATAAATGGGATCCAAAAACGACTGTGGGTAAAGGGACAACCTAGCTGAAATGTCAAGGTGTGTTGTATGTTTGGAGCTGAAGATGGAAAAAAACCAAAAAATTTTAATTCTCAGCTATGAAGTGGTAAGAAAATATGTCTGAAATTGAGCACTTGGACAGCTCGCAGACATGATTCAAGCTCTTTCTGTCAAATGGATCCATTCAGATTCTTGACCTCAAAGTCAACCGTGACTGCACTTTTCTTGCAGTAAAGCATGTCCAGGTTACCCAAAGTTGTCTGTGACAGAAGAGCTTACTTAAGGTTGTTACACTGGAAGTCCTGGTAAGGAGGCGTCAGTGACAAAACCATGAGAGGAAACAGCAGACTCATCACGTGTATTGCCAGTTTCGGGCTACCTGGCACACAGCAGGCACTCGGTCCTTAGAGCGAACCTTGAGGGAATGTGGCACTGGCAGGTGGCTAAGTCACAGACTCACAGCTGGGGCGTGACAGAACCTGGGGGATCACTGTACTTCATCTCCTCCCCGCCCCCCCCCCATCCTCCGCCTCTAGCTCCATCTTGTAGGGTGAAGCCTGAGGCCCCAGAAACATGAAGTGACTTGTCCAATGACCAAATGTACTTAGGGACGGTGCCACAGCAAGAGAAGGGAAGGGGCAGGAGGCTTGCATCACCCTTTGACTCTTCCCCAACAACCGCTTAGTCTCCACTGATTCTCATTACTGCTCCTTTGTCAGTTCACATGCGACTGTTCCAACCCCTACTAACTCTCTCCCTTTCTCATCTACACAACTTTCCAAAGCTAGATCGATAGTCACCAAACATTGCTTTCCGGCTAAAAGCCTTTAAAGAACTCCTGCCTATAGGACAAAGTCCAAATGACTGGCATTGCGAACTCTTCCCTCTACTCTTTTAAACATTATCTCCACAGCCAGACAGACCCCACTACCCATTGTTCTCCAAGTTCCTGGAAAGACTGTGCCTTTCTTTCTTCGGTGGCCAGCAGCGAAAGGGCGCAATGGGGTCCGAAGCTTTGAAGGACCTCAGGCTGGGTTTAATCTCTGCAGCCTGTCTTCAAGTTCTCAATGACTCCTGATGGGCCTCGAGCATCTCCATTTTGCCTTGGGCCCTTGCAAATGATGCGAACGTTTCTGGGCCAGTCTCCTAGTGCAGCGTGGACCACTCACCAGCCTTGCTTCAATGAACACTAGAGAGGGCGTGTGCCCGTATTTTACACCGTGCCGACGTGAAAAACACAGACCCTGAGAGAACTCCTGAGGGAGCAGGAGCCACATACCTGACTTCCCGCCAGGCGCTCAAACCCCACCCCCGTGTTCCGCGTTTCCTCTGACCGGATGCAGCTGGATTTTTCTCGGCAGCTCGAACGCCAAATAGAATTCCAGCCCTTCCTCAGGCCGCAGCCAATCGGCGCAGCTCTTCGAGCTCCCAACCCGTCGCGGGCTCTTGATTGGCTGACTTGTTGGCGTGGGGGCGGACCAAGAGCGACGTCAGGGCCCGGGGCGGAGCCAGAGATTGGCACCAGGTGGCCCAGCGGCTACCGCGCAGGCGTCCATGGAGCAGGGTAAACAAACAAACAAAACCCACCACCCCGAGGCCTCCGAGGCCTCTTCCCCGCCCACCTGCCCCTCGCGTGGGCGCTGCCGTCGCCCAGAGGACCCGCTTTCCCCGCCTCCGTCAACGTCTGGGCACGTCCCCCGCGCCTCGCGGACCGCGCACGTCCCCGCTCTTAACCTCTGCCCGCCCGGCGCCAAGTTAAAGGCCGGGGCGGCGCGCGCTCCTGGAGGCGGGGAGTCGAGGCCCGGGCCCGAGCCCGCCGCCGCAGCCGAGCCGACCATGACTTGCTACCGAGGCTTCCTGCTGGGCAGCTGTCGTCGCGTGGCGGGCGGCCGGGCGGCGGCGCTGCGAGGTTCGGGCGCGGGAGGCCCGGTCGCGCGGCCCCGGCTCGGCGGTGACGGAGGTGGCCGGCGTTCCCTGGGGCAGGGGCAGCCGCGCGAGCTGGCGGGCTGTGGGAGCCGCCCGGACGGCGGCTTCCGCCCCTCCCGGGTGGTGGTGGTAGCCAAGACCACCCGGTACGAGTTCGAACAGCAGCGGTACCGCTACGCGGAGCTCTCGGAGGAGGACCTGAAGCAGCTGGTGGGTCCCGGCGCCGCCCGCTGCTGGGTTTAGGCTCGGTCCCTGATCGCTCTGAGGTTCACCTGCGCTCCCTCTTCCCCACGAAGCGACCTGGGACGGACGCCCTCTTGCCCTTCTGGCTGCTCCCCCACTCCCTCTGGCTTTCCTTGTGATCCCCTACTCCGTAGATCCCGGGCGTGTGTATGTGTGTGTTAGAAGGAGACTGGAATGCGTTCACCGGGGGACCTCCGGGTAGAGGCTTCCCGAGCAGGGGTCTGTTGGTTGAGGGAAGAAGTGCTGCCTTCTGATCCTGCAGGGCGGGAAAGATGTGGGGATACACTGGTGCGTGGACACTGTCACATGCCAGTTGGGAATAACCATGCTAGCCCCCCGAAAGGCGGGCAGGTGGCCGGAGGGTTTGCACACACTGGGAACCGCTGCCCAGGCCGCCCCGACAAAGTGGCCCCAGGACGCTGTTGAGGCTGGGGAAGGAAGGGCGAAAGGTATGGCGGACACACCCCCTTCTACTGGGCTGTAGGAGGCCTGGGCTCGGTGGAGAGTCTGTCTGGTCAGCCTTCACCCTCCTGGAACGGGGTCGTCAGACAAGGTTCTGGTAGTTTTCAAAGCGCAAGTGTCTCTGGTACTGGGAAAATTTGGCATGAATATATGTGCAACTAAAGAGAAAAGGTCAGACAATGGACAGGTGAACCAGAGGAATGTAGGAAAGGAAGAACGTGCGTCTCTTGTAACTATAGCTCCACCATAAACTGAGTATTTAGTAGGATAATGTCTGCAAAAGATAGGGGGTGGTGGTGGAGGGGAGACCCAAATTGTATCCTCCTGTTCTGGCAATTTCCGATCCCGTGTCCCTGCCAACTTTAGAAGCGGAAGGGTGATCCATGCTGCCGTGAACAATGCTTTGAAAAAATCTCCATTAGCAATCTCAATTGTTACTGGCACAACACACAGAAAGCTTTGGAATGCCATAGAACCAAATTTGTTTAGTTCAGTGCAAGAGTAGACAGTATTTTAGAAGTGTCTGTCATCATTTGAAATTCTCAGTGCTGCAGAGGCTTCAAAATGATAATAATAAATCCTCTTTGCCTGGCTCCTGAATGGGCGTCCATGTCACATATCATGATCTCATTGAAGGGTTCTTTGAAGGGGGTCCTAGCATTTCCTTGATGGAATTTTGGACACACGTTCCTTTTTTTTTTTTTTTTTTCTGTTGCTTCTTGAAGGTCGCAGCCTGTAAGAAGCATTGGGGTCACTTAATTCACAGTTTGAACAGGAGGCTGGGGGAGTTGAGCTGCCAGTAGTCAAACTGGGGCTGACTCCCAGAATGGAGAAGTCAGATGAACTCACAGTGCTTATGTTTGGAAAAAGGGGATGTGTCCTTTGGGTTATATTCCTAATTTTGTTCGAAATTGTCAGATGCCATGTATGCATAAAGTGTTACTCATACAGTTTTATTGAATTCTCATGACCATTCAAAATGCTATAGACACTCAGTTGGTTCTGTGTGGCTAACTTTCTATGCTTTGATTTCTTTGAGCCTAGTGGGTGGAAAGGATACTTTTGTGTGGTGTTATCTGCTGTCAATCTGACTTCACCTAATTCGGATGTGAAGGGCTGGGGTCGGATTAGATGCCTTCAGCATTTTTCTAATGCTGTAGCTTTGAGACTCTGGTAACCTTTTTCAAAGCCTCAAGAAACAGGTAGCATCTGAATTAGGATTAATTGTTAAACCTCTGACCTAGATTGCCATTAATATAAAAATAACCTTGAATGTGAGAGAAAATTAGTGTCTTTAAAAATCAAGCTACCTGGTGTACCCATGGTGAATGGAGAAATCTAATAGGTAAATATTTGTGTATTGCTAGATAATGTTTTCTTTGGAGGGATAACAACAAAAAAGCTTTGAAGTGAAACTCCTGGACTGTATCGTTTTCTAATTGCCAGGCAGGGAGGTCGGTTTTGTTAGTGTTATTTTTATCCCCATTTTCTTGGCTTTAATTCTTAGAGTAGGAATTTGTTTTATAAATGCTGTAAGGCCCGTTCTCTCAATTCAGGGGCCTTAGATGCAGCCCGGATTAGAGATCATGATCAGACCAAGGCAACCTGGCTGTGTGTAGTTGGTTATTAGAGGATTCTGGAATAGGACTCAAGAAGGTTAATGCTGCTGCTTGTGGTTGGGGTTAGGGGAACCAAGCTGTGTATGAAGCATGGGAGTCGGATATGAAGGAAAGTTTCCTTGAAGCCGCCAGGCACCGAGGCTGCTGTGTGTATAGCGTCATGGAAACTTGGTTTTGTGTCAAAGCATTCTATTTATTGTTAGGATGGTGGTTTTCTGATGCAAAGTAGGTCTCTATTAGGTTACTTGTTAAAATGCAAATGAAAGATGAAGAGTGGAGTGCCAGCATAATGTTATATCCTGAAGCCTCATGCTTTTCTAACTTTGTACAAGCATAAGTGATTGGAAGAAATGTTTTTTGATTGATTAAGGATGTAGAGGTTTACATGTTTATTGGCTTTCAGCTACCTTTTCATTACTGTTGCTTTAATTTAAAATCCCATTCCCCCCCCCCCAGTGATAAGCTAGTAATTTGCTAGTTAAGGATTTTTGCCTCTCCTGTCTCAAGACTTTGCAAAAGCTAATTGAATATGATTTGAGTCATAGGAGATGTAGCTGCTGACCAATTTGGAATTTTTATTGTTTAAGGTCCATAGCACCTACATGTTAGACCTTTAGATGAAACAAAATTGATTTGGGAAGGAGACAATGCTAAAAGCATAACCTTGTTGGCATCCGCAGAAGTTTTATTTCAAGCTGTTAGTGCAGACTGAGAATCCCTAATTTGAAAATCTGGAATCCAAAATACTCCAAAATGCAGAGCTTTTGAGCACTGATGCCACAAATGGATAATTGCACACCTGACCTTCCATGATGAATTGCTAACAAAAGACAGAGGCTATTAGTTTATTCAGTGACATCCAAGGGAGGAAGACACTCCCAGCCCCTTTCAAGTTGTAATGTATTTTTTCTATTGGCTTCCAAGTTCCTCTATGCAAGGATACCCCCCAGGGTCCATACAGTACATGCGAAGGCTGTGGGTGCACAAGGAGGTTCCTTACAGTGTCTGTGGAGTCAAGCCCATGTGTGCGTCACTTTTTGTTGTTCTCTGCTTGTGGCTTAAAGATATTGTTGAAGATACGGTGGTGGTAGGGGTTGACTGGCATTGTGGCAGATTAAGCCACTGCTTACAATACTGACATTCCATATGGGTGCCCAGTCCCAGCTGCTTTGTCTATGGTCTGGTGTCCTGCTAATTCACATGGGAAAGCAGTGGAAGATGCCGCCTGCCACCCAAATGGGAGACTGGGGTAATTAAAACTCCTGGCTTCTGCTGGGCCCTGAGCTGGTGGTCAATTTGAGGATTGAACCAACAGATGGAAAATTTGTCTTTTTCTTTCTCTGTGTATCACAGTCTACTTTCTGAGTAAGTAAATAATTTAGAAAAATATAATGATAATGTCAAACAATCACAAGTTGTTCACTAAGTGACTTGAGATGATGATACCTTTGTTTTCTGGTGATTCAGTGTACCCAAAGTTAATAAAAATGTGCATAAAATCATATTAAGTATATGTGTGTAAAATACATTTAGATCCTGAATAAATGTTATGTGTAGATCATCCCCAAGAAACCTTGTTATGTACATGCAACACTGCAAAATTTCAATTCACTTATCTAGCCCCAAGCATTTTAGGTAACAGATATTCAAGCTGTATATACCAAAGAGAAAAACAGAAGTTTCATCTATTCTCGCTCCAATTCGAGTGTCTCAGCCTCAGAGGTTTGGTGTCAGTGTTGTGTGTAGTCCACAACCGAATAGAATCATTTCATTCAGCAGTCCTACCTATTGGCCTTGCCTTCTTTGATGATTTGAGAGGTGTAACACCTTTGCTACAAAGATGTTTCCTTTTGTTTTTGTTTTCTGAATAAGGTGTTAGGGCTTGGGTTTTAGCTCTTGTGCAGTCCTTCTGCCACGTGGTATACATTAAGTGTATTTTATGTAATGTGAATATTTGTCAAAGAACATGATCTGGAGTATGGGCTGAGCCTAACTGAGCCTTGCTCCTCTCCCATCTTCCAGACACAGACGCCAAAGTGATCTATCCGAAGTAAACATCTGGTCACCTTATCTGTTTAACAAAACTCCACAGAAGCTCCCTGTAGCCTGCAGTCACCTAGAGAATTTGTTACAATGCAGATGGGGAAATACTCAGGCTAGAAAATCAAGGATTTGATGATTGACCATGTTAGCATATCTGTTAGGTAGCCAAAGATGTCAAAGAGGTAATTGGGTAAATTCATTTCAAGTCCTAAAGGTAGGTCAGGGTTAGGGATTCAGAATTGGCAATGGCACGTACATCTCCTTTCAAGCTTTGAAATTCAAGACTGTGGAGGGAGATGAGAAAAAGGTTTTGATTTATACCTACTGAGAGGTGGTTAGTACAGTTTTAACTGCTGAATGGTAATAACTGTATTCATCTTTGTTTCTCAAACCTGATTTTTTATTAAAGCACATGAAGGATGGCCACTACCTTCTTTAAAACCAACTATCGATGCTGCTGGTTTGCTCTAAATATGGTGAGGCTTTGCTAGGTATTGAGCTGTGTTGCAGGCTGTCTGCCTAGGATGCCTTTGTTGTTTAACACCTGTTACTTCTCTGGAGCATCAGATGCTGCTTCAGTTGCTCTTTTGAGGAGCCTGCCTTTGTAGTAGATCACGGAGTAAGGACAAAACTGTGTTGATGCTCATCACCTAGTAGAATAAGACAAAAGACCAGGGGCTTAGGTATCAAAATATTAAAATTAGTTATCTGAGGAAAATGACATATTTTAATTTTCATTAAATGTACATCTTTATGTTGTGAATGTTTATAACATTTTGAAATGAAAAACATTAAAATGCTATCTGAAATGGATTTTACTTCATAATTTAATAAGTATTTTTAACATTTCAAAATGGTTTTAAATTTACAAAGTAAAATTTGTGAGTTAGTATGAAGCATTCCTGAATACTCTTCACCCCTTTCTCTAGTTTAAATCTGATTATTATTAGTTTATGTGTCACAATCAATGAGCCGCATCCAGCTTCCTCTGTTTTCTTGTATCCAAACTCAGTAAGTAATGATTTGCAACAAAAGAATATACGTATTGGATAGGTACTTGAGAAATTGATTTTGTATTCTGAAAGAGAAGTATACAATGCGGTTTGGAAGAGGAAAAACAGTTGTTTTTGAATTCTATTAGCATTCACCTCAATGGACAGATTAGTCCTACCTTCTCAACGTGTTACTTTATGAATTACAAGACACATATTTACAAAGGATAACATTGATGATAACATAATTATATTACTCCAGTCAACTAAGAAAATTAATACTTGAAGTATATATGTCTATATATCTAAAAGTTACTCATTCTCGGGGAGCTAAAGAACCCCTTGTTTAAACTGTGTAGGGTAAATTCTCAGTAGAGCAGGAAATCTAAATGGGACGAAGGTCACCAGATTGCCTCTAAAAATATATTTGTCTCAGGTCTTCAGGTTGTTTTAATATACTAGAAAGACATTAAAAAAATAAGCTGTTGAATTTTAGATCCTACTGACTACATGATCAGAAAACTTATATTTGCTCTTAGGAAATTATGACTGCTTGAAATCAGACTTTCTAGTTCACTTCGTACTTGTGAGTTTTACAGGCAGTCAAGAACAAAAGGTTTTGTTTCTTAAATCGCTTTTCAAGGGCTTAATGTATCATATATATCACACAGCAAACCAACATTTTCTTATTTTAGCTTGCACTGAAAGGCTCCAGCTACAGTGGACTACTAGAACGACATCATATTCACACCAAAAATGTGGAGCACATTATAGACAGCTTGCGGTGAGTCTAAAGGATTGGGTCTTGGATGGGATTTTATATTCAGAACTTTCAGGTTTTGTTTTGTATATTAGCAGGTAATCATTAGATTTTTTAGTACATATTGCTATGAAATCATTTTTTGAAAAGCCTGTCAAGGTTAATGGTCCTAATGTTCCAGATTTCTAAGCAAACTTTGTTATCCCTTAAATTTCACAAAGGTTTTCAGTTATTGCTTGGTTAGCCAGAGAAGTATCTTTTTTGTAGTTTAATCAGTGCAGAAAAGGCTTCAATTATGTGTAATATTTTATTTTTAAAACAGAATGATATTGTATGGGTGTTCATTATTTTTTGAGTGACTAAATTACTGGAGAAATTTCTGTTAGTACGGGAGTCAGAGCAGTAGGAATAAAGACATGTACACAGGGACCCAGTATGGGAACACACAAATTACAAAGTATTTTAGTCTGTCACTCAATAAATTTTTGTTTAGTTTTAAATAACTGTTTCATAGTTAAAAATTGTCTAAGTGTTCAGACACTTAACATCACTAGGAATAAATTTTAAAATCACAAGAAGTAAATGAAATTGTAGCTGATCAGTATTGCTGTTTGTCAGTGGTTATAAACATTTTTAAAGCACATGGAGACTTTGATGTATTCATGTGCTCCCTGGCCTATCTCAACTAGTGACTGTTATAATTAAATGAAAATGAAGCTAATTGTACTAATTTATTTATAAGACAAATTTATTTTATGTTGCATATTCATTGTAATACTATGCCTTTCAGCAATATAATATAGATGTTGTCAGTGGAATTTTATCTAACTTTTTCTTTTTTCTTTTAGGAATGAGGGTATTGAAGTTCGTCTGGTGAAGAGGAGAGACTATGATGAAGAGACTGTCCGATGGGCAGATGCTGTCATAGCTGCAGGAGGTAATCATTGTACAGAGCTGTGGAGATGTTCTTTAATGCACACTGCCCCCAAGTACCATGTGGTCCAGCTGTATTAAAACAGTCGTACCATAAAACACATTTTTGGATAAGATTTAACAAATTTCTTTTCAAGATTTATTTATTTATTTTCATTAGAAAAATATACATAGAGGAGGAAAGACAGAGAGGAAGATCTTCCATCCACTGATTCACTCCCCAAGTGGCTGCAATGGTTGGAGCTGAGCTGATCCGAAGCCAGGAGCCAGGAGCTAGGAGCTTCAGGGTCTCCCATGTGATGCAGGGTCCCAAGGCTTTGGGCCATCCTCTGCTGCTTTATTAGATGACAAACAGAGAGCTGGACGGGGAGCGGGACTACTGGGATATAAACCAACGACCATATGGGATCCTGGTGCATGTGATGCGAGTACCTGCACTTGCACTTGTTAGGCTATCACACTGGGCCCTAACAGGTCTTTTTTTTTTTTTTTTTTCATTGTCATCATTTTATGATACAGTTCCATAGGCCTTAGGAGTTCTCTTACCTCCATCCCAAATCCCCTCCCTGCCACTAAGTTACCCTATATTATTACTATAATATAGTTCTTCATAAATAGCCAAAGATATTATTACTATAATATAGTTCTTCATAAATAGCCATACACCCATCATTGTGGGCATGGACAATGACAGAGAGTTCAGTATCCCATTGTCAACTGTTTTGGTGGTAGTCCATCTTTGATCTGTGTTGTATCCTCGCATCTGACATGATAGTCTCCATTCCACAGTTACCATACATCCCTTAAATGAAAAGCCACAGTACAAAATCAACAACGGGAAGAAAAATAGAAATTTTCAATGCCATGAAGTTCTCAGGAGGTTTTGATAGTTCAACAGTCCTGAATTACTGTCTATGCCTCCACTCCAATCACGATGAAATCTCTCCAGAATCCACTGGCTGATAGTCCACCTTAGAGTCTCCATCTGCCCAGATATTCACTGCCAATGCTTGGTTGGAGTAGTTGATCAATTTGTTCTGTCCTCCGTCCTCTGCCATGGTTCCAGCTGTTCTCTGGAGGCTCCAATGTACTGCCATATCCTCCATGTGCATTTGGATATGCTGTCCACTGCTCCATCTGAGCCACTGAGATTATAGCTACAGGCATAATTTGAGGGTACTTCAGAAAAGTTGTGATGAGTAGGGTTAAAATGTTTATTTTGGAGCCTGAAAGTTTTGAAATTCGTTTGTGGTGGAGATGTTCAAAAAGTTCATGCAAAATACGTATAATGAGAAAACTGTACATGGATTTCAAAGACTTTCTGTATCAGAATAAGCTTATCTTATAGTTTTGTTCTCCCTGAACTTCTTGAAGTACTCTTGAGGCAAATGTCCACAAGGCAGATAAAAGTGTAGTAGCCTGTGGCAGTCAGTAAGATGGGATGTAATTGTTAGAACAGAAGTCCTTATTTTCAAGATGATGTCAGAACCTTATCTTTAACTTTTCTTCTATCTTATGTCCTTTAGGTGATGGCACAATGCTTCTTGCAGCAAGTAAAGTCTTGGACAGGCTCAAGCCAGTGATTGGGGTGAATACTGATCCAGAACGGTAAGAAAGGCAGTTGCTGGTTGCTTGTTGTGGGTTTATTTCAACTGGTTATAGATACAGATATTTCTGCTTAATTTTGTATTATATGGACTTATGATCTTAAAACTAGGAAGCTGTTATTTATTTTCTCTTTTATAGACATATTGCTGAGACCTGTTGCAACAGAGATTTTACTCTATGTAAAATGTGCATGCTGTTTCAGTGGAGACGTAATTGTTCCTAGCTATCAGTAGAATCATCTTCCAAAAATCTTTTGATTGATGGAATCTGGGCATGTGGAATTAATATAGTTGTTTCCTCATCCAAATAAATCTGCTCTGTGACTTTCAGTATTTGATTGATTCAGTTCTCCATTTTATTTACTTTCTTGGCAGTTTCTTAAATATTTTAAATCATTATCTTAAATCATTATCTTTCTGAGCAATTTGGATCAATCTGACCATCATCATCCTTTCCATTCCAACGTTAGCATTACCAAGGTCATCTAGGGAAAAAGAAGTCATAAAAACTTGGGTTTGGTGGCACTTCTCCAGCACTTAGAACTGGACTCTGACAATTGCTCAGAAGCATTCTGTGTAGTCCTAATCATCTCTCATTACTTCAGACACTGAGGACTTAGAGATGTTCATACTTAACATCGATCTTAATTTATTCTTAGTCTTACAGTGTTCTTCCCTACTATGGCCAGTGTGGTCTTTTTTTATAGAAGCTTGATATTTTGTGACTTCTCGTTCATGGTGTTAGCTGGCTTCCCTTCTAACTTAAATAAGATCTAGTTCTTTACTGTGTCTAGGGTGATGAGCTTAAACTGGTTTGCCTGACATTTTGCCCAGCTTTAGATCTACAAGTCTTGTGTTCCATTGTCGCTCTGAGGGACATTTGGTCAACTTAACTATGACTTAAGGCTCTTGATTATCTGTCATCTCCAACCTCTGTTCTTAGCTTCCGTTATTTTTCCCTTTCTCCTATTCTTTATCACATTGACTTCTACTCGGATGTATCTAGTGGCATTAACAATGGGACAATTTAATTCGACGACAGATGAGGTTCCTTTTCCTCTTCTCCACCATTGTGCTTTTCCCATGTGCATAAGCAGGGAGCTGGATCAGACATAGAACGGACAGGCTATAGACTGCTGCCTGTCTGGGACGCCAGCATTGTAAGTGGTACCCTGTAGCACCACAGTGCTGGCCCTGGACTTCGATTTCACTCTGATGCATATAATCCTTTCAAAAGCCCAAACATTTTCAACTTAAATTTTCTACATTAGTTAACAAGTGCATTATATAAAAAAAATCACCCAACTTAGAGGCTTAAATATTATTAATCACTTTTTAAACTTCATTGGTTCTTTATGTCAGGAATTCAGGAGCAGCTAAGGTTATAATCAGATATTACTGGGATGCAGGCACCTGCAGGTTTGACTTGAGCTGGAAAAGATAGCTTCCTTATATGAATTCATCTAAGTTAAACATGATTGCTAACAATATCTTCAGTATTCTGTATGCATTACACTAAGCCTAGTAAATAGTTATAATATCTAAATGCTTGATACTGAAAGTGAGAAAGAAGCCACATGGCAGCCTGTCTCCAAGATAGCTTCCTAGTATTTACATCTTATGTTTTGTTGGTCCTTCCCCAGCCAGTGTTTCACCACAGCTGTGAGACTGCTGGAGTATGGTATGGTAATATGTGGATTCTTAGGTCAAATCCTAAATGATATTGTGGCTTCTGTGTTGGTCTTTTGGATTGCTCTTGGAGTAAGTCAGTCACCAAGATGTGAATACATTCAAGCAGTCCTATGGAGAGGAACCGAAGTTTCTGCCCAATGGCCAATACCTATTTCCCAGCCTTGTGAGGGAACAGGTTTGGCAGTAGATTCTCTAGCCCCATCCAGCCTTCAGATAGATGCTTGTAGCCACAGCTGATAGCTGACTGTAATCGTACCAGCAGTCTTTCTGTGCAGTGCTCTAGACTTACAGGTGTGTTTTTATCAAATGACTGATGATCGTTCATATGCGTAACGCTGTGTCAAATGTTACAATGAATACATAAAAATTAGATTCTGCCTTTCCTTAACCTAAGTCTTGACCCTGTCAGATAAAGAAATCGACTAGTCACAAGTTCATAACAGTCTTTTTTTTTTTTCTTTTTTTCTGTGCTCTTCACATTTACAGAAGTTAGTTTATTATCAGGAGTGTATTTGTCAAGTCCAACCTTCACCATTCCTTCAACACTGAAGCATCAAATAAACGATGATTGTGCTCTCTGGACACCATCTTGTATATCCCTTTAACTTCCTGTAGCAGCCAGTAGGCAGTCGGATTAGCTGTCCTTTGCCACTATTTGCTCTACTCTTTGTCTTTGACGTCCAGCTGTGAAAGCCTGCAGTGAGTTCCTCCTTCTCTTTAACACTCTGAGGATCTCTTTAATGACATTTCAGAAAGGATTGATTCATAACACTTTACATAAATAATTTGAGTTCTTGGTGGCTTATTTTTTTTCAGTTTTTGATTTTAGAAAGGTTAAAGTGACTTACTCAAAGTTAATAGTTACATAATTTAAAGGTAAGATGCAAATATCAATGTACCACCAGATACCTTTACTTGGTAATCAATCCATCAGTAGATTTCTATTATTTGTGGGTTTCACCATAATCGTTTCATCATAATGTGGAAAGTGAACTGTAACATATAAATTGTAACATTAAATTGCAGAGTACTATTCTATTTGTTATTTTTTGTTCTTAATGAAAACAAAGACAATTTTGTGGCAAAAATTAAGTAGGAACTTTTAGAATTTTGTACCCTTTGATTTGATGATGCTTAACACTTTTTTTCTCCATCCTTTTTTTTCTTTCATTTAAATCACCCCAAATTGTTTTTGACAATAAAGGTCTGAGGGTCATTTGTGTCTGCCTGTTCGATATACACATTCCTTCCCAGAAGCCTTGCAGAAATTCTATCGTGGTGAGTTCAGGTAGGAATTGATTCTGTTGTTCTTACGTAAATATTTAAGTGGGTATATGTTGTTAAATGAAACATACAAGATAACGCTTGAATTACTCCATGGTTACAACAGTAAACATAAAAATAACATATAGCTGAATTGTAAATAGATGTGATTTACCTGCTAATTCTGCTGGAACCAGGCAGAGGAATACAGACAAGATGTTACTTGGCCAATAAGTGATGGTACATAGAGGTTCTTCTTTGGTGAGATAGAGGCCATGAATTCACTTTCTTATTCTTGGTGGAAAAAAAGTTAAAGCTGTTGACTGGAACTGATAATTCATACTGTCAGATTTTACATTCTTTATCCTTACCTGCCGTCTAGTAGTGAATTGTCATACCAAGATTCTTGCTATCTCTGTCTTATACGTTAAATATGGCTTGAGTAGGGTAGCCGTGATTTTAAAAAATTCTTCATTTACACAATCCCTTCAATGTTCAGATCAAAAGAAGTTAGTACAGAGAAGCTAGGATGAGGTTGGCTGGCTATATTTGAAAGATCTGACTTGGACTCCTTTTGTTTTCTAACTTGGACCAAATGTACAGGTAAAGCTTTTTCCCCAGATACTTTGCAATTTAATATAAAATCTTCCACAGAATCATTTTAATTTTAGTGAGTTTAGTTTTTACTTATTTCACAAGCGTGGCATCTCTGGGAACGACTCATTTATAACCAAGTTGAATTATGTTGTAGAATATATTCCTAAAGGAATCTGTCCTTTAGACTTTTTTTAGTTTTAAAGATTTTTGTATTTTTTTGAAAGTCAGTTATGGAGAAAGAAAGAGAGAAATATTCCATTTGCTGGTTCACTCCTCGGTTTGCTGCAATGGCCATAGGCCAGAGCAAACCCAAGTTGTAGGAGCTTCATCCAGATCTCTTATGTGGGTTGTAGGGACCCAAGCAGTTGGACCATCTATCTCTGTTTGCCCAGGCATATTAGCCTGGAGTTGGGTTTAAGTGGAGCAGCTGGCACAAGAACCAATGCCCGAATGTGACACTAGTATTGTAGGGGGAATCTTAACCTAGTACTCCACATGGCCTCTCCATTAGCCTTTCATACATCAAGTATTAGCTTTGAAACCAATTCTTAGTTTTATTCTTTTACCAAATGCCATTTAGATTCTGAAATGTAATCAGTAAAGTACTGTTATTTTTAAATTTCTTCCACTGTTAAAAATCATTACCAAGTCTCATGCTATTGCACTCACCCTAGCACACTATTATTTTAATTTCAGAATGCATTTTTGTGTAACGTTTGCTGAACAAACACAAGCAATTTTCGAGTTCAATATTTCTGTCTTAATGAGTTCTTGCCTTTGGCTTTAATTCACATTACTTGGGTGCTTTTTGTACAGACATCTTAGATGTTTCTCTTATAATTGTAGAAGAGAACTAAATAACCACATTTGTCTGAGCAGGAACCTTTGAGTTTTAGGTGTTTCTGAATTTTGTGAACTTAGTGTATCTAATCCTTGGTTGAATTTATTCTGTTTTACTGTAAGTTGCTCCCCCCCACTTTTCTAAGGTGGCTGTGGAGGCAACGAATCCGCTTGTACCTTGAAGGGACTGGAATAAACCCTGTGCCTGTGGATCTTCACGAACAGCAGCTGAGCTTGAATCAACACAGTAGAGCTTTCAACATTGAAAGAATTGATGATGAACGTAAGTGGATGGGAAGTTGGATATGTTGGGGTAATGTGTTATGAACTGTACCTTTGACCTTTAGTTTTCCAGAGTGGTAATTAATAAGTCATTTATTATTAGTGCCACTAATGCAGCTTAAGTACAATAACCTACTTCATCTGTACAATTTATAATTATCATCTGTGAAGATAATTATAGTATGTTTCAAGAACAAATGCTTTATATGGCAAGTTTTACAGTTACCTTTTTAGGAAAGTGTTATATCTGGTAGGAGGGTTAGTGTTTAAAGTGTCTTGCCATTTTTAACACATTTTTAACAACCCAAAACAAACTGCATACTCATGGGTAGTTACTCTCCATTTCTTAATCCCCATCTATACTTTTCTATCTGCAGAATATGTGAAACCATAGTTTTTTTTTTTCCTGTGAGGATTGACTTATTTTATTTAGCTGGTGTTTTCCAAGTTTATGTGTGTTGCGGCATGTATTAGTATCAGTTGCTCATGTTATGGATATAGTCATCTCTAGGTATCCATGAGGAATTGATTCCAGAACCCCAAAAGATACCCAAACCTGTAGATGTTCACATCCTGAAAATAGTGTCGAAGTAGTTGTAATTAAACAGTAACATTATCTTGTAGATATCCAGAATGACCAGATAAAATACATTTCTTTGAATCTGTGTCTTGTGCTGATGTTGTTTGATGTACCCCTGCAGCTTCAGTCTAAGAGGCTGATGAGCTCCCCAGGCTCCTGCCTGCAGTGATGGTTGGGCAGAGATGTAAAGGAAAAGCCTCTTTCTCTGTCTCTCCATCTCACTGTAAATCTGATCTGTCTTTCCAATAAAAATAAATTTTTATGTACATACATAAACTGTAACTTTGTAAATAAAAAAGAAAGGATGGTGCTTTTAGATGTGGTAGTATTCCTTCAAATCTGTTGTTGCTAATACATTCTTGAGGTTGGCTGTGGAGGGAAAGAAAAGCAACTGCTGTTCTCTGTAATGAATATAGTTTTGTTTCCTACAAGAACCCTGCATGTAATTTGCTCCTTAAATTCAAGGAGCTCCTAAATTCTTTAGGAGTGCTTGGTTCATTTATCCACGGAAGCTTCCAGGAAAAAGCTTGAGTGTGACAAGAACTTTTGAGATACATATGCTTTATTACTCATGGAAAACTGTTTCAGGAAGAATTAAAGTTTATGTTGCAAAGAGAGAAACGTTCTCACTGATATGTTTAGGTGACTTTAATGTTAATACTATGGATGCTTTAAGAATTGTTTAACCCATGCATTAGCCACATAAGCAAACATGTTTATTATACCAAAATATAAGTTTTAATGTTTCATAAAAATTTTATTGTAACATTTCTGAAATCTGAGGTATTATCTTAGATTTTTTTCTGTTGTTTAAAATTATCTCTAGGGTCTGAGGCTTCAGGACCCCAACTATTGCCAGTAAGAGCATTAAATGAAGTCTTCATTGGGGAGAGTCTGTCATCCAGGTACTTTTAAACCTTAGACATTGAGTGTGGAATTTAATGTTTTAGTACTTTTTTGCATTTTCAGTTTCTATGATTTGGTTAAGATTTGTAATTAACTAGTTACTTAATGAAATGGTTACAAACTCACACATTCAGAGGAAAGATTAAAGTGTTCAAGGGTCTTGATTCTGCTACTTCCTAGAGCCTGTTATCTGTTAGGTAGGGACTTTGTAAATATTGATTAGGGTAATAAATAGTGTGGTCATGCATTTGCAATTGATGTAAAACTTTTACAGTCAGTTCACATGAGCATTCATGCATTCTTTTAGTTCGTTAAAACTGATTTGTATAGTTTGCTTACTTTATAATTCAGTTAAGGATTATGTTGTGTTTAGCTGTTATGACTTTTTAAGAATGATTCCTTAGCCTCAGTCATTCCTAATATTAATATTTTTTTAATGATCTAAAGCAATTGATTTGCAGGATATTCCTTATTTTACACTTGTATTTTTTTTTCTTTACAAGACTCAGACTAGGCATTTTTTGGCAGGCATGCTATGTAGGTGATGTATCGTTAGAGTAGCATATAATAAGGCAAGTGAATTGACAGTTTAAGATTATAACCATTATTAGTGAACAGTAAGGTTATTGTAGTTCCTCATTAGGAGTATAAAGATGAAGTATATATTTGTTACTAATAAACTGTTTTGTGGGATTTGGGTATTACTTAGGCTTAAATAATCCCCAAAATGTTTTTGTGAAACTTGTGTGTGTTGACATGGTCACTAGCTAAATAATGACTACCATAATCTAAATTAATTTAACTCTTGATAGTATTCTTTTTTTTTTAAAGATTTATTTATTTTTATTACAAAGTCAGATATACAGAGAGGAGGAGAGACAGAGAGGAAGATCTTCTGTCTGATGATTCACTCCCCAAGTGAGTGCAATGGCCGGTGCTGTGGTGCTGTGCCGATCCGAAGCCGGGAGCCAGGAACCTCTCCAGGTCTCCCACGTGGGTGCAGGGTCCCAAGGTTTTGGGCCGTCCTCGACTGCTTTCCCATTCCACAAGCAGGGAGCTGGATGGGAAGTGGAGCTATGAGGATTAGAACCGGCGCCCATATGGGATCCCGGCTGCATTCAAGGCGAGGACTTTAGCCATTAGGCCATGGCTGCCAGACCCTCTTGATAGTATTCTGGAACTTCTCATATTTGCAGACTTAGGTCAGTTTGAGGTAAAATATTAAGGTGATTAATATTAAGATAATTAATGTCCCACTTTCCTGCTACTTGACCAATCTTTGGAGACTGTGATCAGTTTCTTGCTTTACTGAGAGTTACATTATTTTGCCTTTTTATAATTAATTTGTTGTATGTAATGTTGGATTTATCCTGTAAAATTATACTGTGTATTTTCCATGTGCAGTGTGTAAATTAGTGTGGATGTAAAGATGTGTAATATAGAGGTCATGGTATCTTAATTTATTATTGGTAAAAATATATAATTTTAAAAAGTTTTATCATTTATTTTTAAAAGAAGTCAAATATTTAAAGGAAGTTAAAAATAAAATATAGACATATACTATTTTAAAATAGACTTAACCTATATATAAAGCTTTTTATTTTGCAACTATGAAATTTGAAGTAGTAGGGAGATCATCTTATAGATTGTGTGATAAAAGACAGGAGAAAATGTAACTCGTGATATCTACTTATTTTTACTAAAGATGTGACACGAAAAGGCAAAAACACTGATTTATTAAATTAATGACAAACATAAACATGCTGTGTGAATTTATGCTTATCCTAAGCAAGCCACTTACTGGCTTATCTCATTCCATTTGTATATTTTAAAGGTTGTATGGTTAACTGCTGAGAGCTTCTGCTAGTGTTGCTTTGTACTTTGTACTTACCAAAAAGTTAAGTAACTCATGACAGAGGAAAACTGGGAGTAGTGGATGTGTTTGGGAAGTCAGTGAAGTCCTGTGAGGTTGATGTCTGATGCTGCTCCTTTTGCGTTGTTTAAGTCTCGCCTTGTGTCTTTACCAAGAGGAAGACAGCAGTGGATTGGTTTCTGATGCTGCTGAACTCACTGAACATAATTTAACAAATGGGGTTTTTAGAACATATTTTTAAAGATTCTGTGAGACACTTAACAAAAATTAAAATGAACAAAACAGGGATGCCTGTTTTGTTGCAGGCAGTGTATGAGTTGTGTAACTGATCTCATTTAGTGCTCTTGGCAACCCCGAGGGAGTAGTGGTTGTGTTTATCGATGAAAAGCAGTGGAGATTTGGAGAGTTTGAAAAAAAAGACCATGTAATTAGTAGCATCAGAACTATTATATAAATCCAGATTTTCTGATTTCACATCCTGTGTCAAGGCTTCACTATGCTCTGAAAACTTGAGTGCTTTTATAAAGTGCAGCAATACTATTCCTGCCTCATTTATAATGTTCTTAGATTTGAGAACATTTTAAAAGCCCAATTTTTTTTTTTCTTTTCTCCTATTTGTTCTAACCTAGAATGTCTTATTCTTGGGCTGTAGCAGTGGACAATTTAAGAAGAAGTATACCCACTCTAAAGGGACTGTGAGTTTTATTGCTGCCTTAAAAAATAATTTTCCTGAAACAAAAATTCTGTGGACTAATCTCGATAAACCTGCATGTGAGAATGACACTAAATTTGCTCCTTGTTTCGGGCACCACCTCTCAATTGCCTACACCTTTTCAACTCTTGGTTTCTGCTGCTTCTCTTCCCATCCCCACTTATCCCTAATCTTATTTGTTTCTACTTGTTTCTACCATTGTAGCAGCCATTTTAGGATGTGGCTGACTTGTCTGTATATAATAGGTTCCTAATGTGCATTTTTCTAGGTAGACATAACCGTTTTGAAAGAGACTGAATGTGAATAGTAGATCTGCTGTTCTTATTTTTTAAAAGGAATATGGATCTTAGAGAAAAAATGGAGAATAATATTGTCTTGCAAAACCTTAAGAAAACCTTAAGCTTGCTAGAGGTATAAAAAGGGCTAGAGTAACAGGAAAATTACCCCAGAGTCGTAGTGTTTGCGAGCATGTGTAATAGTTGTTATCTTTAAAAGCTACATTTTACTAAGGGCTTGTGCTGGAGTAAAAAAGCTGATATTGATAATTGATTTGATAGTGTTATTTTAAGGTAAAGGTCACAAAATAAGCTTTTACATGTTCCAAATTTTTTTCAATAGTTGCAACTCATTTCCACATACATGAAATTAAAGTATACTTTTTTCTTTTTTCTTTTTTTGGTTTATTTGTTTTTATTGGAAAGGCAGATTTACAGAGAAAAGGAGTTAGAAAGATCTTCCATCCGCTGGTTCACTCCGTAAATGGCTGTAACAGCTGGGGCTGAGCCAATCCAAACCCAGGATCCCGGAGCCTCTGCTTGGTCTCCCACACAGGTGCAGGGTCCCAAGACTTTAGCTGTTCTTGACTGCTTTCCCAGGCCACAAGCAGGGAGCTGGAAGGGGAGTGGAACAGCCGGGATACTAACAGGTGTCTGTATGGGATCCTGTCACATTCAAGGCGAGGACTTTAGCCACTAGGCTACCAAACTGGGGCCTAAAGCATAATTTTGATTTCATATTGCATTAACTGAGTCACTCCCCAGTTGCCGGAACTGAGCTGATTTAAAGCCTGGAGTTTCTTCCAGGTTTCCTATAGGGATTCAGGGGCCTTGTCTGTTCTTTTCTCAGACCGTAAACAGGGAGCTGGATGGAAGTGGAACAGCTAGGACACTAGCTGGCATCCAGATGGGATGCGGGCACTGCATGTGGAGGCTTAGTGTAATTCACCATGGGCCTTACCTCCTAGTTTTGCTCTCTAATCCAGTATTTTTTTAAAAATAATTTTTATACATTTATTGCCTAATCTCAGCTTACAGTCAATTCCAAAGGTGTATCAGCATATGGGTAATTCAAAGAATTGGACATAGATTTAGAAGTGTCAGGACTAGCTGCCAAGAATGAAACTCACTTGAGAATGGTATATTTTTCTTGAATTCTGAAATGACATGGTGGATGTGTTAGATTCTGCACCAGCAGTAGCAGCAGTGTTAGCTAAGTTGATAAAAAGTCCCAGTTTGAAATATTGAAGTATTCATAGAAGGGAACTTATAGATCAGAAAGGAATGTAGATATGCAGAAGTTTTTTCTTTCTCTAATTTTTTCACTTAATCCACATTGGAATTAGCAACGTGATATATGTGCCTACTAAGTCAGATATGTCTTGGTCAAACTGACTGACTTAGATTCCATCAGTTTTGAAGAACGTTGTCTTATTCACTGTGAGCCATAAACTCACACACACAGTTTTATCTTCTCAATTCACAGGGCCTCCTACTATGAGATTTCAGTCGATGATGGTCCATGGGAAAAACAGAAGAGTTCAGGGCTGAATTTGTGTACCGGCACAGGATCAAAGGCCTGGTGAGTCACTGGAATGTTTCTTAGCAATGTCTGTCAAATATGCCAAGTAAAATAATTTGCTAGATATCACATAATGATGCATCTAAAGTCTCTAGCTCTCAGCAAGTAGCATGGAGTTCTTTTATAGGCTGCTCCAGTTTCTGCTTCACTTGTTGCTTGGATCCAGTAATTCCACCCTGATTGGATTACAGCTATTGCCTGGGTTTGGTCATTATGAGCCTCCCTTCCTAGGCTTGTAAGGAATCGAATGGAAATGAAAAGTAGAGATTATTTTCTTTGTAGTTAAAGAATGTTTTAAATAATGAAGAAATGATTTGAAGTGCTGTAGAAAAAATAGGCTCTAAGTGAACTTACTTTCCCCTAATTAGAGACTACCGGGGCGTCCTGACCTTTTACAGTGCATATCTTCGTTTAGGTTGTCTTTGAGTACATATGAAGAGTACATGGGAAATTTGAATTTATTTTAATGTTAAAAAGTGGAAATGTGTTAGTTTTTGGTAATATGCATTTTCCACGAACTTTTTGAAGATACCTTGTACATCCCTCCTTTACGTAACGGTAGCTGTCGTCTTTCCTGAGTACGAAGTCAAATCTTAACAATCACCTGTTGGAGTGGTAGGAATGCTTTATACTCACTACCTTGAGAACGGAATTGGCATAGTTCGTTTTCCTTTCTGTGTGCCCTGTAATCCTTAATATCACTGTCGTTCACCTGGACCCTCTGCTCTATAGTCAAAACATTACTTTTCAAAACTTTGCTCTTTCCGCTTGTCTTCCCCTTCTTCATGTGCTCATCTGTAAATCTTGGTAATTACTGTTCTCAGCATTTTGCCTGCCCTTTTCAGGTTCTGCTATCTCTTTGTCCCACAGGTCCTTTCCTTTTTTGTGGGTGTTCTTTGTGCCTCACCTGGTATTCAAGTTGTCATGCGTACTACCAGTAGTTAGATTTCTAAGTGTGGGTGATGGTGTGTCTACTTTGCTTTCAAACTGTCATTGACTTCTTACTATATTCAGATTGCTTAGTTTGGCATTTAAGGCCCTTTCAAAGCTAGGCATTTCAGTCGTTTTTCCTCCTCTACACATGCCCTTCCTATCAGCACACTGGAGACACCCCAGGCTACTTGAAATTCTCAGCACACACCTTGTTCTTACTTGGGCTTTTGTTATTGCTCAGTGCAACTTTTCTCTTGGTTTGAATGCCTGACCACTGTCCACTTGCCATCCCCTGGCTGAAAAAAAAATTCAGGTTTTAAATGTCATGCTGCTGTTTATATTAATGCTCAGCTGTTTTCAAAAGCACAATTAATTAATCTCTGTTTTGTCCCTCATACATTTTCTCATGATACTATTACAGCCTTTATCACATTATTAGTTATCTAATATACTTAATACCCAGCTAGTTGAAGCAATGGGAAGATTTGAGATGATGACGACTGGCAATTTTTTTTCTCCTTCTGCTTGTTTATGCTTCCCGTAATATCTAATACAAGGGTACTTCAAAAGTTTGTGGAAAGCAGAAGTGAAAGATAAATCTGCTTTAGTGCAACAATTTTGAAATCCATACTTCGAAATGTAATGCATTTAATGGAAGAACTATGCATGGATTTTAAAGTTTGTTTTTTTTTCTAAGAATTATTTATGTATTTGAGAGGCAAAGTTAGAGACAGAGGAAGAGAGACAGATAAAGAGATATTCCATGTGCTGGTTGACTCCCACAAATGAATATAATGGCTAGAACTGGTCCAGTTACAGGAGCCAGAACTGGGATTCCTCTTGGTTCTCCCACATTGGTGGCAGGTGCCCAAGCACTTCAGTCATCTTTTGTTGCTTTCCCTGGAACATCAGCAGCGAGCTGCATTGGAAGTGGGTTGCTGGTGTTGCAGGTGGTGGCTTAATGTATTGTACCATAATGCTGGCTCAGTTTTCACTTTTCCTGAACATCTTTGAATTCCATTTTTCATACATTTTTTACTCAGATATTTTTGAATAAGTTATTACTTGCAAATATGGCTGACATACATAGTGTTAAACTACAGTTTTAACTCTTGATAGTTTCATTTGGGATTTTGTTTCTTACTTTTTCAGTGAAACTATTTAAACTTTTTGTTGTGGGAAATTTAAATGTTCACGGAAGAGGACCAAAGCAGGGTGATGAATCCTCATGTATCCATTAGCTAGTTTCAGTAGTTAACTGACGTCCCGTCCTTTTTTCTCTGTACCCTCTTACCCTGCCTATCTTCTTTTGTCTTCTGTTTTGATGCAATTTTCAGATTTTCTGTCATTTCATTCATAGTTATTCAATAACTTCAAATCTAAAAAAATATTAGATGCTTATGGAAAAAAATAGTATCTCTTAAAAAGATGAGTTAATAATTCTTTTTCCTGAGGGTGAGAGGAACATTTCTAAAATTAGATTTTTTAAATTATTATTTGAAGAAATACATTTAATCTTCTAGCATGTTATGAAGTTATATTCTGTCTCAAAGATTAAATTGAAGACATTAGCATTAAGCACTTTGATTTATTACGATAGCACTTTTTCTGCTAAACATGGTATGCTATTGTTGAAAACTGAGATGAGTTTCCCAGATTCTTTCCCTTTTCTTTTCCCAGTATTCTCCTCCATAAAAATGGGCAAAGAGGTATAAGTGAAAAGATTTCTGGCCTGGAAGTTAAGAGGCCTGGCTAAACCACTAACTAGCTTTGCCACTGTACACAAGTGTCCTTATCTGCAGAATGAGGGAAATGAAACAGATATAATAACATTACTTTATCTTCTGAACTTCTGAGATTCTGTAAGTTTATACTTTATGCATTATAATATCAGTTGTCAGTTATTTAACTCTTGCTACTTTGTACTATTTTAGGTACTTTGTTTACATTAATCTTGAAAGTTAGTGGTGTTACACTCATTTTACAAAGAACTACAAGTTTAGCAAAGACAGACTTAAACCAAAGTCTGAGCACTTACAGTAAATATGTAAGAACTTGCATTCAAGCACAGTATGTGTGACTGCAAAACCATTGTCTTTTTTTTTTTTAAATTCAGTTGTGTCCTTATTACTTGTTCTGCCACACAAAGGAAAGTTAGTTTTAATATGCAGAGGAACAAGAGGGGCATTCTGAACTGTCTGTCAGAGACCACACGTTTGGCAGGAAAGTCCCTTCGCTGTTGTCTTTGTCTGTTTCTTGTTGCTATGACAGGATACCATAGACTAGACACTTTATAAATGCTAGAGCCTATTTCACAGTTCTGGAGATTGGTCTGTGCAGTGTCAAGGTGCTGACATCTGGAAAGGGCCCTCTTGGTGCATGAGTTCATGGTAGACATTGAAAGGGCCAAGAGAGCATGGGGGAGAGAGAAAATGTGGGAGCAGGGCCTGAGAGAGGGACTCAACCCTGTTTTCATTAGGAACCCATTCACATGGTAAAGGTCTGAACCCATTCATGAAATCAGAGCCCACACGACCCAATTGCTGCTGTAAGTCCCACCTTTCGACACTGTTGCCTTTGTGGCATGAACCTTGGAGAACACATTCAAACGATAGCAGTTATATTGAAAAAGTGTAAGTGTTGAAAAAATATAAGATAAATTTTGTTTTGTTCTTGTTGTTTAAAGATTTATTTTATTTTTATTAGAGAGTCAGATCTACAGAGAGGAGGAGAGACAGAAAGGAAGAACCTCTGTCCATTGATTCACTCCCCATGTGGCTTCAACAGCTGGAGCTGAACTGATCTGAAGCCAGGAGCCAGGAGCCTCTTCTGAGTTTTCCTTCCATGTGGGTGCAAGGTCCCAAGGCTTTGGGCTGTCCTTTACTGCTTTCCCAGGCCACAAGCAGGGAGCTGAATGGGAAGTGGGGCCACAGAGATTAGTACAGGTGCCCATATGGGATCCCAGGCATGCAAGCGAGGACCCCAGCCACTAGGCTACTGCACTGGGCCTAGGATAAGCTTTGTAATCTCAGTGAAAGAATGAAAGGTAAAGAGGCTTTGATTTTCTGCTTTGGAGAGATAAACAGAGATTAATTGATTTGGTAATTTAGTTTTCAAGCTTTCAGTAATGAGAAGGGTGTGAAAAAATAAGAGGTGCTTATCATAAACGCTTTCAAAGCATTTCTCATCCTTCCCTTTCCACACTGTGTGAGACCTCTGTTGAATTACATATGAGTAAGCATGGCTTAGATTACAATTTAAACCTTATCTATTGCCTGTTAAGGTTCCCTCCTGAGGTGGGTACCAGCATTCCACATTGGACTGTCTGGGGTAGTCACATCTGCTTCTGCTGCGCCTTCCTGCTGGTCCAGTACTTGGAGCCCAGCCACCCATGTAAGAGGCCTGGATCGAGCTCTGGCACCTGGCTTTGGCATGGTCCAGTCCCAGCCGTTGTAGCCATTTGGGGAATGACTCAGCAAAGAAAAATCTCTAACAACCCTCCACCACCCCCTCTACCCTAGCTCCAAACCCCAACTCTCACCTTGGGCCCGTCATTCTGCCTTTTAAATAGGTAAAATAAACCTGAATACACACAGAAAAATGTTGATTTTAAATTTTGATAGTTGCTCTCCAGCTTCTTGGAATTAAAAATGTTTTGTTTTGTTTTGGTTTTTATCCTAGGTCATTCAATATTAATAGGGTTGCAACTCAGGCTGTAGAAGATGTATTAAATATTGGTGAGTACCAAAGTAGTTATTATATGCTATGCATTTATGTTATTAAATGTGTTTTATACTGGATGATATTATATAAAATAATTAACCTACCCCTCCTTCTTTTCAATAGCAAAACGACAAGGAAATTTGGATCTTCCATTGAACAAAGAATTGGTAGAGAAAGGTCAGTGATACCTGATACTAATCACTAATGGCTTATCATTTAGCCCCCTGTCAGTTTTGGGAATGGTTTTGTGTGGTCTCAAAGTTGAGAGCTTCATAGAAGCAAATATCTTGATCCCTTTAAGCTAATTCCACTTGTCCAGCTTCCCAAGGCAGAGGTACATGTGTAGTTTGGAGTGAGCTATGACTGGCCCGTGTGCTTTTGTTCTGTAGAAACCAGGGGTTGCACGAGGAAGGACATACAAAGATGGGAGAGAGTATCCAGGGAAGGGATGATTATTGTGGGAAAAGACAGAAATGAGGCATTCTCGCAGCTTCAGTATCTTTTAAAGATTTCTACTTCAGAGGCATTGAATAAGGTAGAAAAGGTCAACAGTCCCATCTCTTCATAAGATTATAATTTATCAAAGCACTGTAAACAGTAGAAATCATAGAAAAAAATTTCTCTGAACAGAGAAGATGAAACATTTAAATGCAGAGTCAATAATATTTTAAACGAAAGATAGAAATTCACAAGCTTTGCTATTTGATTCAGTCTCAAGTAACTAATTTTTGTTTTGTTTGATCTGTTCTTTTTTTTTTTTTTTTAAGGTTTTTCTTTTCATTTAAAATACAAAATTAGGAGAGACAAGGAGATCTTCTACCCACTGGTTTATTCTCCCAGGTGGCTGCAAAGGCTGAATTAGGCAGACTCGAAGCTAGGAGCTTCTTTTGGGTCTTTCACTTGGGTGCAGGGTCCCAAACACTTGGGTCATCTTCTGCTGTTTTCCCAGTTGTTTTCAGCTGCAAGCTGAATTGGATGTGGGCTAATCCATAAGGAATTCAAACTGGCACCCATATGGGATGCAAGCACCACAGCAGAAACTTGCTATTCAGAAACGTGTATTAGAATTTTTTCTATAAATTTAATTGCAAATGTCTTCAGAGAAAAGTAAGAACTTAAAAATGATCATGTTTAAAAATGATAATAATGATAGAGCCAGTTATGTGCATTGCATATGTTTTTGTAGAAAGCATCTGGCTTGGGAGGACTAGAAACACATATACTGTTTAAGGCAAGATGAAGTGGCTGTACCTAGGCTTTCTCCAAACCCAACTGAAGTATTGGGTTTGGAGAAAATCAGAAGGGCAAAGTATGCGACCCTTCCTTTTTGTTACTTGCCACACGCATGACCAAAGGGGTGGAAAATATGGGAGCTGACAGCCTTTCAAGATGAGAGTCTTACCTTTTCTAAAACTCAGCTTTCCCAGGTTGTCCGAATTGTAACAGAGGTAGCAGATAACACAAGAGATTCTTCTCCAGACAGAATTTTTTGAGGTCTGAAGAGAACAGAGAGATCTGGCTGGAAGAGTGCTGTAGCTCAGGAACAGGGCCAGGCCTCCTGTTTCATTCTGGGGCTAAACCAGAAATGAGGCAACCTTTTGTCAAGGCCTTGAGTAAAACTGCATCTCGTTAGGTGATTTGTACTCAATATCGAATGGTTAGATCTTTTAACTTAGAGTGGTTCTGAATGGACTAGTTAGCTGAAAAGAGAGAACAGTAAACTTTCGACCTTGCAAAGGACAAAGGGAACCTTTAACATGGACTGGGGGGTCTTCACCCCTATGAACAAGGAATGAGGGGAATGAGGTCATTTTGATTCTGCCTGGCTAGAAACCATCAGTTACCCCCTAGGCTGGAAGGGTGTCCCCCAGGGACCAGAGAATGGGAGTCTTTCACTTCCACTGGAGAGTAGCCCCTCGAGTCCCCTCTGACTAGGAATTGTCAGTGCCTGCCCTGCTCAACCCCCCGCCCCATGCATGCAAGCAAGCTACTCTTTGAGGATCAGAACCTCAGAAGGGAGGGCTGAAAATGGTTAAGGGGCCAGCAGTGTGTATGGGTTTGTCCATACACCCTGTCGTGTACACCTGGGGGTTAGGCTCCATTGCTATACTGGCCCTGAGAAATCATAAAATGTGCCAATGTTGTGGGTGGTAAAAGAGACCACCAGGACAGTGAGCCAGGTTAGCTTTTCATACTGCAAGGCCCTAGCATGGCAGGCAGGGCAGCTAGGAGCTGTTGCAGTCTAAGAGGGGAACTCACAATCCTGCATTCTGAGTCAGTCTCAGATGTGTCACTGTGATGAGCAGCTGGCCTGGACTTCCACTGATGGAGTGATGGCTTACTAGATAAGTACATTCTAAGGGCAACAGGCTGATTGACAGGCCTGGACCTATAATTGCTTTTTTTTTTAAGATTTATTTTTTATTTTTATTGGAAAGGCAGATATACAGAGAGGAGAGACAGAGAGGAAGATCTTCTGTCCAATGATTCACTCCCCAAGTGAGCGCAACAGCCGATGCCATGCCGGTCTGAAGCCAGGAGCCTCTTCTGGGTCTCGCGCATGGGTGCAGGGTCCCAAAGCTTTGGGCCCTCTACTGCTTTCCTGGGTCAAGCAGGGAGCTGGATGGGAAGTGGAGCTGCTGGGATTAGAACCGGTGCCCATATGGGATCCTGGGTGTGCTAGGCCACAGCGCTGGGCCCCATAATTGCTTTTAAGTTGTGCATAGTATGTTACTCATTCTGTACTTTTCAGAAGTTATTATTCTTAATCAAATCTGTTAATTGTTTTTTTTCTTTATAGTAACAAATGAATATAATGAATCCTTGCTCTACAGTCCAGAAGAACCAAAAATACTTTTCAGTATTAGAGAACCAATAGCAAACAGGGTTTTCTCGAGCAGCCGTCAGCGTTGTTTCTCCTCAAAGTGAGTATCTAGGGTTTGACACCAGGGTCTGTCTGTCCACTGCCCTTAACTCATGGTAAAGTGTCCTTGACTTAGATAAGATTTCATTAAATTGCTTCAGTCACACTTAATCTAGCAGGAAAGTGGAACCTGTGAATCTAATGAGGTATCCTGCTAATTTAGCAAAACAATGTCATTGGAGAGAGACTCAATTTTAAATGAAAAGCAGTATAAAGATGAAAATTTAAGATATTAAACTATTAAGCATAGCTAATAGAAAACTACTCAGTATTTAAAGAGATATTTCCTTCTGTTTAGGGTTTGTGTTCGTTCTCGTTGTTGGGATGCCTGTATGGTGGTGGACGGAGGAACTTCTTTTGAGTTTAATGATGGAGCAATTGCTTCGATGATGATCAATAAAGAAGACGAACTTCGAACTGTGCTCCTAGAACAATGAAAAACAATGAACAGTCCTGCAGAAAGAGACTACTAGTGAGAGTCCTAGCCAGAGACTGGCCGTCAGCTCAAAGAGCAAAAGTGAGATTTGTATTATTCTGTTGAATGCTGATGGAGATGTTTATTGTGTAAGAAAATGGAGGCAGTGAATGGATTAGACTCAGTAGCAGTCCAGCTGTTACATTGCTTACGTGTGGTACCCAAGAGTGTCGAGATCTCTTAAATTTAGGGCAGGCTTAAATAAAGGATTAAACATTTAGGATTTGACATTTTACTGTCCAGGTGTTTTTTCCTTCCTCTTCACCCTTTGTGGAATTGATCACCTGAAATGCTTATAATTTGACTAGTTCATATTTTTTATAATACGTAACAATCAAGATTTTAAAGTTTTGATGATGGAGAATTTTGATATAATGTGACATTGACCTAATTTAAATAGGTAAATGTGTTTTTATATGTGCTGAGAATTTTTCTAATTTCAGAATATACTGATGTTGCTATAAGTATTGATTTGAAAATGTAATCACTTTTGAAATTGCAGATGAACATTTTCATTTGATTTTCATTCTGGTGAATTTGAACACTGCTGGGTAAAATAAATGTGTTTGACAAAATACAATGCTATAAATTAATTACCCAGTTTTTAAAGGTCAGACAACTTTTACAAATGACTGGAATCAAATAGTTTTTTTCTTCTTCAAAATCCACTAACATGGATTCAAGGATGAATTATTGTAATTAGACTGATTAGAAGCTTGTACGTTCTTTTGAAATATTTTCAGCTAGTTTTAGGAGTCAGAGAATTTTTTTTTTTTCTTAGTGAATTGCCCTACTTAAGAGTGGTGGTTTTCACTTAGCTCATTCTAAATTTTTACAAAATAGCTTTGTAAGATAAAATGTATGGCTTTCATTTTTCCCCCATTATGAGCATTCCTTTATTTTTGGAGGAAATTTTTTTTTATTGAATTTCTTACCTACTTATAAGTAATCCTAGAATTTTCACAGAAAACTCCTACAAGTATTGCTGCATAATGAAACAATTGGTATGCCTATGCCGTGTAGTCAGTGGTATGCTTTTTTCATTTGCTGGTGAGAAGTTTGTTGAATTTTTGACACATTGCATGAGGCATTGAGCCATGTATTACAGTGTCCAGTTCTGGATATATGTTAATGAAAGAAACAGGCCATCCTTATAGATTCTGAGCCCAATTAGCTTAGAAGTAAATTCTGTGAGCGCTAAAATGTATAGTCAAATTGACTATTCTAATTTCCAACATAACATGTTGCTCATATGAAAAAGCCTTTAAAGTGAATGCTAATGTAGAGAGGCAATCTAGGTTGATGTATATCCAGACAATGTTTTCTTAATTAAAAGCATCTGCATAGATACTCATTGCAAAGCATTTATACATGTTGCATTGGAGATAAAAACAGTGTTTTCCCAGAGTGGATTCTGATTTCTGGTTTGATTTTTTTTTTTAAGTGGTATATATAAGCTTCCCGTTTTTAAACAAAGAAATTAAGTTTCCACACTAGAGACTGCCTTGGAATACTTTTTTGGAAAAAAAAAAGTCGATTCTACCTTGAATATCTCAAGGCAATCTGATAGTTCAAATGCTGATGTAACGTTGTTAATATGTAACATATTAATAGGTAACCTGTGGTAAGTTTTCATTGGCCAAATTCTGAAGAGTTTGAAAAATACTCAGTGTGTTCCATTTGTAGTTTAATTTCTGCTCTGCGGTGGGGATTTATTTGTAAGAGAGGAGTGGTAAAGGATGTTAGAATAGCAAAAATGTTTTTATGAATGAGTTAACCTTTATAATGTAACACTATGTGAATAAAATTAAATCATCATTACCAGTTTTTCATTTCCTTTCTTTCCTTCACTCTCGTGGGGGTCATATCTGAAAACCAGCTTTCCCAAAATGTTGTATTCCTCTGCTCTGTCAGTGTCACTCATTGCTAGCACAAGACGAAGAATGCTGGTCTGATTAAAAAAAAAAATTTATTTATTCTTATTACAAAGTCAGATATACAGAGGAGAGACAGAGAGGAAGATCTTCCGTCCCCAAGTGACCGCAACGGCCGGTGCTGTGCTGATCCAAAGCCAGGAGCCAGGAACTTCCTTCCCCGCATGGTGCAGGGTCCCAAGGCTTTGGGCCGTCCTCAACTGCTTTCCCAGGTCACAAGCAAGGAGCTGGATGGGAAGTGGAGCTGCGAGGATTAGAACCGGCGCCCATATGGGATCCCGGCACATTCAAGGCGAGGACTTAACCACTAGGCCACTGTGCCGGGCCCTGGTCTGATATTTAATCAGATGCTAAAGTGCTTATCTATTAGATGTTATATGTGGCCCCAGCACATCATACATATATTATGCTTCACTAAATATTTAGTCTTCATGTACAGTTTACATGATTTCATTTTTAAAAAAAGATGTATTTATTATTTGAAAGGCAGATAAGATCTCCCATCTGCTGGTTCATTCTCCAAATGTGCAGTGGCCAGTTCTGGGCTGGTCAGAAGCCAGGATCTCCCACATGGATGCAGGGGTCCAAAGAGTTGGTCCATCTTCGGCTGGTTGCCTAGGGAACTGGATCAGAAGTGAAGGAGCCAGGACTCATACTGCAGCCCAAATGGGAATGCCCATGCTACAGATGGAGGCTTGGTGGGCTACACCACATCAGCGTGTATGTCTCATTTTAAATAAATAAGCAACCAGTTCACATTGCTTGAGTGGGAAAATATGTCCAGTAAGCTTAAGGTGTAATACTGCTCATCAATGAAGAGACTAACTTTAAAATAGAATTCAAATTCACTCCAGTGTGCTGCTATCTGAGGAGATGATAAAGTGACATCAGTGAAAATGAAAAAGAAGACAAATGTTATATGCCTCGTAACCAGAGATCTTAATACTGTTTATCAAGTGTTGCCTCACTAAAACAAGAACCTGATCAGAGAAGCTTCTGGAGCAGGGTTTCCCAACACTGAGACTGTTGATATTTTGATGCACACAATTCTTTCTTGGGGGTTGGGGAGCGGCAATCAGAGGACTGTCCTTAGACGGTCAGCAGCATCCTCAGCCTTTAGCAGCCAGATGCCAAGTAAAAGTACTTCCCATGAAACAACCACAACTGCCTGCACATGTTGCCTGGGGGCCCGAAGTCACACATAGTGTCCACAGTGTAAGCAGCAGTGACCCAAGTGCTTGGACCCTTGTTACCCATGTGGGAGACTCCAGATAAGAGCTGCGGGCATTGGCTTTGACCTGGCCAACCACCTGCGGTTGCTGCAGTTTGGGGAATGAACTGGCAGCTGGATGAGCTCTTTTATCTGTACCACCCCCTTTCCATCATGCTGCCTTTAAAAACTTTTAAAGTGTCATTAGCTGAGAGTACATGACCATTACATTAATTACTAATATTGAAATATTTTATATGTGGGTTGTTTTAGAATCTTAAGGAAAAGAATACACCAATATATAGATACTCTAAGTTCACGGGAAATGAATACAATAAAAAATATGCATATTTCATAACATTTCTGCATCAAAATAAAATCTGAATTCCATTCCCCACAAACTTTTTGGAGTACCCTCATACTTAGCACTTTTAAAAAGTGCATTATAAACTGTCAGCAGTAAACGGGTCCACAGGATCATCTTTCAGGCCGATTTAGAAAGGTCTGTAGAGCAGTTTCTGAGCCACAGTGCAAGTCATACTGAATGTGTTCTGATTTTAACCATGTAAATAGAACAGATACAACTAAGTCCTGATTTTTATAAAAATGTGCTTTATTTTAATACAAGCCTATAAAAGTAGAAATCACATACAAAAATACAGATTACTCTGACGTGTTGGCAAAATAGCTTATGGCTGGACTTGAGTTTGGAGTAGAGATACTGTCAGTGAGGGCATCCGGAGTCAATGTCCAACCGGATCCTGTCACCAGCCCTTGTCACTAATCTGTAAACAATAATTTCAAGTAGTATTTAGCACTTTTTAACTACTACGAAATTGAAGCGTAATCATTCCTGTGTAACAGTACTTTAAAATGTTCTGAGCAGATAAGGGCACTTTATACTATTTAAAAAAGGCAATAGAAATGATGGGTTTTGGCACTTCTGTTGCATTTTTAAAATATGGGGAGGTCATCTACTCAAATTAATGTGATTTTTTTTTTTCAGGCAGAATATAATCTCTACTTTCAGTACCTGCTTGGTACGTGTTTTAAATTATTCGTATTCCAATACCCGAGACGTAACTCCTGTGTAGGTGCATGTAGTGCTTACTGCTCCGACACGGCATGACACATGTGTCTGCTCTAGTGTATTTCTGATTTAAAGGAACATGCAATTCTTAGGGAACTCTTAAGTCCAATAACCACAGAAAGTAGACAGTTCAAGCAATTATAAGAGATCATTAAAATGAAAAAAAGACAACACAAAACGTGACTCCATAGTAATATAAAAATAATCTCAAGAATCTCAACACTACAGGAAAACAACAGATAACTTCAGAATGGAGAAGGAGTTAATACAGTTCTGAAACAAAACTAGTCATTTTAGAAGCTGAACAACTCATAACATAATCTGATTTTAAAGTTAGAAAACCACAGTTTTATTTCCTTACCTAATTTAGGATTCTGGGAACACAGTGTATTAATGACCGATAAAGGATACTTCAATTAATCTGACTTGGAAAATTGCCTCTTGGGCCTGGAGATCAGTTCTGTATCTCTGGTGGGTCCTTTTCCATTTTTTAAGTTTTAAGATGAATTACATAGGGCTTTTTTTTTCTTTCCTAGTAGCTGAATTTCAAGTCTGAAGGATGAATTGAAATGCATTTTTTCTTTTAAATCCCTAGAAGAGATTGCTTCCAATGCTACCATCCCATGATTCTAGTCAGCCCATAATACAAATGGCTATTATTCTCTCAAATTATCTCTTATAAAACAACGCTGAAAAATTAAATACAGAAAAGTTATCATAGAGGCTATAAAAAATTTCCAATGATAGTTTTAAAACTTATTCTAAATAGGCTAGTAAAAGAAGGGCACTTGAAGAGGTGGCTCAAATTTGGCTCTCTTGGGTATCCTCAAGTTACAGGCTCGTTTTCCTGAAATTGCAAGAGGCCTACAACCTAGGCTCGTAAGAGCATAACAGTAACAAAAGCTTTTCTAGTCACTTCAAGAAAGCAGTACCTGCCTTCTCCCTCTCCAGCTGTTCTTTAATATACTTGCAGAATAAAGGCAAAGGGAAAACCAAGGCTAACACTAGCCAAGTGCTCCAGACATCGGGCTTCCTGCCTGTTCCAAAGAGACTTCATCCTACAATAAATACTTCATAGACAACTGGGTTTCTGCAGTGACAGTCGGCATTTGATGCCCCAAATCTCCTGGTTCTTTTTGTTGCCAATAGTTGGCCTGGCAATGGTGGTGAAATGGGAGCAATTAATCTGTAGATGAGGCAGGGCTTCCCTTAACAGTTGAAGGGTTCCGTCAGGCACGATTCCAAAAACTTGTAGTGTTTTTAGCGTGGGAATTTCTCCAAGTTCACTGCAAAGAAGAAGGAGACTTTTAGAGTAGCACTATCTAAGGAACCAATTGGACTAGACATCTATGACCCAACTTTTACAATTCACATCACAGTCTATAAAATATGTCCTGGAACTCTACTCTGCAAGGGAAGACTTGAGACTCACACAGGCGAGCGCAGGCTATCCGGCTTCAGCAGCTGGCCTTGGCAGACACAGCAGGCCTTTGGCTGAAAGAGGCCCTGGCACCCTGAGAAACAGAGGATTATTGAATATCTGACTACATTTGCTTCCTTTCTCCATTCTTGATGGATATAGTGATCTGAACAGGGCTCCTTTGCTGTGAGCACACACCAACAAGCTAGTGAGGATAAAAGTAAATGTCTTTCTGTGGCAACACTTGGAGATAGTCCAGGTTACATGCCATCCGAGTGTGTACACACCTCAGCTTTACTTAAAGTAGAAGGAAATGTCAGTGGAGCTGACAGCTTCTTAATAGCAGCTAACAGCCAACGAGTCCATTATGTATCATGGAACCTACTAGTGAATTTTCAAAGATGATTTTGGGTTACATAATTGGATGGAAAAAAAGGGTGACCAGTGCATCGTTCCATCACAGATAAGCCACGCTTCTTCTCAGATATTTCTTTTAGGAAATATCTAATTTCTGATTAGAAATATCTAATTTCTGATTATCTGATTTCTTTTATGCCAAAAAGAGAGGCTTTCCCCAGAAATGAGTACTTTTTGGTTTTGGTAATGATTCCTCTGAATCCAGATCTGTGTGCCTAGAAATTCATCTCTCTGATCTATATTTGCTGCAGGTTGGGACATACAGTCCAAAGTCCAGGAAGTGGAACATTTATTTTAGAATGTCAATAAAATCCCAAGGAACAGTTTCATGACCTAGAGTTAAAAATCTTTATTCTCATTGTCAATAATTGCTTTCAGGCCAAAACCAAACCAAAACAAAACCCCAAACACCTACCTTTATAGTAATTGTAACCTTGCCTCCAGCCATTCTCCCTTCCAGGCTGTTCTATAAAGCAATGTTCAAAGCATTCCCCCAAAATCCAGCTCAAATTATGTCACTCACCTGGCCCCAAACCTTTGATATTTACAGAACCCAGACTGTTCAGCTGACCTTTGCATCGTTCATGTTTAACCTGTTACTCCAGTCTTCCCACAGAATTGATTTTACACTCCAAAAAGTCTCTGGAGTAACCCCATCTGTGGTTGATATTGATTGATACTGATATATACATATCTCATCCAGTACAAAATGATGGACAACTTAGAATACAAAAACACTACCAAATATTACTACTGGGACAGAAAGATCTGGAGATCATCAAAGATCAGAAAGAAGAAAGCACAACCAAACGACTATTATTGTTAAACTCATTTCTGGAATGTGGAAACAAGGGTATCAAAGAACGATCACAATACAGAAATTATTATCACTGAAGGTGACAGCAGCCTGCTCCGATCTGCAGTTGCTCTGGTGTAAGAAACAAGCGTAACTGCAGTTCTTGTCCTGTGGTGTCCAAGCTGGACTGTGACTCACCCACAGGGGGTAACACTGAAAATGAGAAGCTAAGTGGGAGCAAGGAAAAGGGTGGCAGATGGCGGAGGAGGAAATGTTCTTGCCACTGCACTGGCAGAGGTCTGGTGAGGAAGGAACCACAATGTGTTAAGTGGGGGAAGGTAGCCGTAGAAGGGGCGGCGAGCAAAGGATCATGTCCCGACTCAGACATCCAGAAGAGTTTTTAGAATTTGCAAGGTTTATTTTTGAAAATGTAACAGGAGATATAGAAAAGAAACCAAGTAAAAAGAATGGTGTGAGAGCAATTATTTTGAATTTAAGTACAGGTTAAAAAGCACAGGTTGACTCAAAATATTTGGTTTTAATAGAAGATATTTATAAACTTACAGGCCTACTGCTTACTTCACACATAAACCTGTTCTTACAAAACCTGAAATGATTCAACTACATTAGTTTCTCCTAATCTCTAATCAGATTACTCTCTCAGCTCTGGTTTCTTACTTGTATGAGGAATGGAATAATTTAGGAGAAATTTTAGACATGAAAAATAGGGCCAATTAAGGAGTAAAAAGCTAAATTTATTGAGACAGCTCTCAGGAAGAAAAACCTACCATTTCTCCAGTACTTTAAATTTTATTTTCTCCTTCGGAAGGTAATTAGCCACGTTGAGTTCTTTAGCTTGGATGGATCTCTGGAAATTACTGGTGAGACATCCTGGAATTTTTACTACCAATTTCTTTTTTCTTTTTTTTTTAAAGATTTATTTTATTTTTTTATTGGAAAGGCGGATATACAGAGAGGAGAGACAGAGAGGAAGATCTTCCGTCCAATGATTCACTCCCCAAGTGAGTGCAACGGTCGATGCTATGCCGATCCGAAGCCAGGAGCCTCTTCCGGGTCCCCCACGCGGGTGCAGGGTCCCAAAGCCTTGGGCTGTCCTCGACTGCTTTCCCAGGCCACAGGCAGGGAGCTGGATGGGAAGCGGGGCTGCTGGGATAGAACCGGCACCCATATGGGATCCCGGGGGGGTGCAAGGCGAGGACCTTAACCACTGCGCCACGGCGCCGGGCCCTTTACTACCAATTTCTAATGTCAATTGCCAGAATCATTGAAATTAGAGGGGAAATATATTTTACCTTGAGAAATTAAAGGCTAGGCCACCAACAAACTCATCTTTGGGGAATTCAGAAAATAAATCATACTATTTACATAACGCCTAAAGGAATACAACTTTTAAAAGTTCAAGGACAGCAACTCTCGTCTCACTATTCCGGTGGTCTGGTCGTTTAAGCTGCTAGAATCCTGGTGCTCCCAGTTTTCTTATTTCAAGTTAAGACTTTGAATAGTGCTAACGCAGTGAGGATTCTCACCTGGCTCTGTGACTTCAAGCCCAAGCTCTTCACCTGCAATGCACCCCACCTGCAGGCATTATTATTACTGTTTCTCCACTGAACGAAAGTATTACTCTGTGAGAGTTCACAGCATTTCTCTCTCACCTAAGCTTCAGAAAGAGCAAAAGCATTAGGGGTGTGTGTGTGTCAGGGGGAGTTATTACCTGATTAGCTTCTTTGTTTTTGCAAAGGAGAACCGAAAGCAAGACACATGGATAGATACTCTGGAGAAAACCACCACAGAATTCTCACCATACTCCCCAGAGGGCAGTAGAGGCCAAGGAGCTGGTGCTCAGCTGGCAAGGACAGGAAGGAATGGGTGAGAGAGAAAAAGCCAACTTGGGCAGATGCTAGAGAATACAGAGGGCAGGCGCTTTTAGTAAGGGCTGCAGGGCTATGCATTTAGACCCTATTAACTGAGACTCAGGCAGAGAAAGACTGATACTAATTTTGCAGATAATGGTTTTCCAAAGAGATCACCTCAGGTCCTGAGCCCCAAGATGAAGCTGGTTCATTAAAGTACACAATGATGAGACTATTGTCATCTTTCTAGTTAACCCTGTGTAAATAAATGTGTCTGATTTATATGTTAATTCTTGAACTTACAAGATCCAAATGACTAATTTCATAACTAAATTTATCCCTTGTTCAAATTCATCAACCTTAGGTATAAAACCAAAGCTAACCAGCCTTCCATTGAGCACTGCACTAAATGAGTTCTGCAGCCATACTCCAGGCATATTGGCTGCAGTAAGAAAGAAGGGCACATGGCCAGATCCAAGACACTGACCTCTTGTGGCTTAGGAAAATTGCTACATTTGGCATTAGGAAGACTAGCTCTCTGGGATGATACAGGACAATCAATAGAAGCTATATTCAAGAAGACTCTGCAGCTGACCAAGAGGACCTAGGATCTATAGCCAGCTTAGTCAGTAACACCCTCAACATTTGGATAAGTCACTTTACTGGTTTGAACCTTAAAACTGTCTCACCCTCTCCCCAGATTCTTAGGATCTAGTCCACTGACATGCTGTTATTCCTGCTATTCCTTCACCATTCCAGACTTTCATTGCCAGACTATAGAAGTTTTCCTCTAAACCTAGATGGAAACTTCTGGAATTGACTGGGATTTGAAAAACTTTGGAAATCAATGAAATAACAACCAACCCATCTGCACTGAGTTTGTCACTAGAGTGCCTCATGGGTAAAAACAGTCTTGGAGCCCTGTGGCTCTTCATGAGTACAAACATGGTATTCCAACATTGAAAACTGCTGACAACTACACTTAAATGTTTAGTGAATAACTGTGGACAACTTTACCAAACATTTCAATGGGAAACTCACCCTGGCCTTTTCATTTTCCCGGTCACTGCTGGCCAGTTTGTGGTGTACTGATAGCAATGTTGACATTTTGAATCTCTGCTATTTCTGGAACATTTTTCTACCAGGCAATAACTCTGTTGATTGCTACCTTCTAGCAATCAACACAAAAAATACTCACAGTAAAGTTTCAGGAACTATATCATAGCACCGACTGAGGGAGAGGTGTTGGAGGTAGTTGAGCTGGTAAAATTCCGGAAAGCAGTCGTTCTTCAACATGATGCTGTCACTGAAACACAGTAAAAGAAGTCACCAAAATCTCCCACGCATCCTACAGAAAAGCAACTTGTCAGTTCAGCACTCAGATCCTTTCTCACACAAGAAGCAATCAGGATCTCTCAACATTTGATCTAAAATCCGAAATTAAAAAAAAAAAAAATACCTTAAGTCTAGATGGACAAGATTGGGGCATCTTCTAACTAGGGTAGAGACATCTAGGAAAAACAAACACACACAACGGTCACTTTCACAGGAGACAAGAGACTGGGATATTTGCTTGGACTGCTGTCCTTCGGCATCACGCCTGTGGTCACCATTAGAAGGAAAAGCAAGTGAGCATCCTGGTATATAAAATGTTCTACCACCTAGGAAACTACTCGAAATGAAAAGACTTGTGTAAAATGTTAACACAATCCAACATTAATCTATGTATCAGCAGTGAGTGGTTGAAAAAAACATAAGAAAAAAGGCATCCCACCCACAACAGCAAAAATAAACCCCAACACCAGTACACACAGACAATGGTAATGGCGGCTCTTCCAGTCAGTGAAGCAAACTGTGTGTCACCGAAACAACGTTCCTGCAACAACTGGAAAAAAGTACTTTTCCAACTCAAGAAATAAAGCCAAATAAATTCCATGCTTTAAAAGTTCTAAATGTAAAAACAAAAGAGTAATGATTTATTGAATTCTAGAATAAGTGTTTTTTTTATTTGTAATCACTTATCTTTTTGCAAATCAAGATTTTCTCTTGGTATTTATACAAATAAAACAAAGCATAACCAAATGGTGAGGTTTATGAGCAGCATAATATTTAGCAACTACATCTGACCTGTCTGTTCATTCAGACAGCCTCATTGCTTAGAATGAATTGAAAAGTTAACAACCATGAACTTACAGCATATTGCCATTGCTGACATGAGGGCCAGACTGTATGTGTGTGTGTGTCTACTCTGCTGTGCACTGCTCAGCAGCCCCCAGCCTCTCCTCTACCAATCTGCCTCCCGGGACTGCAGTCCTGGGTCCGGTTCCTGACTCCATCCCGGCAGCCAGCAGCCATGTCTCAGGTAACAGGATTGCTTCCACCCATGTGGGAGAGCGCAGAGTTCCCAACCTGCCCTGGTCAGGCTTGGCTTCACGTAACCCTGGTGAGCACCAACTACCTCATTTAAATAATGAGCATGGTCTATGCATGGGATTAAATGAGACAGCATATGGAGCACAGCACTTAGGAGAGGTGAAGAGGTGAGGCAAAGCTGAACTAGCACTGCAGCTGAGAAGGCCCCGGTGGCTCAGGCCTGGGAGCGCTAACCTGACTGCTGGAGGTTCTTCCGGTAGCCACTGAGATTCAGCTGGGTGATGGTCTCTGAAACGTGTGCGACAGCCACTTGCACGTGCTTCTCAGTGAACTCATAGCACCAGGAGAGGTTCAGCTCGTCCAGTCTGCACCGAAGAGGGGTGAGAAAGCAGACATGAAACCATCACACGGGAAGTTTGTCACAGGCTGCACAGAAAACATGAAACCAGAGATTCCCTGCCACTGCATGCCGTCACCTGCTTCTCGAAGCAGCTACATTTGCTCACCTGGAACTAACTGCCTGGCCCTGTTCTCACACACCTCTGCGCCACTTAGGCCTCATAGTTCTCAGGGCACCTGAGCACAAGCCTTAGTGAATGCTGCCCCCTTCTGGAAGTGGAGGGAGCAGACGCTACTCTTCACGGTTCATACCTCCAAGAACCGAGGTAGAAATTCTAGTCTAAGATTCATCATGGAGAAATTTTAAACACAATTGAAAGAGGGGTGGATTTTGTAGCTCAGTAAATTAATTTGTATCAGAATGCCTGGGATTGAGTCCCACTCTGGTGTGACGTAGCTTCTTGCTAGTGATGCCCACCAGGAAGCAGCAGGAGCTGGCTCAAGTTTTGTCATGCATATTACATCCGGGAGCAGTTTCTGGATTCATGGCTTCTGCGTTTGGCCTGGCCCAGGCTTGGCTGTTGCAGGCACTTGGGGTGTGAATCGATGGATTCACATACACATGCATGTGTAAGCTGTCACTCTCACAATTTGTAGCTCTCTACCTTTCAAAAAACACAAGTAAACATTAACAAGCTTTTAAAAAGAGATGGATTACACTGCGGATTACTGTTTGGTGCAGATACTAAAAAAGACAAAGTTCTTCCAACTCTGCCTCAGCTAACTGAGCAAAGGGCATTTCAAAATCCACGTCCAGTCGTTACACCACACAGCCCACAGGCTGGCACTGCTGACTAAATGTAGAGCTACCCACTGTATCCCGCCAGTACAGGTGAAAGTTTACATTTAACAGGTCACTTATGAGACACAGGCACGAATGACATCCCATCAAGACTAGCGAACACTAGAAACCACACACGAGTTCTGTGCCCTCTGCAAACCATGTTTCCCCTCACTCAGTGATAGCTGTACCCTCTAGGTGCTGCCCTTTTTATAAAAGATGCTGTTTACCTGAATAGCCCACACTTTTGGTTGATAGTTACAAAGTACCAAATCTGATCAAAAACAGGTCTATAGTATAACAGGGCAAACATCTGACTGTACAGTCAAGTGTAAGCACATTCCTTTCATCTTGGCCGCTCATGAGGACACTACTGCATTGCTTTTACTTTAGTGGCAAACGTAGTAAGCAGGAGAGGGGTGACAAGGTAAGCATTCTTTATAAACTGAATTGATTTGGCTCTGGGAAGCTTCGAGGGCTGGAGTTGGCATTTGGCACAGCAGTAAAGATGACACGCAGGACACTGGCATCCCGTATTGGAGAACCGGGCTTGAACCTCAGCTCCACTTTTTGATGCCGCCTGACTGCTGACGCACGCTCCGGGAGGCAGGTGATGGCTCCAGCAGTTGAGAACCTAACAGCACATGGGAGACTGGTGAATTCCCAGGTCCTTGCTTTGACCTGCCCAGCTACGGCTGTTGAAGGCTTCTGCACAGCAGACCGAGTGGCTGAAAGGTCTCTGTCTCTCTCTTTGTTTCACTGGTTTTCAAGTAAATTAATGATTGAACCAAGTCTCAGATTTCCCACCTGGAGCAGTTGCTTAGCAAAGTTTGCAGCGCAGATTCAGAGAATCCAGAACACCCACAAAGGTTTAGTCGCAGTAAATTTGAGTTCTGACCAAGATTACTGGGAAAAGAGAACAAAGAGCAACAGTGGTTAGGCAGCTTTCCTGGGAAAGTGGCTGGCTTTAGGCGCCAAGGCCTTGGAGTCAGACCTGAGTTCAGAGACCACAGTCCACTGACACTCAGCAGGTGCCTTTGCCTTAGCTTACCTGAGAGATGCAAAATCCGTGCCTTTGTGCCTAGATTATTAAGATCAAACAAAATAATGTAATACAGGACCTGACACAGTATCTGGCACCAAAAATCACAGAAAACATTTGTCTGTGTACTTTTTAAAGAAAAAAGGCAACAAGATAAAACATTAACTCCAATATCGAATCAGCTTACAAGCAAGCTTGTGCCTCTGAAAACTCAGATTGTATTAATTAAGTGTCTCTTAAATTTGTCACCTTCTATATTTCCCAAACACTCTGTAGTAATGAAGCTTAATTCTTGAATCCCATTATATTGCCAGGTTCTGATTTTGATTTAGCTATCCATTAAATATGTGATCCTAGGTTAAGTTATTCAGCCTGTTACTCAGTGTCCACAGCTATAAAAAAGGAAACATCCAGAACACACATCGGGGATTGCTTGTCAGAATTAAATGAGAACAAAATAAAAGAATTTGGGGACTGGGTTTTCATGTGGAAGTTAAAATACATTCGGAACACCCCCCATTTCCACATCACGGTGTCTAGGTCTGAGCCTTGGTTCTGCTCCCGACTCCAGCTTGCTGCTGATGTACAAACTGGGAGGTCGCAGGTGACGGCTCAGGTAGTGGGGTACCTGCTACCCACGTGGAACACCTGGACTGAGCTCCTCCCTCCTGGACACTCAGGGAGCGAACCAGTGGGTGGGGGAGCTTTTTCTTAAAACATTAAAACAAATAAAATAATAAAAAATAAAGACCAGTGTGCAGTGTTAGTAGCTATTGTTATGCTTCCCAGTATCAGGCTTCATCTTCTACACAACCGGGCCCTAGCTAGTCTACTTTCTCCGTCGTCTGTCACCTCACAGCACCTACAGAGTTCAGTTCCCAGATTCATACCTGTTTCGCTCTCCACAGCTCAGCATGACAGTGTGGCCCACTTGCCCATGCTAATCACTGCCAACCCACCTCCGGACTCCCCAAACCTCCTGTCACCTCCTGTCCTGATCCCTGGGCTCCAGCAACTCTTGGCCACTTCAGTTTCCACACAGCTGTTATCTAGGCTCCTTCCTCTGACCTGTGACCTGGGGTAGCTCCTCCCTGTATATCTGGAATTCTCAGCTGCACAGTCACGTCCTCTGAGAAGGCTGCCCTCCTTCAATTTAACTAGTCTCTCCCAGGAGGCTGGCTGCTGCATCATCACCAATGCATGTAACAAACACACTGCACTTGTAATTATGCTTCTCCTGTGAATGGGGCAGGGACCATGATTCCATGACTTGTTTGTTCTCATGACTCTACAGCCTAACCTAGAGTCTGACATCTAGTTAGCAGTTCAACTTGTGTTGGCCCATGAATCCTGGGAAGTTGTACAGAGGCTAGAGTACCGCACCAGGTGGTTTCTACGTCCGTCCTGGATATGGTACGAAAGGCACTCTTGTTAAATCCAAGGAACAAAATTAAAAACAATCCACAGCTGTCTTTGGGACATGCTCTGGCTCCCACTCACCTGACAATGACATCCGAAAGCTGTAAGCCTTCCAGGCTTAGATTCTGCAGCTTGGAGCACTGAGACAGAATGCCATGGAGGGCAGATACATTTATAACTGAATTTGATAGGTCCATGTGCTGCACGCGAAAAGAGCTGGACAAAGAAAAAAAAAATAGAGGCTCAATGAGGTGGCTCACACAAGCACATTCAAGGTCAAATCTGACTCTCTGTATAACCAGGTGAGCAGCCCATGAAGACCCTAACCACAATAGCTCACTAAGCTCACAGACAACGCAATCAAAAAGCAAGAGTAGGGGCAGGTAGTCAGCTAGAGATGCCCGGAGTACTGGCTCCACTCCCCCCAATTCCAGCTGCTTGTTAATATTCAAGTGCTTGAGTCCCTGCTCTCCGTGTGGAAGAACTGGATGGAGTTCCTGGTTCCTCGCTTTAGTCTAGCCCAGCTGATGGCAACATCTGGGGAGTGAACCAGCAGAGATCTGTCTTATCTCTTAGGCAAATCGTTTCTTTGGTGCAAACAATTCTGACAGACATTTGTCCCTGTCCCTTATTGAGATACCTAGCTTGACTCCAAGCTCTAGCTTCCTGCTAACATGGACAATGGGGGTGTACACTAATGGCTGAGGTGCCTGAGCTCTTTCCATGTGCCTGGGAAAGCTATATCGAGTTCCCAGTAGCAGCCCAGTCAGTCCCAGATAGTTCATGAACTAATATATGGAAACTCCCTCTATCCTGACTCACAAATTCTTAAAAAATCATGCAAAGCGCATGAAAAACTTAATCAACTTCAAGTTTTTTTTTTTTAACACCAAAATAAGATTATCTTTTAGTCTGATTTTTTTTTCTATGACATTTTTAAAATACTTGTGCGCACATTAAGTAGTAACTGGAGTTTTGATTATAAAACAAACTCCTATTAGCTGTCGCCATCATCCATTTTAATATTCAAGTGGGATCTTGCCAAGTACAGAAGTGGCTGCCAATACAGTCCCACTTAGAACAGCAGTGGGTGTCAAGGAAACGAGCTGCATATACCTAACAGATTACCGCTATGACTCCTGGCACCTTGGTGAACAGTAATGGTTTTTTTAACTAAAAGAAGGAAGAGAGTGGACAAGGGAGCTTTAACTTTAATAGGATTTTGAAAGACAGTGTTGAGTACAAACAAGGCTTTGAATGCTGGGCATCAGTGCAGTGTGCTGGGCACAACCTGTCCCAGGGCAGCAGGCATATTAGGAAGGTCTCTCCAAGGTCAGATGTTGGGGCAAACAAAGGAAATCTCAGGCATGAAGGAGACCAAGAGAAGGGCTATGGCAAAGACAAATGGTGACGGGCGGTGACTGAGCGTAGAGGGCAAGTCAGGAGACATGCTTCCTCTTAGTTCTGCTGTCTTGAGCCTGTTTTCCATTTCAGTGTCTAGTTATTCAACTCAAGGATGAAAATGCATTAAGCCTTAACACTGCAAAACTATCAGTAATAGAATTTTTTTTTTAATGTCCTATGAAACAGACAAAGATGTTCTCCCCTTCCCAGGTTGATACCTGGTCTATGATAGGACAGGAGCTCCAAGCTACAAATCTAGAATGAAGACTCTTCCCACGCTTGTCATGCGTCTGCCAGCCCCTGCTGAGCATGTTCCTGTTCTGTGGTCTCCCAGGCCCTGCCTTGAGAAACCCCGGGAAGTCCACCAGCAGCCCTGAGTTGAAATGCGGATATCACAGAATCAAGAAAACTTGTGATGTGTTTTAAATCCTTTTCACACATTAAGTAGTAACTGGAGTTTTGATTACAAAACAAACTCCTACTAGCTAACTGTCACCCTCATCCATTTTAATATTTAAATGGGCTTTTGCCAAGCACAAATGGGCTGCCAATACAACTTAGCAAGAGATGACAGATGACCCGTCAGAAGCTTGAAACTGCAGAAACAAGTTTTGACCTGTTTCCACCTCAGGATTTAGAAAGTGGTTTTTCCCAGGGAGTTTTCTGTTACCTGAAGTGTTCACCCAACGGCTGGTCCACAAACGACCGTGGGCAGCGGAAGGCAACCACTCCTCGAGACAGCAGCCGACCAATGACATCAGGGTGCAGATTTTTACCTGTGAGGTCTAATGTCTGCCAGAGAGACTCATCAAACCTAGGAGAGAGGAGGTGACTGACTTGGTGAGTCCATCACACATGTGCCGGCAGTCCCCAACAATCAGGCCACTAAACACCCGCGATTCAGACTCCGAAGACATCTTTGATTTAAGGTTGATTACATGGGGTAAGCGTTGGGACTGTGTTCAGCTTCCAGTAAAGACAACCACATCCTGCACTGGAGGACCTGGTCACTGCTGGCTTTGCCTTCGGATTTCGGCCCCCTGCTAATGCAGACCCTGGGGACAGCAGCGATGGCTCAAGTTCTAGGATGTCAGCCACCCACAGGGAAACCTGCACGGAGTTCCTGGTTCTCCACTTAACGCCCCACTGCGGGCGTTTGGGGAGTGGACTAGTAGATGGGAACTCTGTCTCTCAAACGTAAAGGGTTGGCTACACAATCAGCTATGACATTTGGGGGCTGGTGTGGTGGTGTAAGTTAACACCATTGACACTGGCTTCCTATATCGGAAAACCTCTTCAAGTCCCAACTACTGTGTTTCTCACTCAGCTTCTTGCTAATGTCCCTGAGAAGACAGTGGAAGACACTACCCACGTAGACAGGAGACGTGGATGGCGTGCCTGGCCCCTGGCTTCCGTCTGCTCCAGACTTCCCGGGTATAGCTTTTTGGGGAGTGAACCAGGAGAAGATTTCTCTTTTTCTGTTACTCCTTTTATTGTTCTGCTTTTCAAATATTTATATAATTACTAAAAAATTATATTATTTACATATATGTTACAAACATATTTTAAGGGTGCTACTAAGGATTTCTTGATCCTACTGTGGATGTTTCCAGCAATCTTTTTTCATATATTTCCAATTTGGGATGGCTTAGTGATAAGATGTATACAATGATCTGAATATGGAGAACTCAATTCACTTCAGTCTGACAATTTAAAATGATTATTCCAATCACTTCCTTAATTATTCCTAGATAAGGGGTTCAAAAGCTCTTCAATGAGACTAGTTTTTGTTAAGCATGGACACATTAGCGCAGATGGCCCAAAATAGTGCAAAACGAAAAATGCTCAGGGAAAAGAATGGGATTGAGGAGGATGGGTATGGCTAAAGTTCCAAATGAGGGGCTGGCATTGTGGCACAGCAGGTAAAGCTGCAGCTTGCAATGCCAGCATCCCATATGGGTCGGTATTGGTTCATCTCCTGGCTGTTCCACTTCTGATCAAGCTCCCCACTAACATGCCTGGGAAAAGCAGTGAAAGATGGACCAAGTGTCTGGGCTTTGTCACCCACATGGGAGACCTGGAGAAGTTCCTTGCTCCTTGCCACTCGTACAAAAGGTAGCAGCATCCCCACTTTACACAGTGTGGGTGGCAGAGGCTGGGTTCAGGCTCTGCTCTCACACCACAGTCCCCGTGTCCTACCTGGTGGCCCACCTGGGGGAGGAAAAGTGGGTCCATGCAGCTCTAGGACTTCCTTTACCTAGAGTCAGCACCTGCTAAACACGTGCCAGACTGAATACGGGGCCACGTTGTCAGAAACAGGGCCCGACCCCTCCAGGGAACTCCTCCCTCCCACTGAGAGATGAGGGCATGACCAGGAACAATAGCATGATGATGCCTCGTGGCCCTGAGGCTGCTCTCCTTCTCACGGTTCTTGGTTGCACTGGGCCAAAATTAAGAAATCACCTTGTTTGCTCTTCTTGTGTGGCACATGTCAAAAGGAGTACGTGATACTTACGCTAGGCAGTACCACCTCTTACAAACCCCAGACACCTTCAGCAGCTCAGGGAGGCAGAGACAGGAAAAGATTCCCAGGAGCAGCTCGTCAGGAAGGGAGTCCCAGGAAACCCCTGTGAGGACACAGAGAACCCACGGATTTGTCCGTCACCACTCATTCTTGGCTCATCAGGCCTGTGGAGTTTTTTCAAGTACATTTAAGTTCACACAACATTTGGTTCAAAAGGGGGAAATGGACACTAACTGAATTTCTATTCCTCACAATTATTTTTCTGCTCAACCTGCTGCCTACGGATTCTGAGGTGAATAAGAGAATACAGCAAGTGAGTCAGGGAACACCCAGAGTTTTTCTGCTCTCCTTCTTGCCTTCAGCTCCAGCTGGACAACTGTAGGTGAGGTGGCAGGGAGAGGGGGAGTCTTCACCCTTTTAAGTGCTACTCCATGTCTAACATACTGTGAGGCCTTACAGTCTCCTGGGTGCGGCCTCAGTGGTGACCTAGGTTAAAAGGCCCTGAGTCTTCCTCCCCTGCTTGGTCAGGTTTACAGAGAGCATGCTGCAGCCCATGCACCTGCAGAGCAACAGCAACGGGGCTCTCGTTTCGGCAGTCAACAAACATCTACCAAGCCCCTTCAGTTCACATGTTAGGGAAATGGCAATAAACAGAACAAGCCTGTCGCTTTCCTGGAGGTACACTGCTAGTGAAGGGGATTCACAAACATCAAAGAAATATGCCATATATTGTAAGTAATGAGTGTAATACGGAAAAATTTAGCAGCGTGATAGAGAGTGGGCAGTTCAGAGACAAACTGTGAATCTGAGCCCAGTGGTCAGAGCCTTCCTGAACAAAGGTTTAAACCAACAAGGTGGGAGTAAGCACGGTGTGTCACAGGTGTAAGAAGCAGCAAGGAGGCGGGTGTAGCAAGTGGGAGTGAACAAGGGGGTGGTAGAGGATGAAATCAGAGAGGTAAGGGTGAGGACACGTGGGCTTTCTAGGTCATGGCTTGGACTCTGAATGACAGGAGGAATGCCTAGAAAGTTCTGAGCATAATAATGACAGGAGGAGCTAGTTTTAAAATAATCACTCTGGCTGCTCTGATCAAAATAGAGCAGGGAGTAAAGTTGATGTCAGAAGATCCTTTTTTTTCTTTTTCTTTGTCTCACAAAATCCATCTATTCAGCTGTAGAGTAAGTATTAAATTCAGATCTACAGGCTTATGGAGTAAGTCCAAAAGATTAGGATAATACAATGTGGCCAAGGCAACACACACACACAGCAAACAAATGCCAAAATGTGTTGATGAATTTAACAAGAGTCCTCTAAGTCTCCATGCTTTCAATGTACTTCTCCTCCCAGCCCCATTTAAAAGGTACCACTATTTACTGAAAGTGGGTAGCATGTCAGAAGGCTCCAAAAAATGGAATTAGAAATGCATTTATGTTGGTGCAAATATTTCTGAAATCCATGTATACTTTGTTCACAATAGCCATTTCCACCATTCTTTAAAAGATCTTTTGTATACATATTACAATTCTTACACTAAATTCATTTTTCTTTTTACATTTGTAAATTTATTCAAGAGACAGAGAGTTAAATCCATTAATTAGCTCCATAAATGCTTGCAACAGCTGGGGCCAGAATCAGGAGCCAGGAACTCATCCAAGATCTCCTAGAGGGATGGCAGAGATCCAGCCACCTGAGCCATCACTGATGCTTCCACAGATCTGCACTGGCAGAAGCTGGATCAGGAGGCAGAGTCTGGTAGTAAATCCAGGTACTCTAGTGGGGTCATCCTCACCAGTGTCTTAAGAACTGGATCAAACAGTGCCCCAGTTTACCTTTTAATTCCATCTCTATGAGCACTAGAAGCTCTCTCCCTCACATCTCACCAGGCATTGTGTAAGTGGTCTGAGGCCAGTGCAGAAGAGCACTGGGGTGGCTAACAAACATCACAACTATTGCCTCCAGGCACTATCCCCACACAACCAGGGCCAGGTCTAAATCAGAGTCCTGGAATGGCACCCATCAAATATTTAGCCTGAGGCACACACTGCTTAACATAAAGTTCAAAGTTTTCTTGCCAGGGTCCAGCTTGTTTTAACTAGGCGTATTATTTAGAAATGTGATCCAGTCATTTGGAACTACCTGTAGTTCCTAGAATGAGTCATTCTGTGTCATGTCTCAATGCCTCTCCCTCCACTGCCATTCATTTAAAATCAAATTGCTATTAATCCTCAGCTCCTATAGAGGGCCTTCCATGACACCATCAGTGACAGGTCACTTAATACTGATTTCATTAAGATTTAATTATTAAAAAAATTTAGTTATTCATTTGAAAGGTAGAGTTAAAGACAGAGAGAGAGAGAGAGAGAGAGATATCTTCCATTTGCTGGTTTACTCCCTAAGTGACCACAATGGCCAGGGTTGGACTGGCCAGAGCCATCTGGGCATCCTGTATGGGTACAGGGACCCAAGGATGTGGGTCATCTTTGTTGCTTTCTCATGTGCATTAGAAGGGATCAGGATCAGAAGTGAAATAGTCAGGACTCAGATCATGAGTGAAGGAACCAACAGGTGGACAATTTCTCTCCTTCTTTATCTCTCTTTCAAAGAAACATCGGAATTAATTCTCGAAAACAACTCAAAACAAATCCAGGAGACCATCTAGAACTTGCCTCAGAGCTGTCCCACCTGAGCAAAAGCATGCTGAGGAATGAATTCACCATCTGCTGCTGGTCATGACTGCAAGCTCAGTGCTACCTCCTAAGCTTTCCTGCCCACACAGAGTCCTCAAATTGGTCTAAGTCTCTGGTGTGTAGAGGAATGGTGAGCTTCAGTGGGTTATAGGAGGGACGTCGACAGTGCCTGCTGAAGACTAGTGCAGAAAGGAAATTGCTGACAAGGGCAGCACAGAAAGAAATCAAATGAGTGTAGTGCTTCTTAGTCTCCTGGTAAAGCCTAAGCAATCAGGAGTGGTCAGGACAGCAGGGGGAGGCAGGTAATTACATTCCCAGGACAATCTGACACAGCAGTGAATGCAGTGGGCAGCACAGCCAGACAATGAAGCCATGCAAACATGAGAACAGTGCAGAGTTGGAACGGCTTTGTATTGCACCTTCTATCCTCCCCGCACAACTCCTAGTCATCCTCTAGTTCAGCTCAAAAGCACCTGCTCAAAGAACTCCCTTCAACTCCCAAAACAGGCCAGTACTACACAGCCCCACATCCAGTGTTGCAATTGAGCACATTTAAAAAATTGTTTTTGCAGATTTATTCATTCATTTGATTGTTCATTTGAAAAGCAGTGTACTCAGAAAGGCAAAGAGAGACAAACAGACAGGGAGATTTTCCATCTGCTGGTTTACTCCCCACATGGCCACGATTTAGAGAAGTGACTCACACCCCCATGCCAGGTAGGTTTCATATTATATACAGGCAAGACTGTTGGCCTGCTAGGACCAGAGTCTCATTTGTAAGGTGATGAGCTTGCCCTGTGACTGCACTTTCAACAACCATTTTGTGGGTGTATGGCTGATGCACTAGTGTTGAAGGATGAGTTTAGGTCACAGTCCCCGCCTGGTGGCCTCATTTGGACATATACTGATAAATAAACAATTTAACAATGAGAGGTACTGTTTCCTGACCTCCTAAAAACCACTGGGCACTTACTCAAGTACACTGACGCTAACCGCTGCAACCCTGGATATGAATGAGAAATCTGTTTTAGTGGGAGTCAATAAGTTCATTAAGATGATCTTAACTATCCGATGGCAGAGCCAAAACACAAACTTTGTCTGTACTGTTCCCAAACTTTCATGCCCCAGAGTGAGCTGAAATCTGATGGTCTGCCAGGTGGCAAGAAGCACTGCAGGTGGGGGTGCAGGACACACACATGGGTGCATGATAGCAGTGGCATAGGGAAGGAAGGAGGCTGAGAGTCCCAGAGCACAACCATGTGCTCCAGCCCTCAGTCCACAGTATTGCTATCCATGGCTTATGACCTGAGGTCAACTGTAGTTTGAAAATATTAAATAGAAAATTCTAGAAACAATTTATGTATTTTAAATAGCCCCACATTTTTAACTTATTGTTATACCTAGTCTATTGTGTTAGTTACTACTGATTTCTAACTGTACCTAATTTGCAAATTATCATAGGTATAAATGAGTAGGAAAACAAATATTCAGGGTCAGTACCAGCCAGGGACCCTGGATGGACTAGAGGCACTACTGTGCCGGTCTTTGGGAGAAGGGAGGTGGGCTTCAGGAGAAGATGTAACTATGACAAAGGAACAGGCTCACACAACCAGTGACTGACAGAGTGGGAATCCAACCTCAGCTGATTTCAAATCATGCCATCTTTCTAGCCCAGCTTGTTCCAAGAGCCTGTATGTTCCTTTGTTCACAGGACTTGATTCTTCCACAAGCTTAGAAAACTGGGAATTAAACCCCTTTTGCTACCAGAAAAGAATTCAATCAAGATCAGGGAGTGAGCAGTGGCGGGGAAGTGATAACTTATTGATTAATTTATTGAGCGTTTATTGATGGATTGAGCATCCAGTGCAAGGATCAGTGGCTAACAAAATACTCAGTCTCAGCTGGCACAGGAGGAACTGAAGCTCCACTCAGCTGGCCACAGGACCACCCTAATTTTAGAGCTCCCTATGTAAGGCCACCCCCAAACTGGCTCACGTCATAGCAGATGGAACACAAGTTTGTCGTCAATTGCTGCTCTCCCAGCTGACATCCAGGCAGTGATGTGCTTCATCTAATTTTACTTGCTGAATTTAAATTTCAAAACAGCAGCCATCTGTTTCCTGGATTCCTGACTCCACAGATGCTTGGCCTATTTCCTGAGAGTAGAAGAGAAATTCAGATGTCTCCTCTCCACTAGCCTCTGCTAACACCACGTAGGCTGCACAGCAACTCCAGAGGAAGGAAAATAATGATCAAGTCAGGGTCCTGGGTCTCCCACGATATTGACAGCCCCATGGTTCAGACCAGCAAGCCTACCAGAGGTGCGACAAAGTTTCCCTCTGTTAGAAACCCATCCCAGCTCAGGATTCTCAAAATCCTCTGGGAAGAGGAGCTTGCGGGAGAGTTTCCTATGCGTTTATTTAGTGGCTGCAGTAAGGGAACTCATTTCACTGGACACATTCCTCTCTCAGAATATCACCTACACCCAGATTCAGAATAATCCCAATCATATCCGAAACGCTGGCTTTCATAATAGTTCCTTTCTTTAGGCATAGATAATCAAAAACTATACTTAAACGAGTTAATGAAAACAAGAATGGAAAAGGTGTTTGGTGCAAAAAAAAAATTCATCAAATTCACGTAATTTTCCATGAAGATTCACAAAAAATGTATCTTATGAAAAATACTGCATGGATTTCAGAATTCTTTGCTTCTAAATAAACACACCTTTTTTTCTAGCACCTCAAGTGTGTAATGCCATCACACTTATGGAAGCAGGGACAAAAGGAACAAAAGACCTGGCACCCACACCAACTATTTCTTTTTTAGGTGGGGCTCATTTCAAGCTTGTTTTAGATAGCAATCTCCCATACTTCATTTCTAGAGAACCATAAATTTTGGCATTCCAGATAAGAAGACTCACCTTCCATTTCCCACAAAACCATAATGAGAAAACCTAAGACCATACCATCTTTTCATATTTCGGATTTTTGTTTTTAATAATTGAACAAAGGTGACAAAAGCAAAACAAAATAAAACTAAACAGGGGCCCTGCTCAGCCTTATAACCCTTTACTTTTACAGAAGATTTGTTCAAACCTGGGTATAGTGGGAGGAACAAAGCAACCATGGGAACTGGGACTTGCGGGATGGGGGATATTAAGGACACAGCTTCACAACAGCAGGGTCTCTGGCCTGTTGTGTTCAAAGCTGCATTCCAAACCCTGAGAATGGTCGTACCTCACAGATGCTTGCCGAATGAATGGAAGGAGCTAGGGAATTAACGTGACTGGCGAGGAGCCCATAAATGCTCTAAGAGCTGACACTCGGGAACTGCAGGCTAAGCGGTCAAGATGCCTGCAGCCTGTGTTACAGTGTTCCAGCTCCTGACTGCAGCTTCCTGCCAAAAGCAGACGCTGGCAGGTGCCGGCGACGGCTCAAGTAATCAGATCCCTGCCACCCACCTGAGAAGCCCAGACTGCGTTCCCAGCTCCGGGTTCTGGCCTGGCCTAGCTTTAACCATTAGAGGATTGGGTCATTTGGAGATCAAGCCAGCAGATGGGGACCTGTGTCTCGGCCGCTTTCCCCTTCCTCTTGACCCCTCTTCTTCCCGCCCCCCCAAAAAAAAGAGGGAGAGAAAAAAGTTGTGAGAAAAATTTTTGCCCGGGGGACACTGAAACAGATTTCCAGGGTCTAGGACTTCTTGGATCACAATCTAAGGAATTCTGCACTTTGAACAAGTTCCCCTGGGGTTTCTGATCTACTCTGAGCTTTAGAGCCACCGTTTGAGAACTGTGGAAGGTTCTGGAATTTCAAGCAGTTTCACAGCCGTGGAAAAGCTGATCAGCAAATTGGTTCAACAGTGTTTTCCAGGGTGTTGCTTGTTTAAAGGGTGGGGAGCAGCCTTTACCAAGCTCAGAGTGTGATTTTCTTCTGGCTGCCTATTGCTGACCTCACTGCTGGGCTGCTCTTCCAGCTTCTCCTATCCACTCACTCCAGGGACCAATCAGACCTGTTCTGGTACCGGTTGCCCACATACCTTTTATCTTCCAAAATAAACAGATAATGAAGATGATTTGGCTGCCAGATGTGAGGCTGGACTGGGGCCTGCAAGGAGAGCCTGCTTAGCAAGGGACCAGCAAAAACCTGCAGCCCAGGGTCAGTCATTAGATATTTATGCACAGCAGGTGTAGCCATTTTCACCCGAGTCTTGGCCGAGCCAAAAGCCACCTGTCCTGATGACTGCACACAAAACTCCCAGGAATGGCAATCCAGCAACCCTGGCGGCCCACTGGGACTCCTCCTCAGCCTCTGTCCCTCGCCCTGTCCCACTGAGCCCGTCCTCCCCACCTATCTCAACAGTGTCCACGTCTATGCACGTACAAATGCACACTGCTGGATGACTCTGTCCTCTAAGGCCTGTCTCTCCTTGGCAATAACCAAAACAAAGGTCACTATCTTTTCTCTCTTTGCGTAACTGCATTTTTGAGGTCCACTACTTATACTTACTGATGGGACCAGGCTTGGTAGCTTGCTTCATTTTTGGAACCTCTACTTTCTTCAAGTGGAAGGAGAATCACCTACACCCACCTGAATGGGCAGCTTTGGGCTCCCTTCTGCAGAAGATATTCCCTCCCTTCGGGCCTCACAGCTTGAGCACCTGCTGCTGCTCTGTAAGCTACCACCTACTGTTACAGGTGAGCTGCTCTGATTCTTCATTCTCCCCAGTCTGACTGGTCAATTCCTAGGGAGACACAAGCCATCTCTTAAATTTTTCTTGTTCCCTTAGGGCCTCGCTTTATAAATGTCTTTGTGGATGTGGAAAGCACAGAACAATCACCTTTTATGTCAAAAGCCATCAGCACAGGTCACGTTAAGCTAAACCTGTTAAGCTTCATAGCAGGGAGTCCCTTTCACCACTTTCGGGTGGTCAAGCGCCAAACTGCGAGTGCTGTATTCCAGACATGAAAAGTAGCACCAAGTTTTGGAAGAAGTAAAATTCCACACTAACAAGATCAGACTGACAGTATTAAGGGCAAAAGGCAAAATCATCAGCGTACTGAACAGGTGTTGGAAATGCAGTCAACCAATTCTAACTGGTATTTTCACTAACTGGTATGTTACTCTTCTTCACAGATAAACTAAGGCACACTGAGCTCAAGCATCTTTCCAGGGTTGGTTATAGCACTAAGAGGATTTGAACCTAGATTTGCCTGACTTCACTATAATCCTCTACTGCCTTTAAGTCACCCAACTCCTCCTAAGGATCCCTGAGCTGTAAGATGGATAAGGCTTTTTCTCCTTAAAAAAAAAAAAAGAGTGGGAAATCAAACGATCTTTTCAAAGCAAGTAAGTAGCTAAGCAACTCCCTTTGCAAAGAAAACCAAATGGGAGATTTTAGGAATGTACTTATTGACCTTGGCTCTACACAATTTTGTCTTGATTTTTTTTTCACTGTTCTTTCCTCCATCACCCAAGTAACTCCAGCTTAGACTGACTGCATCTTCTATGATTCCAACAGCCCACTAGTTCTGTTGACTGTAACATCAGAATTCATCCAGATCTAAGCACTGCTGATCACAACCCCCATAGCTCTTTAAGTCTCTGGGTTTTTGCTCTCCACTATCGTTCAGTTTCAGCATATCAGTGTGTGCTTTTAAAAGGTTAGGTCACAGCACAGCATCTGGCCTGCTCTCCCCCAGCTCCCGAAACTTCTGGAACATGACTTCCTGATTCTCCCTTGAACAAGTATGTCATGCTTCTGCCTCAGGAGCTCTCCTTTCTGCAAGACACTGCATTGGCTTGCTCCTTTGCCCCATTTTCTCTCTGTTCAGAGGCTACTGTCTAGCTGAATCTGTTTTCCTACTCCAATGCATCGACTCCCTCTTGGCTTGTTCTATTTTTATTTTTAGACATAGCACTTAACATTTTCCAACAAACCACATAAAACATTTATCATGTTTACTATACCCCCTCATTAGAATGGAAGTTTCATGTGGTAGAATTATTTATTTTTGCCTTACCGCAGCACCCCCAAGGCCTAGTACGGGGCATGTACCCAGCAGGAAAGTGCTAAATTACTGCTGGAATGATTTACTAGTAGGAAAAACGGATAATCCCCCTTGTCCATGCACTGTGTTTACTCTGTGGCTCTGGAGACTGGGTTCCTGATCCAGTCTGGTCAGGTGGAAGGCAGCCATTCACCTGCTTGAGAAACCAGGCACTAGGGCGCTGGGGAACAGGGACAACAGGGTGAGTGTTAACGTGTCAACCCATGCCCACTCTGGAGAAGGCGCCAGGGAAGAGTAGGCTCAAATCTGGAATCCATTCCAACAGCTCAGGCAGCAGATGACGAGGGCTTGGGCGAGAGGGGAAGACGCAATAACTGACTGGATGCTGGAGACTGGGGCGAACTGACAGGTTGGGGCTGGGTAACTGAATAGCTGACACCATAATCCTAGCCAGAGCAACACACTGGGTGGGAGAAGCCCCCTGGGAGGGGACCCGGGAGACAAGTGCCCTCCACTGAGCACAGCCCTCACTTTGGCCGTCCATTGACTGCAAGTAAGGCAAAAACCTTCCTTAGAGGCACAAAGCAGGGGCTTGTAAACAAAAGGGATCCGAAAAGGTCATTGTTTCAATTCCTACTTATCAGTGCCATGGAGCAGGCCTCTGGACAGGCTGATTCCCTTCTCAGGAAGCAGGGGAAGGCTGACATTGCGACACCCACGGTGGACCTGCAGATACCTCTCTCCCAAGATTCTCAACAACTTGCCCCACTGCCTGGAAAACGAATTCGGTTTTAGGCCATCTGAACAGGGACCCATCGTCAAGGACCCTAAACCAAAGTTTGGCAGCGAAAGCTTAGTCCAGTGCAGCCTTTCCCCTTAAGCCACAGTCTCATCCTCCCAAGGCTGCAGCCTACCTGGAAGGTTTTCTCTGTTGAGCTTGGGTCTGCGGATAATCACGAAGTCTTTCTCGTTGCCTTTGCTCTTGAGCCGTTTCCGCGGGGGGCTCTGCGGGTGGCCCACGTTGGAGAGCAGCTCCTGAGGGATGTTCTCGCTGTCCACCTCCTCCTTCTCCAGGGCGGAGACCCCCATGCCTGACAGCAGCTCAGAAGTCTTGCTGGAATCCCATCCCCACGTGAAGCTGGTGCTGATGTTGCCGCTCTGATCCGGGATCTCCTGGAGGTGTTTCCTGTGGAAGGGCACAATGCCCGCGTTCCTTTCTCGCGCACACGCGTGAATCGTGCCAAGGTGGGCATCGAGGAGGCTGCCAGCTAGGGCACTGTCGGAAACCTTCACCGCCAACTAATACAAGGGACATTGATTTTGATACGCCCGTGGCAAGTTCCCCAGGAACGTGGCAGAAAATAAAACGAGAGGGAGGAAAAAAAAAAAAAAAAAAGAACCGGAAAGACTTTGTGCAGAAGGCCTCGAGCATTGCTTTCACAAGCAGGGAACAAGCCAAAGGAAGAAGAGCCATCCCACAGTGCGTGGAAAACGGGGAAGCCAAAGAACACGCGAGCACCGAGTCCCGTCACGAAAGCATCCATCCACCCACACTTTCCTCAGGAAGGGTCTAGTCGCAACACGGCGTTCGCCACAGCATTACGAGAAGTAGCAGTATTTGAGGCCTAAAAGAAGAAAGACGGTCCATTCAGGTTCTGCCCCCTTTTTCCACAATTGGCTTACCTGTGCATGGTTGCCCACAAGGTTCGGAGGTTTTAACTTGGGGTGCCTTCACCACAGAGCCGCCCGCCTCTCGGATGCCCGCTTTGGCGCGCAGCGGCTCGAAGCGTGCGGCTCCAGCCCCCCGGCGCCCGACCCGCGAACACTAGTAACGCTCCATCCCCGCCGCGCGCGCAGGCTGCAGCCCGCTCTCCCCGACGACCGCCGTCGGCGGCGCCCGCAGCCTGCTGGGAATTGTAGTCCCGTCTCGTAGTCCGAAGCGTTATTACTACTTCCTTCCCTGCCCGCTTCGCCCGCCCTCTGGATACCCACAATCCCACGCGGTGTGGGGCCGACCGGCCCACCGGGGTAGGCGGGGAAGCGGAAGCGGGCGGTGCTGCGGCTGACGGGGAAATGTCAGTCGCTTGACTGCTGACGGGTTTTCAGCCCCACCGGGAGCTCGCGGGCCTTCTGGCGACCGCCTCCTCGGTCCCCTCCGAGAGGAGGTCCCAGACTCTAGACAGTCTGTGGCGGACACGGAGTTTCCCGGAACCTTCCAGTTGCTGTCTGGCGAGATCGGACGGTGAGCCTAAGGGAAAGCGCGTGCGACTCTGGGTTCGGGGCTCGAGCCCAAGGGGAGACGGAGGGGAATCGGGGACATCCCGAGGAGCCGCCCCTAAAGGGCCTACGGCCCCCCGCCGCTGAGTGGGAGCAGTGGCCCTGCCCACTGGCTGTGTGAGAGGCGACCGGGAAGCTTCACCTGGGGAGAAAGACGGGCGACCCTTGGGACTGGGTCTATGGAGTGAAGCTTCCCGTCCTTTGTAAAACTGACAGCGACGATGCACGTCGGAGTGAGGGTCAGATCTGATCACGCGCCGTGACAGTGTTGTGTAAACTCCAGTGCAGGCCATGGTTTAATCTGAGGGGCGCGGGAGATTGCAGCAGGGAAAACGCGAATCCCTCTCTCTGGCAGCCTCGACAGGTCTCATAAACACTAGTAAGGCAATAAGTAAGACTGCAACTGTGAGGCTTGCACAGGGTTTGACCAGTGTAGCGCCAGGGAGCGCCTGCAAAGACTTTCGGTGCCCCTGACCCAACCAACCAACTGCATCTTAATGGGCATCACCCGCCCCCTTAAAGAGCTGCTCTTTCAGCCCATCTTCTGAGAAGAGGTTGGAAGCGATTAGAGAAAATGTGCCGTATTACAGGTTGAATAACCAGGCGAAATTGTGCAACCCGTACCTGCAAGTGTGACCCTGGGCAAGCAGGGAGGGAGACAGATTCAAAGCCTCATACAAATGAAGCGGATCTAGGAGGTTCAAGAGTAAGCTGGCCAGCTTGATCAAAAATGCAGTATTAAGTCATAGGACATACCCTCGTGGGGTTCGGGGGAGGGGAGAAACCGATTGGCTTTATGTTAGAATTAGACTTCCCTTGTCCAGACTGGTGCTGAACTTGAAAAGTAACTAGCTCTTGAGGAGGGTTTTTTCCTGAACCTTTTCAAGTTTGTTCTTGAAAGTGAGCTTGGTGTAAAGAAGAGATCTCTTCACTTGCCGTCTGATTGTTTATTGGTAAAGAATATTGATGGTGCTCAAAATTCATTACAGTAATGTCCTATATAGTATATTTTAAAACGCAACATCCTGATTCTTTCTCCATAAATTTACACTTACATTCAGGAGAAAGCTGTTGGCTCTGAAAACACCTTCTTTCCCTTAAGATTGCCAGCTCACCGAAGAGAATGTTTTTAACAAAATACAGAAAACCTTTGAACAAGGTTACAGCTTCCTTTAGTAGAATAAATGAGAGCTTGTAAACTGTTGGAGGTAAAAAGAATAAACAAGGGAAAAATTATACACCTTGATACCAGGATATAAAGTGGGAGAGGCCACCTCCAATATAAAGCTCATGGATGGGAAAGTCTGGCAGGCTGGTGCTGATCGTAAAGACAGGCGGTGTTCTCATGTGGGCCTGGCTTCAGCTAGGAGCTCCCTGAGAACTGGCATATGTGACTGTCTGAACTCCTGCCAGCAGGGTCTCCTGGGGGCTTCAGGGAGAGCCTGGCAGGCAGGAAAACCCACCTTCTATCACACAAATGCATACTTTCCTCTCTATTTGTCCTGATAACAAGCATACAGCTTGCTAGTATGGGAATAATCTGTTCACATCCCCTTTAATCATATCTTTTTTGTTAATAGAGTAAAAGTTTAAGTTGGTGTATGCAGTTCTTTTGAGTATATTTGGCAAGGAATTGCTTTCATTGAAGACTTCAGATTACCAGCTACATAGAGATTACAGTTTATTCCTTTAAAGAGCTGCACTATGATCGCTACAGATGTAGGGTATTTTCTTGATTAATCTTACTGTTACTCAAGATGCCTCATTTCCAATTTAGTAAAAATAAAAAATATATATATATATTTTGTATATTTTGGGGGCCTAGCATTATGGCTCAATTGGCTAATCCATCCCCTGCAGGCGCTGGGATGCCAAATAGGCCCTGGTTCATGTCTCAGCTGCTCCATTTCCCATCTGGCACCCTGTTTGTAGGCTGGGAAAGTAAAGGAGGATGACCCAATGCTTGGGACTTATACCCACATGGGAGACCATGAAGAAGCTCCTGGCTTCTGGCATCAGATAAGCTCAGCTCTGGCCATTGTGGCCATTTGGGAAGTGAACCAGTAGATACAGGATCTTTTTCTCTGTCTCTCCTTCTTTCTGTAAATCTCACTTTCCAATAAAAAAAAAAAATCAACACATCTTTCAAATGCTAACGTTAATAGGTCAATACCACCACAAAAGACTACATTTTTCAAAATAACTAGAAATGACACTGGGGCAAGAACTTCTTAGTACTCTTTGGAAACTTCAAACAAAATGCAGAGTGACTTTGTAAATTGATAAAGTATTTATCCTACAATTTGAGCTGCTTGAGAGAGAAAAGCACTATCATTAATGCATAACTGCAAGTTGATCCCAAGAATCAGGGCACAAATGGAACCAGAAAGGACGGGCAATCATAATGGACACTTTCTGTGACTAGATCGACAGACATATATACACAGTAGATTGCTAGTCTCATTCTGGAAAATTGCACATGACAAGAGATTCCAATTAAACTGATTTGGAAGAAGAATAATGTGCGCTTTCCTTAGTTCTGTCTTAACATGAAATCTTAAAATTTCTTTAATTTTTTTTCTTCTTTTGTTATTTACCTTTAAAAAAAAAACTAGAACAATTTCAGAGAAAAGGTTTCTATTTTCCAATCACATTTCATAGTTGTGTTTATTTATTTGAATGTCAGAGTTACAGAGAGAGAGGGAGAGGTGAGAGGGAGAAAGAGGTCTTCCATCTGCTGTTTCACTCCCTGGATGGCTGCATGGATGGGGCTCGGCTAGGGAGAAACCAGGAGTTAGGAGCTTCTTCCAGATCTTTCTGTCAATCACATTTCAAAAGAGTCCTTTTCCCTGCATCAATTTTATAGCAGATTTTAGTGTTGTGCTGCAACCTAAAGCTTTGGAATAAACAGGCTGGGCCAAGAGCAAAAGAATTTTAGGTTTGATTAAATTTGCTCTGTTTTTCCATGTGGGTGGCAGGGGCCCAAGCCTTCCCAGGCACGTTAGCAGTGAGCTGGATCTGGAAGTGGAGTAGCTGGTCTGTTTTTTCTATGTATATTAGAGTTGTATATTACATTAAATAAAGTAATGGTAATGTTGCCTGTAAGGTAAAAAGATTTTTGTTAAATTCTGTATTACACATGACTCAGCATTCTATCTTGATATATAGAGAAGAATCATCACAGGAGAGTATTCGTAATTTCATCACCATGACAACTAACAATGCATTATTTGGATAATTCACATTGCATGTGGAAAGGATACTAGGATTGGAGAAGAGGGGTGCAGCTGTGACAAGGCTTTGTTGTTAGGGTGCCTCGGTTTGAAGCACAGCGTTAGCCTTACCAGCTGTAGGAACTTAAAAATTACTTACATTTTTATGCTTTCTTCTCGATTAAGCAGGCACACTAACAATTTTTCTCACTAGGTTGTGAGGTTCAGATCAATGAACTATAATAAGTACAAACATGATACTAAGAATATAGTAAGTACACTAAATGTTAGCTATTTTTTTTAAAAAAATAAGTTTATCTCACTTATTGAAAAGCAAAACCACAAAGTTCCTATCCACTGCTTCCATCCCTACATGGCTGCAATAATCGGAGCCGTGCCCGCCTGGAGCCAGGAGCTTCATCTGGATTTTCTTCAATGGGGCAGGGACTTAATGACAGTGACTAAAGTCCTTGTCTTGCAAGTGCCGGAATCCCATATGAGCACCATATCCCATGTCCCAGTTGCTCCTCTTCCCTTCCAGCTCCCTGCTTGTGGCCTGGAAAAGCAGTAGAGGACAGCCCAAGCTTGTGACCCTGCACCTGCATGGGAGACCCAGAAGAAGCTCTTGGCTCCTGGATTCAGATTGGCTCAGCTCTGGCTGTTGCTGCCACTTGGGGAGTGAACCAGTGGATGGAAGATTTTTTTTCTCTTTCTCCTTCTCTCTGTAAATCTAAGAAAAATAAATAAACCTTAAAAAAAAAAAAGACTTGGATTAACTTCCAAGCTTTCCCAAGGAATTGATCCCAGGTTAATGATCCAGCACTAACAGAAAGCTGAATCAGAAGTGGAACAACTTAGACTTGAACTAGTGCCCATTCAGGATGCCAGCATTGCAGGTAGCAGCTTAACTCAGCATGCTGCAACGCTGGCCCCACTCCACCATCCTTTTTTTTTTTTTTTTTCTTTTCTGTTTTTCATTACTAGAATTCTAAGAGTTATTTTTTTCTCAAAATAAGTCATAGTTTTCAAACTTGCATTTTTAAGATTTTATTAAATTTTAGTTGTCTTTTTCTTCTCTGCTCTTTTTCATGCCTTAAGATGAAATAATTTGTATAGTTTTCTGCTTTCTTGTAGGGGCTTTTCACATTTTGGAGTGTATGGCATATGGTTAGTTCTTCAACTCAGATATTGGGTAGCTTCAAAACATCTGACTTGTTCCCATTTTTACATTGGAGCCTGTGATATTTTACACTCCAAACTGAAGTCTCTCCATACCTGAATCTTTGGATCTGAAAGTAACAGTTACATTTGAAAGATTTAAGTTTGGATTGTCAGTAGAGGGTTGCCAGCTTTTTATCATTCAGTTGTAGTTCTGGTTCCTTTAATTGTCCATCATTAGAGTCTTTAATTGTTGGTTTTTATTATTTATGTATTTAAGTAAGGATATCTTTCTAGTACTTTCTGAGTGATGAATACTGGATTCCAATCAGAATTTTTTTGTTCAATTTCAAAGTCTTTGGTTTTGAGAGTTTGTTTGGAGGTTCTAGCAGGGGAGCGCAGCTACTCGTATACCCTTGACCGAAGACCGGTCCTCCTCTAGCCAGGATGGTCGTCCTCTTTGAGCGCGCAGCTTCGGGAGGGACACACATGGAGCGGTGAGGGAGGAAGGGGACACCCGCCTAGCCAGCCAGATCAGCAGGATCAACCCTGACGATCAGTGGGGTGACAGATGTCGCAGCCAGATCGCCCTCACATCCGAAAGTCTTTGGTTTTGACAAAATTTTTGTCGATTTTTTCTCTGTTTATATTCTTTGCCTTCAATTGCTACCATTTCTCTCCTTCTCTGACTCTTTTAACATTTTAACATCCAGGTTACAAAATGACCTTAAGCTGTAGAATTTCCATTCAGACTATGTTGAACCTGAAGAACCATCACTAACTATACAGTCCTCAAGGAACAGTACTCCAAATCAGTAACATGAGCAAACTGATTACAAACCCATCATAAAGGCATTAAAAATAATACTGTGTGCTAGCTTGATAATTAGAAGAAAGACTGAATTGGATTTTAAATATTTAAGATTTGTGGAATTGATATTTTTCAGGAAATGATAACCTCTACTTTAGACACTACAACTTGATAGAATGGATGGACTGACATTTTGATTTTCAGTAAAACAATCTTTCGATGTTGTGATGTTAATACCAACCTATGATAGCTTTAATTATCTCTCCCCTTGTTATTTGTTTGAAAGGGAGAGAGAGAGAGATCAGTCTTCCATCAGCTGACTCACTTCCCAAATGACGGCAGCAGCTGGGGCTGGGCCAGGCTGATGCCAGGAGCCTGGAGCTCCGTTTGCATCTCCGCTTCAGTCAAGTGCAGTGACTTAGGGCCATCTTCTGCTGTTTCCTCGGTGTAGTAACAGGAAGCTGGATGGGAAGTAGAACAGCCTATGTAAGCATCTAGGTAGCAGCTTAACTCACCAACCCCCCTTTTTATTTCTTAATATGTGATACTAAATTGCAATTTGAGTACTACATAATGACTATTGTGGACAGAATTTTATTTTTCTCTTTGTCCTTCAAATCTTTTTGCAAAGCTTCTTTTGGTTACAGTTCAACCAATGATCTGTAATAGTCCACTTCCACTGTGTCATGGGCCTAGAAAAAGGGCCTTGTCTTTCTGTACCACTTTTACCTTGTGAACATGGCTCCGGGAAACGTTCAGCCTCTTCACAACAGACAGCTTAAATGGTGTTAGGCTACTTTGCAGACCAAGGGAGGTGATCCTAATTTGTGAAAAGAGGCACCAGCAGCCAGTTTTGTGACCTAAGCTTGTTTCTTTTTTATAGGAATGAGGATGGGCTGTGGCTGTTGCAGTCACTGAGGATGGGATGTGAAAAGCACTTGTCTCCATTCACTGTTCTCACTTATTATTTTTGAGGCAGTGGGGAAACCATTTAAGGTCAAGTTATCCTTTAGGCCATTGAGATAGCTAGATTTTTTCTGCATGCTCAAGGATGTACTATGCCTGCTACTTTTGATCTTCATTGCAATTCATGTGAGATGATGATCCTCGTTTAACAGCTTAAATTGCACAGAGTTACACAGTGATTAAATAAAGTTGGAATTTGAAACCCAGAACAAGTAGCTGTACCTTTAAATAGGCATTTAATATCCCAGAAAAAAATTAATTTTCTATTTTATGTACTTTATATTGACTTTTAATTTTTAAATTACAAAATCTATATTTTTAAACATTTTAAACATACACATATATAAGCACAAAGAAGACAATAAGAATAATCTCTTCATTGCATGATAACAGCCAATATTAGCATTTGGTTATATATCTGTGTATGCACAAATGTATGTATCTTTAAAAAAAAAAGACTCATTTATTTGAATTGCAGTTTTATAGGGAGAAAGATGTTTCATCCACAAAGTCACTCCCTGAACAGCCACAAGGGCTGGAGAAGCCAGGAGCTTCTTTAGGTCTCCCACAGGAGCGACAGGGCCCAAGCGCTTGAGCCATCCTCTGCTGCTTTTCCCAGGTGCATCAGCGGGAAGCTGGATCAGCAGCACAGCTGGTGTTACAGGTGGCACCACCCTGTATTTCTTGTATATCCTCCCCCACATCCCACCTGTGTGCTTTCTGATACCCTTTAAGGTATTGCTCTGGATCTCTTCTAGACTTAGACAGCTGTTTTAGTCCATGTCTGCAGCAGACTTACTTTGATTTGGCTGTGGACCCCTGCTGCCATCAATCTGGCCAGAGTGGCAGGATTAGTGACTCATGAAACTTGATCCTTTTCTCAAAGGAGCAGTGGGCAGTGAGGAGGCTGGTGGATTTTGTGGACTGTTGAGTTCCAACATTTAATTTCTTTTTATATAGTTAAATGATATTGTAGTGACAAATAACGTAGTAGTTATATTTTTGTTTTCATTTTTTTTTCCTTGAAATAAGTTATCTGAAGAGAATATGATAGGACAAAGGATATATACTTTTTAAAAGTTTTTTTTTTTTATTTCTTTCTCTACCCCAGACACAAAGTTTTTTAAAATAAGTCAAGCTTGAGTTATTCAATTTTTAATGTTGCTACACTTCATTTGATAATTATTGTATGAACTGTAATTTAATTTGCACATAACTAAATTTGATGGAAAATAAGGCATTTCTTGATTTCAACAGGTAATTGAAATCTAGGCTCTAAGAAGTATTGGAACCCAGAAGTACTATCTTTCTGGACTGTAAAAAGACACAGGCTTTAAAGGTATTAACATTTCATGTTAGGGAACCCCCCCATTGTTATATCCACTTTCATGGGAGTACTAGGTCTAACCTATGTCGTAACATCAAGACTTCAGCCTGAACAGAATACATGATGTAGTTAACAGAATAAGGAAATCCTCCCCAAAAGGTACCTATACCCTAACATCCAAAAGCAACGGCAATTAGATTATCCCAGTGGCTGCATTATGACCTGATGAGCCCTAGAGAGCAGAGTTTTCCTCAGAAGAGGCCTGCGTCCAGCATGAGAAGGACTAGTTAAAGAAGCCATGGTTGCCTCTAAGCTCACATACACGTAAAAAAGGGAGGGAGAAAAGTAACTGTGAGGTGCGTGGGTGGATGTGTTAATTCACTTGACCATAGTCATTATTTTGGTCTATTTGTGTTTCAAAGCATCATGTTTACAATATAGACATTTTAAAAAAAAGATTTATTCCTTTTCTCTATTTGAAATGCAGAGTAACAGAGAAGGAAGGAGACAGAGATTTTCCATCTGCTGATTCACCCACCAAATGGCCACAGCTGCTGGAGCCTGGACCAGGCAGAAGCCAGGATCCATCCAGGTTTCCTTCCTCAGTGTCAGAGGCCCAAGTACTTCATCATCCTCAGCTGCTTTCCCAGGGACATTAACAAGGATCTGGATTGGAAACATAGTTGCCAGGACACAGATGTCATCTTAACTTGCTGTGCCACAATACTTACCCCACATCGCAGTCTTGATTCTCTATGAAGTTATTAATTCTTTAATGTACTGAACTTTGGTGGCTGCTGGTGTGTGTATAGTAGACTAAGCTGAAACCTGAAGCACATGCATCCCATATGGTTCTGGTTATCCAGCTCCCTGTAATGTGCCTGGGAAAGCAGCGAAAGATGGTCTACTTATAGAGCCCCTGTACCCACATGGAGACTCAGAGTGTTTCTTCTGGCTTCAGCCTGGCCCCAGCGCTAGCTGGTATAGCTGTTTGGGGAGTGAACCAGCAGATGGACGAGTCACTGTTCTCTGTCTCCTTTTCTCTGTCTGTAAACTCTGACTTTCAAGTAAATAGCTCAATCTTTATATAAATACATACACACACCTATATATACCCTCTTGTATCTATGTAGACAGTATTATTAACATTGATTATGTAAAGGTTAAAAATTATTCAGTACATAAAATAAATTATTTGAGTAGAGAACTTTCAAAGCATTTGTTGATGTTTACCTCATTGGCATTTATAAATAAAACTTTTAAACTATATAACTTCAATACTTGTTGATAAATTTTCTTTGTATCAAATTGTTAAGGTAGCTTTTTTGATGAAAATAAGACTGATATTAATAGGAGAAAATGGTAAATGTGTTTTGGGAACACTAGATGAATAGGAATTTCAGATAATAAAAATGGTTAGAATTAACATGAAAGAAAAATACTAGTGCAGACAAAGGAAAGGTACAAATAATCTTTACCTTTCTGTCTCCCTCATTCTCTTAGATCTTAAATTGTGGGCTATGATAATCTTAGAAAATTACTTTACTAAATATTTGTTTTCCTGGAATCTAGACAGAAATGTATCTATATAAAACATACTATTAGGACTTATAACATCTGGAAACAAACTCCAGAGGACAGTGTTTTGAAACTGTTCGCATCTGTGTTTATAACTTCTTAATTCAAGTAAGATTTTCAGCAAAATAACTTTTAAAGATACAACGTGTGTGACTTTTTAAAAGATGTCCTTTAAAGAATTGATGGGGATCCTTAATTGTCTTGTTTCAAGGTCTCTAGGATCAAAGGAGATAAAATGTGAAAGTACCTCAAATATACTGGTGCTCAATAATTTTAATTTCATATTATAGCGCAGAATTTAAGGTATATTCTAGAGTCTCCTAAAAATTTTAATTACACATTAAATCAACATTAAAAAAAGATGCGCTTTAAAAATGAATAAGCACATAGAAACTATCCCTTTCATCATATATAGTCTAATATTAAGCATGCAAGTTATCAGTTATTAAGTAATTGGTTATTTCCTTTATTAAAGCTGTGTATTTTTTTCAGTATACAATTATGATCCAGACGTGCATGTGAACAACTGCGCTTAGTCAGACTGAGCACTGAATAATGAGTGGTGCAGCTCTGGGCCTCGAGATTGTTTTTGTCTTTTTTCTGGCTCTGTTTCTACTTCATCGATATGGAGACTTTAAGAAGCAACATAAGCTTGTGATCGTTGGCACCCTTCTTGCTTGGTATCTCTGCTTTCTTATTGTCTTCATACTGCCCCTGGATGTTAGTACGGTAAGAAGTGAAACTGATGTTCATGTCACAAAAGCAGTTATAATCATTTAGCATATCTGACACTACGTTATTTCTTAAATATAGCTAAGTGATATAAGCTTATGCTTACATTTTGAATTTAAATGCTGTTTTCAGATTCTGATCATTAGAAAACATAGTGAAAATAGTAGTTTTAAGAAGATTTATTAACTGCCATATCCCTTAAGTACTTGCTAATGGTTTGGTTCTGATTTTTAAACCCTCCATCCACTGGTGTAGACAATATACAACCGATGCAAGCATGCTGCTGCAAATTCCAGCCCTCCTGAGAACAACATCACAAGGTTATCTACAACTCTCGCCCCAACTCCAAGGTATTTCTTTTTTTCTAAATATGAATGTTCCAGGCTGTAATTTGTCTTGTTTTAATTTATTTATTTGAGAGACAACAAAGAGAGAGTGACAGCTGTCATTCACTCTCCAAATGCCTATTGGCTGTCGACCCGCCAGTCTGAAGTCAGGACCTGGAAGCCCAATTGTGACTTCCCCTAAGGGTGAGAGGGCCTTGTGCACTTCACGCCATCACCTGCCAACTCCCAGGCTCCACATTAGGAGGGAGCTGGGGCTTGAGTCCAGGTGTCCTGGGAGGACGTGGCTTAGTAAATGCTATTGTAACTGCTTTGCCTGATGTCTGCCCTGGGAAATGATTTTAAAATAGTTTTTACCATCAATTTTACATTTTTAAAAGTTACTCTCAACTGTTCCTTCCACTTCTGTTTTGGTAGACTTTACTACATTGTATTCTATGTAAATCTGTTTTTTAAAAAATATGTATTGATACACAGGCCTTGCAGTAGATTGTAGTGAGAAGTTTGAAGATCTGAATTTTTAGTGCAAGTTGTTCCTCTTATTAAATATATTATTTCCAAAACTTTCATTTTCTCTCAGCCCATCTCAGAGCCAAGAAAATGGGACATGCCTTTTCTCTTTTGCCTAATTTGTAAAGTTGTGTCAAAAGGCAAGCAGATGCAATGAAAGACTCTTAACTGAATTTGATCTGTAATACTGCATCAAGGTGGAGGAATCCATCATGGGGGTAGGGTGGGGGGAGGGGTTGGGGGAATCCCAGAGCCTATGAAACTGTGTCACATAATACAGTGTAATTAAAAAAAAAAAGGCAAGCAGAGTTATGATAAAGGACAAAGTTGTGAAAAGGACAAGCTGAGTGTTTCTCATTGCACATCCTTTGAAGTTCTTATATTTCATCTACAGTAAATAAAAGTTTAAATTGTGAAAATATTGTATGGAATTCATGTGAAATTTTTATGTTAAAAAAATGGACATTGAATTAGCTTTTACCAATAATTTAAGTACTAGTTGCATGCTTCTTCATGCAGCTTTTAAAAAATCCATGAAACTAGCTTGAGTAAAGGTAAATTTAAAATGTGTTACTCCCCATTGAACAACATTTGAGATGGATGTAGGGGTGAGCATTGAACTTAGTATTTCAGATGCAAATTAAGATATCCAGATCCCATACCACAGTATATAGAACAACTCTCCATCTCTGGCTCTTAAGCCCAGCTTCCTGCTGGTGCAGAACTTTGGAGGCCGTGGTGATGGTTCAAGTGGTTGGGTTTCTACCTCCTGTGTGGGAGACCTGGATTGAGTTCCTAGCTCCTGGCTTAAGTGCCGGTCAGGGGCCTTTGTGGGCATTTGTGGGAGAGAACCACTGGATAGGAACTCTACTCTATCTTTCTGCCTCTTCGGTAAATAATAAAAATTAAGGGAAAAACTGGAGGCAAATTAGGAGCCATTCCAGACTGTTGGAAGACCTTGGATTAAAAGATATCTTTACAATCTAGGACAACTGTTTGTAAATAGAGGATTGTATTGTCAGAGACTTATCAAATCTTTAAAAACTTTTCAGACAGAATTTTGCTTAAATGTTAGCTAGCATGGATCTCTGTTAGAGCTATACTATTGTAACTTACTTATTAGTATTCCGTTGTCCAGGAATTAATCACCTAATGTCTTCCATTCCCCATAACCCAACTCAATGCAGAAAATAAACAAAAATCCCATTCTACACATGAGGTGAGTGGGTATTTCAAAGGTAATCATTAGAGATTTGATTCAAAATACCTTTACTTTCGGACTGCTGCGTTCTAAGTCATTAATTTAACACTTTGCCCTGATTTTATTCAGTAACCAGAAATACACTGAAAGTTGAAAATCGAAATTGCATTCATCTCTAAAACTGCATTATTACTTTTGTGTGTTTCTTTTCAGTTTTGTAATAAGTTTTGCATTTAGTGTTTTATTCAATATTTAGTTAGAGCCAGTAATTTAGAATTTGAATATATATGCACTTTTCTATGTGTAAAATTAGTTTCGTTGTTACTTATGATTAATTGGCTTTAAATTGTTATTGAACAGCCAACACCCATGTTTTAAGCCATGGAGTTATATTCCTGATGGAATTATGCCAATTTTCTGGAGGGTAGTATATTGGACATCACAATTTTTAACATGGTAAGTTAAATTTTTTTTTAATTAAACAGTTAATTTTCTGGGGACTAGAATTGTGGTGCAGTGGGTTAATTCCCTGCTTGTGACTTCAGCATCCCATATCAGACTGCCAATTTGAGTGCCAGCTACTCTGTCTGCAAACCACTTCCTACTCATGTGCCTGGAAAGGCAGCAGATGTTGACCCAAATGCCATCCACAAGGGAGACCCACCTGGAGTTGCCGAATTTGGCTGGTCCTAGCCTTGGCTCTTGTGGCCATTTTTTTTTTAATTTTATTTTTAAAATAATGATTATACGGTTGATCAGGGTGGGAAGGATCGAGGTTTAGAGAAAATTGGGTAAATTCATTGCTTCCAAATTTGCTTTGTCTTGTTGTTGTTTCTGGGGGAAGAGGAAAGACAAAGGGGGAAACCATTCACGACCTCCCACACGTCCCAGTACCGAGGGATGAGGAACTGCCACCTCACATCAACGCAGAGTCTCGGTGTGCACATATTCCGAGGGGTCTGTCCAAGTGGCGTGGATAGTTCTGAAATGCTGTGTTATGGCCATTTTAGGAGTGAAACAGCTAAAGAAAGATGTCTCCTTCCTTTTTCCCTCCTCCCTCACTTCCTGTCTGATGCTCTTCCAAATAAATTAATAAATTGGTAAATCTTTGCAAGATTTAAAAAAAAAACTGGAGTAAAGTTATGGTTTTTTTCTTTGAAACTTCTCACTTTGGCATATAGTGTCATTTGCTTTTTATCCTTTAAATCTTTGTCTTCTTTCTGCTGGCTCAAGTTTCTCCCATCTTAAAAGATGAAAATAAAAAGGAAAAGGAAAATCAGATAAGCAGAAACAGAATCTGCCTGTCACCGTGTCCTATCAGACACTGCTTTCTCTTCTGACCTTCAGTCCAGGCTTCTTCTGGTCCTGTTGCTATGTGAAACTGCATTTGATAAGGTCATCATCCTTCCCTGGTTTTCTTTGTATTTTCTTAGGCCAGCCTTCGAAATTAACAGCATGAGAATTACCTTCACTTCTGTGGTTCATTTCCTTAAGAGTGACCTTCTGTAGAGTCTCATCTGTAATCATTCTGATTCCGGACAGTGGATAACCATAGACTCATTGATTAATCATTCATTCTAAGTCTTCATTTTTATTCATTAGAGCCTTGGCTTTCCATTGAGTTCCGCATTTACTCACTTTGATCTCTTAGATATTCTTCAAGCAACAAAGCTTTAAAACTGGAGGCAGAGAATATTGCAAGAGGAAAACAAAACAAAACAAAAAACAAACCCCCGCAGAGTAATGCTCCTACACAGTCATGCTTATTGAATTCAGCTGGGCTGTCAACAGTGCCAGACTTGCCTTCTTTAATTCTTTAATCAGCTTACTCTCTGCTTTTTTTTTAAAATTATGTTTTTATTTCATTTTTCAAAAGATTTATTTATTTATTTTTCTTTTATTTGAAAGGCAGATTTACAGAGAAAGATCCTCCTTCTGCAGGTTCACTTCCCAGATGGCCACAGTAGCCGGGACTTGAACCAGTGCCAACACTCATTGCTGGTGCTGCAAGGCAGAGGATTATCCTGTGAGCCACCACGGTGGCTCCATTTATATCATTTCTAAGTCCTACTATTGAATTTATCTTTGTGGCTCTTTCTTGCTCCTCCCCCAAAGCACCTTCACTCAGCACAGGTGACTACTCTGTTACCATACTGTGAAAGTGAAAGTCATCAGTCGGCAACCATTGACCTTCTTCCCAGCAAACCTACTTACCTTCCCCCTCCAAGGGGCGGAGGAGAGACGGGGTGGGGAGAATCACTCTTGTCAAAGTTCATCCCTCTGGGCTCAGCAGCGTGGCCTAGCGGCTAAGGTCCTCGCCTAGAACGTGCCAGGATCCCACATGGGTGCCAGTTCTGATCCCAGCAGCTCCACTTCCTGTCCAGCTCCCTTCCTGTGGCCTGGGAAAGCAGTCAAGGACTGCCCAGAGCTTTGGGACCCTGTACCCATGTTAGTTTACTCTCCAAATGCGCACAAAAGCAAGGGCTGAGCCAGACCAAGGCAAGGAGTTCCTTTGGGGTCTCCCATGTGAGTGTTGAGGTCATTACCTGCTGTCTCCCAGTCACATCAACAGGAAGTTGCATGCACAGTGAGTTCAGGACTCAGGCTCAGGCACTCCACCACGGGATACAATGCCCAAAGTGACAGCTTCACTTGCTGCACCATTATGCCTGCCTCTTGTAATCATTTCCTAGTGGGGAAAATCATACATTAAAATTGAGATGCATTTATTTCTGGTATTTTTGAGACTGTACAAGTACATATAAATGTTTTGTTACTTAATCATATTTTTTCTGCCCTTCCAGGATTCTGTTACCTTTTATGCAGTCGTATGCAAGATCAGGAGGATTTTCCATCACTGGAAAGATTAAAACTGCTCTCATAGAAAATGCAATCTACTATGGCACTTATTTATTGATTTTTGGAGCATTTCTAATTTATGTAGCTGTAAACCCACGTTTGCATTTAGAATGGTAAGAAAACATTACTATTGTTTGTCCTTTTTAAAAATTAGTTTCTCAAGGCCTGGCATTGTAGTATAGTAGGCTGGCATCCCATAACTAGTACTAATTAGAGCCTGGACTGCTCCACTTCTGATCTAGCTCCCTGCTAAGCCCTAGGTGGCAGAAGATAGCCCAAGCACTGATGCTTTTGCCAAGCGTGTGGCAGAGCTGGAGGAAGCTCTTGGCCTGGCCCAGTCCAGCCCTGGGCTGTTGCAGTCATTTGGGGACTGTGCCAGCAGATAGAAGATCAGTCAGTCTCTTTGTCCTCTCAATCCTTCCGTAATTTTGCCTTTCAAATAAATATATGACTTTGAAAAACAAAAAAAGATTTTTATCTCATACATGTAGTTAAACAGACATTTTGACAAGATATATATATCAATCTGTGCTTTGTATAGATTCTCCAAAATGGCATCTGAATAACCTTATTGTTAAGAAAGAAAATATGAAATAACATCTTTAAAGACATTAGCTATTGTAAATGAGTTGATGCTTTGCCTATAACTATATTAAAAGCAATAACATTATTTTTGGATAGATTTCAGATTTTTTAAATGGTTTCCTTTCTCGCCTGAACTTATGGCTTATTTCTTTCTGTTTTAATTAAGTTTGAGGTCATATTTGCCCTTAGTGTAATTTTAGATTTATATATTTCCACAAAATGTAGAACTGTTTTATGCTTATTTTCTGTAATATTTTGTTAAAAATGAGATCTGAAAATTTAGGAGCAGAGCAGTAGTTGGGCCTCACTGTTTTGGTTCGTGTTTTTTTTTCCATTAATTATTCTAGATTCCAATTTCAACTGTAATAGAAGCAGTGGTTTCTATATTAACATTAATTATTGCAATAATAGTTGATTTTTCCATCAAAATCCATAGATTATCTATAATTAGTAAGTAAAAAAAATTATCTATCATTAGTAATGTAAAATTCTGCTTATCATCAGGGGAAATACTTTCTGAGAAAACATTTCATTGTTATTATTTTCAGCTTACATTTCTATAGGAAAATGTATTTATCACAGCCCTCTGCTTATGTTTTCTGTTTCTTAGGAACCAGCTTCAGACGATTGGCATTGCTGCTGCAAATACATGGGGTCTCTTTCTTCTTGTGTTACTGTTGGGATATGGCTTGGTGGAAATACCTCGATCATACTGGAATGGAGCAAAAAGAGGTTATCTGCTTATGAAGACTTACTTTAAGGCAGCCAAGCTCATGACAGAGAAAGCTGATGCAGAAGAAAATTTAGAAGATGTTATGGAGGTGAGTAAATTTAAACCTCATGAAAAGTTGTGGCTAAATTGTATGCCATTTCCTTTTACTCAATGTTGATTTTTGTTGTTTTTAGCACATGGATGGGGTTTAGACAACAGATGTTGGCAATGGGTCATCCTAGATGGATTTCTAATGGCGATTCAGCCTCGTAGGTTTTATTTGCAACCTCCAACTGGGAAAAATTCAAGATTAATCCTGTTGTTTTGGGGTAACATTTAATAGTGTTACTCTCAAAAGTCTCCTAGATCAGATGATAAATTATAAGGTCACCCTACCATAGAAATGAAAATAATGATCAGGGGACACTCTTCTTGAAAGCTTAACCCAAGGTTGTGTCTAGAAACCTCATTTGAGAACAATTACACTGCAGTTTGAATCAATAAATTGCATTTCCTATTGTAACGTTGAGCTACTTCATGTACTATGAAATGCAGGCGACTTGAGCCAGTTTCACAGCATTGTTGAAATGTAGCTTTCAATAATATACACAGAAATGCACAATAAATTACAAACTTTTATTGTTAAGAGAAATTTGATTATGAATTTGAAGATATTATTGAAGTTAGCTCACATCTTTTACTCCTCTGTGAAAATGCACCACTCAGTTATTACAGTCCAATTTAAAATCTCACATTCAAAGCTTTTCATTTGTATTAGAATAAGCTCCATTAGGCTTTAATGTTGTCTACAAAAACTAGTTTTACGCATGATAGCTCTGCAGGCTTATTCCAAGCCTCTTAACTTTCTCATATTGATTGATTTTGATTCTGTAATTTGCTAATAATAATGAAGTAGTAAAAAGTTGTTCAGATTTAGTGTTTGCCAAACACTCAACTTTGGTTCCCCAAGTTAACAATGATCACAATAGCAATTATAGAGACTGAAAACTCTTCACTAATTTACATATGTTAATATAACAATTCTTAAAACAACTCTATAAGATAAATTTGTATCCACCTTTTATTTTTTTAAGATTTATTTATTTCTATTGGGAAGTCAGATATACAGAGAGCAAGAGAGACAGAAACAGAGAGGATGATGTTCCATCCGTTAATTCACTCCCCAAGCAGCTGCAACGGCCGGAGCTAAACTGATCCAAAGCCAGGAGTCAGGAGCCTCTTCCAAGTCTCCCACACGGGCACAAGGTCCCAAGGCTTTGGGCCATCCTGAACTGCTTTCCCAGGCCACAAGCAGGGAGCTGGATGGGAAGTGGAGCTGCCTGGATCCTGGTATGTTCAAGGCGAGAACTTTTAGCTGTTAGGCTACCGTACTGGACTCAAAAGGAAGAAAAATTTTTAAAAAACACTCATGGGCCCGGGCGCGGTGGCGCAAGTGGTTAAAGGTCCTCGCCTTGCATGCCCGGGATCCCATATGGGCACCGGTTCTAATCCCGGCAGCCCCGCTTCCCTTCCAGCTCCCTGCCTGTGGCCTGGGAAAGCAGTCGAGGATGGCCCAAAGCCTTGGGACCCTGCACCCGCGTGGGAGACCCAGAAGAGGCTCCTGGCTTCGGATCGGCATAGTATCGGCCCGTTGCGCTCACTTGGGAGTGAATCATCGGACGGAAGATCTTCCTCTCTGTCTTTCCTCTCTGTATATCCGCCTTTCCAATGAAAAAATAAAAAAAAAAAAACCACTCATAAATCACTGATTATTATTAGAGCCTTTAGGGAATGGTTTGATTTTGCCTCTGGTATTGGTATGGATTATTCGTAGAGTCTATATGTTCTAAATTTTGACAGATGTAACTAAAATATTTTCCAAGTAAAGTATATCACTTTTTACTGTACATAAAGCCTGTTTTCTCAAAGTTTTAACTCATTACATTCATCAAATATATCAATTTTTAAAATAATTTTACTAGAAAACATCTCATTTTGTAATTTGTAATTTTAAACAAAGATGTATGCATTTGAGGGACAGAGGGGCAGGTTTGAGAAAGACTGAGTTTCCCATCCGTTGTTTCTACTCCCCAAGTGGGTGTAACAGTAAGCATTGGGGCCAGACCAAACCTAGCAACCAGTAAACACCCACATGGGCCTCCCATGTGCTTAGGTTAACGGCCTAAGTACGTGGGTGGTCCTGTTAGCAGGGAGCTGGATTGGAAGGATAGCTGGGACTCAGACCAGCACTCTGATATGTGATGCCAACATTGTGAGTGGCGGGATACGTGGCTGTGCCCAGACACAGCCTCTGTCATTGTTTTCAGTGAATTCAAGTATCTTGAGATGTTTATTAATCAGTGGGATTTCTTCTGTAGCCCCTTTTTCTGTTTGTGTGCAAGAGAGCTCCACACACAAAAGTTAGGGATTATTTGACATATAAATATTTTCTCACAGTTTAGTCAGTTGGTCTCTCTGTCACTAGTTTTGTATTCCTGAAAGCCTTTCTCCACCATACTGCCAGAATGTTCTTTTTGGCTTCCTACTCAGATGTTCCTTGCCTCCCAGGTTGTGAACATGCTGTTCCTTCTGCTTAAACAGTGGCTTCAACTTTTTAAACGAATTCATGAATAGTGTAGAATATTGTGACTTCTTCGCAACTACTGGCTCTAAAGATTCTTTTCCCTAACCCTTTTATGTATCTTATGTTCATTAAATTACTTATTCTTTATCACAAAACTGTAATTTTAGGCAAAGACTGCTAATACCGTGCCCTCTCGGCCTTGAATGCAGCACGGTGCTGCCGTGTAGTGTGCTCTAAATAGGCACATGTACGATGGATCAGTCAGTTGGAACAGTGCTCTAGTACAAAGCCTGCAGGTAGGGAAAAGAGCCTATGCTTTAGGACGTTTGTCATTTTTGCTTCCTCTAATTTCTTCACTCTGTTTTAGATGAGATAATTGATCTTGATGAGCAAAGTGGAGGAATACAATCCTGTTCTTTGAGGATTACCAAGTTTGATCCTTTGTGGACTTATTTATAATATTTATTCATCTTTGTGTACCAAGTAAGCAAATGATAATGAAATAAATCTAGAAAGTAATAATAAAAAAAATGAGGATCCAGATAAGGACTATTTGTTGACCTTACAATTTTACTTAAGGACCTTTGTTCAGTGAAAAGAACTTCATGTAATACTAAGTAATGTGAGTTTAAATTATACTTGTGAGAATGTCTGTAGTACTTAGTGCATTCTTATTTGAAACGTCTGATTTATAGAACTGAAAGCAGTGTTACTGTTCTTATAGGAGGTTCGTAAAGTGAATGAAAGCATCAAGTATAACCATCCATTGAGAAAATGTGTGGACACAATACTTAAGAAGGTAATCAAATATTTTCATTGAAAGTATAGATTCTATTTATTAAAAACATCAGAAAAGTATGAAAAAAAAAACCCTGTAGCTCAGGTCTTTCTGACATATGTTCATGGAAATATGAAGCATAAATCAGTAGTAATTTTAAGTGGTATTTTCCCTTATTATTACAAGCTTAGCGTTAATTATTGGCGGTTTTTTCCATGGAAATATGAAGATAACTGTGATGTCAAGTAATGTCTAATAGTCTCCATGACACAGTAATGGAGGTAACTTTTCAAACATTGTTGTATGTGGTTACTGAAGGCGTGTCTCCTACAAAAAAATTAACAAGGGTTTGATATCTTTCGATCTGCTTCTTCTATGTATTTTGCAATATACGCAGTTCATGTATCATTAAGTGGATGACTTGAAATACTGAAAACATATTTAATAAGATGTCATACAGTTAAGATTTTAATATATTAATATTGAATTAGGAGTATTGATATAATTCTAAAAATTATTATTTGTTAAGTTCTCTGTTTTTCTGTAGGTGCCCACAGAAGCATTACAATATCTCCTTTCCTATATTTTCCATCTGTGGTACTGAGTATTAGCTCACATTTATTTTGGCTATAATGATGGTTACGTTTGCTACTTTTTTAGGACTTGCCAGGAAGGTTAACTAACTTACCAAGGTTCATATAGACAACAAATTACTACTAGTACAGTAGTAACTCTAAACTACATGTTCATTTTTCTTTACATTTTCAAAAATTCAGCATCTTAGGTTTATGATAATTCTTCTATATTATGTAGGAAGTTTTATCTGGCATCTGCTTGGAATAATCCTCTTAAGTACTAGTTGCTTCGCATGTGTAGACTTCTTTGCTTCTACCCATATCTAGATAGTATATCTGAGCATAAAGATTGATAGAAGAAAGAAGAAGAAATTCATTGAGTCTCTTAAAGTATTTCGCAAAGATTCCAGAAGATCAAGATCTATTTGGGAATGCCAATAAAGGAAAATGTTATTGAGAAAATTACAGATGCTGAAGACTGAAAGATTTTTAACAAAATCATTTTTGTGTCTTTTTACATTAATATTTTAAAAATCTTCCTTTTAGTGTCCTACAGAGTATCAGGAAAAAATGGGTAGGAATATGGATGATTATGAAGATTTTGATGAAAAGCGTAATACTTACCCAAGTGAAAAAAGTCTGGTAAAATTGCATAAACAGGTAATTTGGATTATTAGTTGTAGCTATTTTACATACTTATAATTTGTTAGATTTACAATTGTCCGCAGCAAAGAGATTTTGAGTGCATGTGTGTATCATTGCCTTCGATCCTGGATTTAATCCTCTTTAGAGTGTTGTTTTTCTCAGGGGTGGTAATGGTATGGTGTTGGGGAGAGTTACTCATTGAGCATACTGTTAAATCTGTATAGAATCATTTTGATATTAACACCTCAGACCCAAACATTAAATGCTGCTAGCACCTTCCTTTCTTGTGGCAATGAAATTGGACTCCCTCATGGGGAGTTAACCACTGTTACATCAGAGCAGTAATGGCTCTGCCCATGTTTCTCCTCCTAGGTGATTTATTCAGTTCAGAGGCACCGTCGAACTCAAGTACAATGGCAAATTCTTTTGGAACAAGCATTTTATTTAGAAGATGTAGCAAAAAATGAAACTACTGCTACTCGTCAGTTTATTCACACCTTTCAGCCAGCAGAGCCAGAAAATAGACTTATCCAATATTTTTATACTCCTACAGTTGGTATGTAATTTGATACAAAATTTCCAAGTTTTATTATATTTTTTTCTGCATAAAAACATATATATGTTTCAGTAGTGAAGAGTTGAGAATTTTACTTGTGTTTTGATTATAGCACAGTATATGATAAGCTTTCCCCCCAATAACTTCTGCTTGTCCCATTATATGTAATCCATTAATTCCACTATTATTTCATAAGTAATCAGAATTCAATACAAAAATATATGTACTACGTCTACTGGCTTGAGTATGTTAGTACTATTGTTGGGAGCTTCATATGTCAATTTAAGAAGACAAACATTTCTGTCATGTGGAATGAGAAAAGCAAATAATAAACACATTAAAGTATAAGTATGTTCAATAGGCATTTGGCTATAACAATTGGCATTTGTGGAAACTTCTGGGCTGCAAATATAAATTTGGTTGCCATTAATGTTTAGTGAGCCATGGGTCCGGATAAAATCTGTAAAGAAATGATTGGAATAGAGAAGATAAGCCTAAAGAACTCCAGAATTTAGCAATAAGTTTTTTTGTTTTCAGGAGAAATCAGCAGAAAAAACTAGAAAATGTGCCAGCATCCTGTGACACGAGCATCCCATGTGGGTGCCTGTTCAAGTCCTGGCTGCTTCATTTTTAATCTGGCTCTTTGCTAGTGCCTTGGGAAGAGCTGCGAGGAATGGCCCAAATGTTTGGGCTCCTGCCACCCACACTGGTTCCTGGCTTTGGCCTGGTCTAGCCTAACCTGTGCCACCATCTAAGGAGTGAATCAGAGGATAAAAGCGTGCTTATTCAATCTCTCTCTCTCTGTCTCTGTCTCTCAGTATTTCAAATAATTAAGCAAATCTTTAAAAAAAATGTTTTGAGGACAAGAGTATGCGAAGTAACTTTTCCAATATTAAGTTCAGGTCAAGTATGAATGCTAAGATAGGATCATTGTATTTTAGTAAAGTGAAGATGGCTTTAAAATTTAAAAACCTGATTGGAACTTTGAAAGGGGCATGGAGAATAATTGCAGTCAGAATAGTAGACCCTTAGTGTTCTTGTAAAAGAACAGAGAAAAGTGACAATAGTTGACTGAAGATTGACTGGAGATAAAGGATGGAGCGTCAGAGAAGTTCTGGCTTACAGTTTGGCAATAATATTAGAGAGGAAACTTGGGGACAGTAAAGCATTTCTAGGATGGTATTTATGAGTGTTAGAGGTAAGCTGGGCAACAGTGAATGGAGAATATCAGAAGAGGAGGAAAGGCTTAGTTACACTTCAGGTGTAGATGACTTGTAGTGATGCAAACTAGGGGAAGTTCTCTGAATCACCTTAAAAAATTTTTTTTTTTCTTAGTGGATATAAAAGAGATGATTTTTTGATATTTGAGGAGGAAAGAAAAGGTACAAAATAGTTACCTAAAAGTGGACCTGCAGAAAAATGAAAGGATTATGGTAGGTTAACCAGGCAGATCCGATAACCCACCTGAAGCTAGTAATGAAGAATTTAAAGTGAGGCTGGTCAACAAAGTTGTATGTTTTTCTTTGGCAATGTCTGATGTGCCTGCTCACAGTGGCCAGGAAGTCAGGCCTAACAAGGATGTGGCTTAACAAAGCAAGCGCAGTGAACTAACATGGCACCAGGGAGCCGGGAGAACAGAGAGTAGCTATCCCCAAAGACTGTACAGTCTGAGATAGGTAATAAGAAAGGAAATAAGGATACAAGGGTATTAAGTAATTTTTTTAAAGTGATAGACTAAATGGCTAACTGGTGCAAGTGTAGTCTTACAGTTGGTTGCTAGACAAAGGTTTTGTTCAGAGACAAGGATGGTGGAATGAGATTATATGAAAGGATTGGACTTGCTGACAGTGGAACGTAGGGATAGCAATGGAGATGAGTAGCTTAGGTTCACTGGGGATAGATGACAAAATCATTATGTAAAGAAAGTGAGAGACCTGCCTGATGGAAAGGAGGGTCATACATGCAGAAACTGAAACCAGCAGGAGAAACAGGGAGGAAGATCTGTCCATTAATCCACTCCCCAAGCGGCCACAGTGGCTGGAGCTGAGCCAATCCAAAGCCAGGATCCAGGAACTTCTTCCAGGTCTCCCACGTGGGTGCAGGGTCCCAAGGCTTTGGGGTGTCCACTGCTGTTTTCCCAGGCCACAAGCAGGGAGGTGGATCGGAAGCAGGGATGCCAGGATTAGAACCAGTGCCCATATGGGATCCTGGCATGTGCAAGGCAGGGACTTTAGCTGCTAGGCTATTGGTGCTGGGCCCTTTATTTCTTTGTGTTTACCTAAATCCACAGTTAAAACCAGAATCCTCTGAAATATTCCCATACAATCTTAACTCATGGTCTTTAAATGTTAACATTTCACCATACTCATTCGGTTTATCCTTCTCAATGTATAGTCTTGAATTTTACCTTAATTGTATCCAGATTTGGTAACTCTGCCCATCAGTGCTTTCAATGTACACTTTCTAACAATAAAGACACTTTCTATCACAAATCAGGAAACAAATATGGGCACTATACTATTATTTACAGTCATGATTCAGCTTTTGCTAATTTTTATCAAAAAATATTCTTTGTTAAAAGAAAGGAAAAAGAACAATCCTGGCTCATATGGTACATTCTGTTGTCAGGTCTTCTGCATCTCCTTTAACCTAAACTTTTTCTTAGTCTTTATTTGTGGATCGTAACATGGAGGCTTTTGAAAAGCATGCTTCATTTTTCTGTTGAGTGGCCCTGATTTGAATTTGATGTTGCTACATGATTATACAGTTTCTACATGTCTGGCAGGAAGGCTGGAGCACTAATGCCTCGTTCGCAGTAAACCACAACAGGAAGTACGTAGCATAATTTTATCCCATGATTGATGATCATTTTGCTAGGGCAGTGTCAGTTTTGCCTCCATAAAGTTGATGTTTCTCTTTGGAATTAAGTATTTTGGGGAGTTGTTTTTTTTTTTTTTGAAACAATTAAATACTCTGTTGTTTTTTTTATAGTTTTCCTAATTGAAGCATTTCTTTTATCTTCCAGAATGGTATTGGGAATGTCTGTTACGCCCATGGTTTTACAGAATCCTAGCTGTGGTTTTATCCATCTTTTCTGTGATTGTCGTGTGGTCGGAGTGCACATTCTTTAGCACTACTCCTGTCTTATCCCTCTTTGCAGTCTTCATACAGCTTGCAGAAAAAACCTACAATTATATTTATATCGAGGTCAGTTTGCTTTACATCTGTCAAAAATATGATTTTTAACTGTCGTATCTTTTGCATATAGTCCTAGCTTGAAATGAAAGTTTTGATGGTTCTCACAGTAATATTGTGCATACTTCTGAAAAGAAGCTTCATAAATGTGTACAGACCATAAAAACTCAAGACGGTATGTGAGGAGGAAAGAGCATGTGTGGATGGGCTGAGTTTATGGAAGTGTTTTGGTCCTCCCCATGCCAGCGGAGCTGCAGGTTACCTTCATTTGAAGAGTTACCAAGCAAATGGGAGAACAGACTTTAAGAGGTAGATTTGGAGCTGAAGCCCTTAGGAGGTTGAACTTGCTGAGATGCAGATGACTTTCATAATTTCACTTTCTTAATGTGATTTTAAAAGTTTCTATTACTATATTTACACTGTTGATCAGTAAATATCAGCTGGAAATGGAGAATGCTTGTGATAGTATATAAAGTGATGGTTTAAAATCTGTTAGTCTCACACTGTTGTTTTTGGTTTTTCCAGATTGCCTGCTTTCTTTCCATCTTCTTTCTAAGTATCTGTGTTTATTCGACTGTGTTCAGGATTCGTGTATTTAACTATTATTACCTGGCTTCCCATCACCAGACTGATGCCTACAGCCTTCTTTTCAGTGGCATGTAAGTAGGGTTGAGTTTGTTTTTTTTTTTTTAAAAAAAGAAAAATATTTTGGAATTCTGTTTTTCTATGAGTTCATTGACTAGATTTAAATAATAGATAGCTGCTTACTGGCAGCTAAACTCTGCTTGAGATTTAGGGTTGAAATAGGTATGCGAGGTTAGGGAGAAGAAAAGTGCAGTATGCCTGAATTTATGAATTAGAACTTCAGCAGATAGATTAGTACTTAGTACCAACAATCAGAGGTTACGGAGTCAATCTGAGCTACAGTGAGTGTTCAGAGATTCTGTGGCCTGACAAAAAGGAGAGAACCTACAGGAATAATCTTTCCTGAGAAGGTTTGATTTTAAGAGAATGGCTGATCTGGACATAATAGTTTTGGTATTCATTTTGTAGCTAATTTTTTTTTAGTCACAGATATATAAGCTGAGCCAGTTGAAACGTGTGCTGTTCCTAATTTGTCTTTTTCACACAGGATGTAAGCAGGGTTAATTTTGTCCTCTCAAACTGATGTGGAATATCTACCACTGTGGACTTACAAGTTGTCTGTCTCTTCTTAAAGCAAACTGTCATTTTTAAAATGTTGGTATCTTTGGGACATTGTCCCCATAAACTTTTAAGTGACACTGATATTTGTTCTTGCTTCTGTTTTAGCAAAAATCATGTTTCTCTGATAAGGGCTCTTTTCCAACTAATATCTATTTTGGTTATTCAGACTAGATTATGTTTAGACACATTTATGACAAATTAGCATAAGTTTACTTCAGTGCAAACATTTTTGAAATCGATGTGTAATTTTTTCATAATGCACATTTTCCATTATTTTTTATGGATTTCTCATATACTACACAAGTTAATGAACATTTTAGGCACAAAATATTCTTAATATAATATAAAAAGCATTTTTCTTATGTTCTGCTTTTATAAATATTTACTGCAGGTTATTTTGTCGTTTGACTCCTCCATTGTGTCTTAATTTCTTGGGTTTGACTCACATGGACTCATCCATCTCTCACCAGAATACTCAGCCAACTGCTTATACATCTGTAAGTGTCATGAATATTAAAATTCCTTTATTTCAGAGACAGATGGCGTCAGAGAGCTGCGTTCTGATTCATTCTGGTAACAGACATTCAGTTTGGCAAAGATTGAGGCTGAAAATGGGGACCCAATGTAGGGATCCTACACTGGGAGCAGGGACCTACTTCCTTAAGCCATCATGGCTGCTTTGCAGAGTGCACGGTAGCATGGAGCTGGATTGGGAGCAGAGGCTCGACCTGAGCTGCTCTGATATGAGTTGCAGGTGTCCCATCTGTTACTAAATGTCTGCCTCTGGATTATTTGCCTATATGTAATGTTGTTGCTTTAGAATTTATTTTAATGCTGGCAGAAAAATTCTGTAGTGTATTAGATTCTTTTTTTTGTTTGTTTTATTTGACTTGGTTTTTTCAGACAACTAAAACTTTCTTTTAAAGGTCATATATGTAATTGTTAATGGCTGGATAAAGTGATTTTGTTTGTTTTATTGTTTTTAATGTTTTTCCATTTTAAAGGATTTATTTAACACTTTTTATACCATACAACATGTTTTAAACACTGACATATAACTCCTTGATGGCTGCCAGTAGACAAAAAGTATTTCTCCTATTTTAAAAAGTTTTGTAGGTGATATAGATTGGTTGAATAGTATAAAAGGACCTGATTGATACTATTAACTTTCTTATTTATAGTTATAATATCTATAAAAAGTTTTAGTTATATTTGTGAGATACAAGTTTTTCTTACAACTTCAATGAAGAGCCAATTCTTCAATCAGTCCATTTGGTTCATTTGCTTCTGCTTTTTTGACTAGTCTAAGTTTATTGATGGCTATAGATAAATTTTCTAATGATGGAAAAAAATGAAAGTACAGAACTATGCTGATTTAATTTACTTTTTTCTTGCTCTTCAGATTATGGGGTCCATGAAAGTTTTATCCTTTATTGCAGATGGATTCTATATATACTATCCAATGCTGGTGGTAATTCTCTGCATTGCTACTTATTTTAGGTAAGAATGTTAACTTTAGTTTTTCTCAGTACTTTTGGTTGGGTATGGATATCACTTCTACTTGAAACTTGGTGTTTACCTGTTAGATTTTAGTAGTTCTTTGTTTTACTGCAACTTTTGGAGAGACAGGGATAGTTTTAAGCAATATGCAAACAACTCAATATCAGCAATATACTAAATGGGGAAACGTTGGAAGCTTTCCCACTAAGATCTGAAAGTAGACAAAGATGTCCGCTTTCACAATTGCTATTCAATGTATCATTGGAAGTCCTGGCTGGAGTTAGTTAAGAAAAAGAAATGAAGGGAATTCAAACTGGAATTGAGGAATTAGAATTTTCCCTATTTACAGATGACATGGTTCTATCCATAGGAGCATCAGAAGACTCAATCAATACTCTACTGGAAATCCTAAGAGTTTGGCAGGTGGTAGGGTACAAAATCAATGAAAACATGATACAGCGTAATAATCCCCAAGTACAACATTACTTAAAGGCTCGTTGACTGGAGCAAGCATCTGGTGTAACAGTATGGTACCCTGGGCTCAGGTCCTGCCTCCTCTTCCTGTTTCATGCTGTACACCCTTGGAGGCAGCAGGTGCTGGCTTGGGCAGCTGGGCCCTGCCCCCTGCTGGGTTGAGTTCCTGGCTCCTGGCTCCAGCTAACCCACAACAGTTGTGGGCATATATAATTTCTGTGTTATCTGGTAGCTAATATAGAATGCCAAAAATGATATAGGAATGAAACAGTCACTTTAGGATATGATTGTCACTTTTAGCCCCATTTACATTCCTGCAGAAGTATGATCTTCCCACTTTTTACATGCTGAATATTATGATTAGTGGAAAATTATGCTGTGAATACAAAGTGGGTTAAAATTATTTCTGCAAAAACTGATGAGGAGAGGGAAGGAAGCGAGAAATGTTAGGAAAGCACAGGAGTGAGGGAGAATTATACCTATGGAATGCATAAAAGTTGTCTTTATATTAATAAACACTTCTTTTAGAAGAAGTAGCAGATAAGAAACTTTTCTCTACATTTCAAATAAATTAGAATTAATTCATAGAACATGAAAATGAATTTGCATAATTAATCCTTTCTAAGCCAGAATATTCTATTCTTGGAAGTTATGAATGTATATTTCAGTGTTGAAACTGCTATGTGAATATAAGAGCAAGTTGCTCTTATCATAGACAACATGGAGCATCCTGGTACAGTTGTGTTCTGAAGGTGTTCTCATGGCCTGAGTTAATGTAAGAAGTCTGAGAATAGTTTATATCCTATTCAAGGAAGTCTTGGGGATAAAGTTTTTAGAAAAGGGACAGAAAGTACTTCTTAAAAAACAGGAGTGGAGGGCCCAGCACAATAGCCTAATGGCCGCTTGGGGAGTGAATCAAGGTACAGAATAGCTCAGAGTGAACCTCTGTCTCTCCTCCTCTCTGTATATCTGCCTTTCCAATAAAAGAATAATTCTTAAAAAAAAAAACACACACAGGAATGGAGCATTTGGCATAGTGCCTAAAACATTACTTGATGTGCCCACACTCCTTATTGAAATGCCTGGTTGGGGCTCTGGCTCCCTTTCCATTCCAGATTCTTGCTGACGCAAGGCTGGGAGGAAGCTATTGATGGATAAGTAGTTGCATTCTTACCTCCCAAGTGGGAGATTAGATGGGTTCCTAGCTTCTGGTTTTGACCTGCACAGCTTTGGTTATTACATCACTAGAGAACCAACCAGTGAATGGAAGTTTTCTAACTGTCTGATTTTCAAGTAAATAAAATCATCTTTAAAAATGTTTAAATTAGTTTAAAGTGACTCTATTACTTGCCAACTTGAGTGGTACTGAAGTATAGGCTTCTTTGGGGGAGAATAATAGGCCCAAGGAACACAATGTGAAATGATGCTCTTTTTTTCTTTTAATCTATTTTTATTAGTTTGGGGACCCGTTGTTTGAATCTGCTTGGTTTCCAGCAGTTCATGGGAGATAATGATATGACATCAGACTTAATTGATGAAGGAAAAGAACTAATTAAACGAGGTAAGATTTGCCTTTTAAGATAAAAGAGGAAAGATACTTTTAAGGTATAAATGCAAAATATATAATTAACAAATCATTTAACCTATTTGAAGAGAATACCAATATAGTTTTTAAGCTAAAAATCTTCCAACAGCCGTTTTATCAAAAAGAGCTTCTGGCTCTTGGCTTCAGATTGACTTAGCTCAGGCTGTTGTGACCACTTGGAGAGTAAACCAGTGGACAGAAGATCTTTCTCTGTGTATCTCCTTCTCTTTACAATTAATAAAACCTTGTACAGTGTCAGAGTTTTTACTACTTGGTTAGAAATATATTTGCCAAGTTCTACATAATTATAAGCCAAATTAATTTAAGGAAGTGTAAGTGATACTGCATGGAAAATCATTCAAGCTAAGTCTTTTAAACAGTCTATTAGAGTATCCAGCAGTGTACTAGACATAATCCCAAACAATATATTGAATTTACTGGCATTTAATGATGCTAGGATAGGGATAAAATATGATGGGACATTGGTTGTTAGACATTCTCCACAAAAGCTGATACAGCCTTCATGCACTCTCCTTGGAAAATAATATCGAGTTGATGCCTCTTTGTTTTGCATTAATTAGTTCTCATCTGGTACATCACATCAAATCCTGGGTGAATTTTTTTTTTAGAACAAGATTGATAACTAGAATAAAATTAGACAGGGACAGCCAGAATGATACATTTATAGACTACATGCTATGGACAAAGGGGGGAAAAGCACCAAATATGTAACCTCAAGAAACTAATGAAAGACTCTGATAACAGGAAAAAAATATGAATTTAAAATAGGACTAAAAGAAAATAGAAGTTACAGAGAAACAAATATCAGTTTACCATAAAGAATGAATGTCTTTTAAAAGAGCTGTTCAGCTGGAGATAGTGGGGCCATCTCCAAGAAGGAGAGTATCTTTATCCCATGTACATGAGGTGTTCTCTCAGCTCTTTTCCAACATTAGAATATTGCATTTGATTTTGTGATCATTTTTTCAATGTCTAATTAAACCATGTTATACCAAATTTGAGGTCATTTTTCTGTCTCTAGAGAAGAGAAAGCGGCAAAGGCAAGAAGAAGGTGAAACTCGAAGAAGAGTAAGTGCAGTGTTTATTAAATTGCCATAAGCTGAAAATAAACGTGAAATATCATGAGAGTCTTACGTATTTTGAATGATTGGCTCAGGACAAAACAACAGTGATAAAATGTATTATTTAAAATTTTTACTAATATGGACAGATTCATATATATTTTATAGATATGATTTTAAGAAGATAACCATACCCCCCCAAATCCTCCATACTTCAATCTGCTTTCTTCCTTATTTGCTTTTAATTTTTAGAATAATTTCAATTTATTTTATAGTCACAGGTTTAGTGCACCACTAATCGTAATGTTCAGCAAGTGAAAGTACAGAGACCAATGTTCTGCTGGCCATAAGTAATAACCAAATCATAAGATATTGTTCTGAACTTTCATTCTTACGTTTTTTTATATCTTAACTACCACATGTCAGAGAATGTATATGATATTTTCTTTTGGGGACTGGCTTTTTTCATTAAGCAGAATGGTTCCTTTATACATTGTTGGTGAAATTGCAAACTAAGTCCAAACATTATGTAAGACAGCAGGGAAATTTCACGGCTTACCAAAATTGCGATAAGTTGCTCAGACAGAAAATTCAATGTTGCCTAGTCAAGTGAGACTGTTTTGCCTGAAAGGTTGAATTAAATCACCTTTCCGAGCTTTCTAGTCTAAGATTGGATGGGTAGGAGAAGCTGTTTTATTGCATTTGAGATAGCTTTAATTCCATATGAGTCATAGTCTAATTGTGCTTTTAAATAACTTAAATTTTGTTACTGGAAATGACTTTTCAAATCCTATATATGTTTAGTTGATTTGAGTGAAGGAAAATTTGATAATATCTTTTTCATTATTGCAGGTTTTCATACTTTTACATAACTGTGGCAAGCTTATAGTTGTAATATTGTTATTTGGACAAAATAATTTTTTATAATGATAGCTAGCAAAACTGTGAATTTCTTCATTAAAAGTTAAAACTTACAGAGATTAATTTTAATGATAAAAACCATGACAGAATTTTAAATACACTATAACTACACTAAGTGCTAATAAATTTCACATGAAAAGAATCCTGTGTCTACAACCTCTTGGCACTTACAAATGTCCAGTCCTTTTATTTTATATTTATATCTCCTCTCTAGGAGTGGAAAGAACGTTATGGACACAACAGAGAAGATTCCACAAGAAACAGAAATACTTACATGGATCTGAAAGAGTCCAATTTCTCAGATGTTAGTACTAACCGATGTAAGTTGTTTATTTTTTTAGTTTGCTTTTTTCTTAAGCTTGCTTGCAAAGCAAGATTGACAGTTAGAATTGTATGTATCTACAATGACTTTACTTTCTTACGTTCCTCAGTATATGCTAGGGAAAACACAGGTAGGAGGGGAAGGAGACCAGTGACTAGTTACACTAAAATGAGACAGAAGCCATTTGCCTTTGAGGAGGTACCAAGAAACCTGTGTTAAACCTTGCACTGAGCAAGAAGCAGGCAATGGATATTTGTCTTTTAGCAATAATATCGTTGAGAGCGCTCTACCACTGAGGTTCCAGTAAGGGGTGTTTTAATTCGAAGGGAGAATGCATGCAGGACATCGTTACCTGAGAGAACCTTTGAAGAAGTGCTTGCTTTTCTTTGTTACTACAGCTCAAGCCTTAGACACTGATAAGAGGCCACAGTGTCAAGAAACAGGTACGGTCTGCTCCAAAGTGTTGATTTTGTCCTGGAGATGTGACTTCAGTCTATGAAGAAGCATGAAGATTTTTGGTTTAAAAGGAAGGATTTCATGGCCACATAAAGCACAATTTTACAAGACTTAGAAACCATTTCGGAGTCATTTTGGCAGTCCAGTCAAGAAATGACGAGAGCCAAAAATGGGCACTGACTGTGCTAAAAAGAAAATGTGTTTAAATGACATTTAGTGTACAATAAATAGGGGAAGGCTAAAGCTTTAGTTGAAGTTGAAAACTAGAGGGAAAGATCAGTGAAGGAATTTGGGCTCTTGGTTACCAGAGGGGAAGTTTAGAGCCTGGAAATATCAGGGTGAATGGGAAGATGGTAAGAAGTAAGAAAAACTTTGGAATGTTGAGTTAGAGAAAACCTAGAATTTCATAGGCAACACTACTTGAAATGATGAAAAGATAAAGTGGCTTACATTTAGGGCTTAGTTCAAGAGGACAAATTAAGAATATTAATGACTTGCCTTAAGTTAAAGATCTCTATCATTAAGTTGTTTTAAGGATAATTGAATTTTTTGATAATTGGATTATTTAAAACAACACTGAAAGAACTTAGTTTGTTAATGAGAAAATTAAAATAGGACAATTAATTGCAGAGCTGTATCCAACCAGTATGGTAACCATTTAGCTACCTGTAGCTGTTGAGCATATAAAATGTAGCTGGTACCCTAGGTTGAAATGATGTTTTGGTTATGTTAATTTAAATATATTAAAATTAATTTTAATCTATTTCTTTTTTCTGTTTAATGTAGCTACTAGAAAATTTTGATTTTAAATTTGTAGCATGCATTTTTTTGTTTTAAAGATTTATTTATTATTTTTATTTGAAAGGCAGATTATTTTACAGAATGAAGGAGAGATTAAGAGAGACAGAGGGAGAGAGAGATCTTTATCCACTTGTTCACTTCCCAAATGACTGCAACAGGCAGAGCTGAACTAATCCTAAGCTGGGAGCCAGGAGCTTCCTCTGGGTCTCCCGCAGGTGCAGGGTCCCAACCTCTGGTGCTTTCCCAGGCCACAAACTTAAAGCTGGCCTGGAAGTGGAGCAGCTGGGCCCAGAACCAATGCCTGTAGGGAATGCTGGCACCACAGGGCAGAGGATCAGCTTGCTGTACCTTCATGCTGACCCCATGCATTTTGAATCTGTTAGTCATTGCTTGCCTTATTCCTCATGGACAAAGACTAAGATGTTTCTGTAAGAGCTTGAGTTGATTATACTGATACCGTCAAGTCCCAGCTCCCAAGATAATATTCTCTTTGATAATATTCTCTCTGATAATGAATAATTTAGTAACATAATTTTATATTCTAATATAAATATCATGTATATCTGTCTTTGAGATTAGGCTAGCTACAAGACTAGGGAAATTCCTTCACATTTTCTGTTATGCTGTTCATAATTTTAATCATTTAGTGAGCCCTGTAGTTGTCTTGTTTTATTTCTCTCCATGCTATTCAGATCCTTTAGAATATTGATTTTTCTGTGAATCTATCAACTGATCAACTGTAACCTGTATGTTAAGAGGAAGGAGGAAGTAAATATTTTTTCCCTCCTTTTGCAGCAGTATCCAAATATACCAGGGCCAATAATAAAACTGAAAGGGACCGCATAGAGCTTCTCCAAGATGCAGAACCTTTGGATTTTAATGCAGAAACGTTCACTGATGATGCGCTTGAGTCTGAGTCAGGGAGGTAAGTCGCTGTTGTGTCATTTTGGCTCTGTTAGATTCCTCCAGAATCTAATAGCACAATGAGTCCTCAAGGTTAAAAATCACTAATACTCAAACATAAGGAAAATGATCATCATTACCACTAACTTAAAAGCATATCAAGTAATTTTTCTACCTTCTTGTCTCTTCTAATTTGAGAAATTACATCATTCAGTAGTCGTAACTGAAATTGGTGTCGTCATACAGCACAAAGTGGTATAAATTTAAAAGGAATTAAATTATAATAACAAGGATTCATAGTAATGTTTATATGCCTGCTTCTAACAGTCTTGTTTATGAAATGTATTATAAATTAAGTTGAATAGGATCACAGAACTTGTAAATGACAGGTCAAGCATTCAACTCTGTCTGCATGATGGAAATAATTCTGCTATGAGGAAATAATTAAAAGCAAAATAGCATTTGCATGAAGATGTTTACCTGTTGTTGCCTATAAGGAGCAAAAAAAACACATTCTGCTTATATTGAACAATTGAGAATTATTATCAAATTAATCTGGATATGTCTTATATCCTCTTTTTTTATAACTGTCATTTAAAAAAATTTGATACAAAGAGAACATATTTTATAGGACCAATTCTGATAACAATGCTTCCTTCTGTTTCAGTTTCCCTCCCTCTTTCCTTTCTTTTATTTTTCAGGTTTAGTAAAACCATGATTTTAATCCACTCCATAATCACAGGTTTAATGCACCACTAACCATAATATCCAATGAGTAAAACATAGAAAGACTCCATTTCTACAGGAGTATAAGCAAGGGAAAAAATAGTAATCAAATCACAAGATTCTGTTTCATTCCAATATATCTTTTGTATTCTATATTAGTTACAACAAATTAGACAAAATATATAATATCTGACTTTCTGGAGCTGAGACATTTCACTAAGCATATTGGTTCTAGTTGCATCCACATTGTTGCAAAAGACAGGATTTTATTCTTTTTCATGGGTGGCTAGTATTCCACAGTGCGTATGTGTCACATTTTCTTTACCTAATCATTAGTTGATGATCTGGTTAGATTCCGAATTGAAATGTAATAAACATGGGAATGTGAACAACTTTTTCATGTACTAATTTCATTTCACGTGGGTAAATTTCCGGGAGTGAGATGGCTGGGTTATGTTGCAGATCCATTTTCAGATTTCTGGGTAATTTCCTTACTGTCTTCCATCCATAATGGTTGTAGTAGTTTACATTGCCACCATCAGTGTATCAGTGTTCCTTTCCCCCGATATCCTGACCAGCATTTATTGTTTTTTGATGTTTGAATGATAACCATTCTAACTGGGGTGAGGTGAAACCTCACTGTGGTTTTTATTTGCATTTCCCTGTTGCCTTGGTGATTCTGAGCATTTTTTCATGTATTCCATCCTTTGAAAAATGCCTGGTCATGTCCCTTGCCCATTTCTGTACTGGATTGTTGGTTTTTTGTTGTGGTGGATCCTGGATATTAATTGTTTTTCAGTTGTGTAATTTGCACATATTTTTTCCCATTCTGTTGCTCGCCTCTTCACTTTGTCCAGTGTTTCCTCTGAAGTGTGGAAACTTCTTTGCTTGATGTAATCCCGTTTGTCTATTTTTATCTTTATTATCTGTTCATCTTTGCTAGGAAATCTTTCCTTTGCTAGTGTCTTGCTGTTTCCCTTGTTTTTCTCTATTAATTTGATGATATCAGGTTACACATTTAGATCCTTGATCCTTTTTGAATTGATTTGTGTATAAGGTAAGAGATTGTTTTTTCCAAGAATTGATTTTAGCTCGTTTATCAAAGATTAGTTGGTTGTAGATGGTTGGATTGATTTCTGGGGCTTCTATTCTTTTTCATTGGCCTGTATGTGTATCTTTGTTACAGAACCAGACTGTTTTTATTATAAATGCTCTGTGGTATCCTGAGATCAGGTATTATAATTGCCTTCAACTTTGCTTTCATTGTCTAAGAATGCTTTAGCTATTCAAGGTCTCTTGTGTTTCCATTTGAATTTTAGCATCATTTTTTCTAGATCTGAGAAGAATGTCCTGGGTATTTTGAGTGGGATTATATTGAATCTGTAAATTGTTTTGGGTAACATGGACATTGTGGTATTATTCTTCCAAACCATGAACCTGGAAGATTTTCCCCTTTTTTGTGTGTATTCTTCTGTTTATTTCTTTAATGTTTTGGAATTTTCTTTGTAGAGATTTTGACTTCCTTGGCTTAATTTATTCCAAAGTATTTAAAAATTTTTAAGCTATAGTCAGTGGTACTGATGCTACTCATTTTTTCTCAGCCATGGCATTGTTTGTAGATACAAAGGCTATTGATTTTTTGTGTGTGTCAGTTTTATAACCTGCAACTTTACCAAACTCTTTTGTGAATTCCAATAGTCTCTTAGAAGAGTGTTTGATTCCTCTCTATATGAAATCATGTTATCTACAAACAGGAGTAACTTGACTTCCTCCTTTCCAATTTGTATGCTTTTGATTTCTTTTTCTTGTCTAATGGATCTGGCTAAAATTTTCTAAAATGTGTATTAAATAACAAGGACGAAAGTGGGCATCCTTGTCTTATGTCAGATCTTAGTGGAAATGCTTCCAGCTTTTCCTCGTTTAGGATGATGATGGCTGTGAGTTTGCTTTAACTGCCTTGCATGTGTTTCAGAATGTTTCTTCTCTACCCAGTTTGCTTAACATTTTCATCATGAAAGGATGTTGAATTTTATCAAACGCTCTCTCTGCACCTATTCAGATAATTGTTTTTTTATTCCTCTCTTTGTTAGTTTATTGATTTGCATATGTTTAATTATCCCTATATACTTGGAATAAATTTCACTTAGTCCATGTGAAAGTTCTTTCTGATGTGTTGTTCGATGTAATTAGCATTTTCTTGAGGGGTTTCACATCTGTGTTCATCAGGGATATTGATCTGAAGTTCTCTTTCTTACAGTGTTTTTCTGGTTTTAGAATTAAGGTGATATTGACCTCATAGGAGGAGTTCGGGAGGATTCCCTCCCTTGTAGTTGTTTTAATATTTTGAGGCACTTTTTTTTTTTTTTTTGCTTTGTCTAGTTTTTCTTCTCTTTTGTCTTACTGAGCTATTTCCAAGGGTTTGTCTCCTAGCTCCAAAATTCTTTATTCTGCCACACCAAGGCAGGGATTTCCACTGGCTTTTTTTATTTGACATACAGAATTTCTTCTTTCTTTTTTTTTTCTTTCTTTTCTTTTTTTTTTTTTTCTTTCTTTGATGATGTTTACATAGTTGATCAGGGTGGGAAGGATCAAGGGTTAGGGGAAAGTGGGTGAGACCATTGTTTCCAAATTTTCTTTTGCATCCTTTTGCATCCCAGCATGGGGAATGGCCATCTGATATCATTTCAGGGTCCCCAACAGGGAACATGCTCCAAGAGTTCTGTTCAAGTGGATTTGATTATTCTGAGATGCTGTCAGTCTCGCTGCTCCAAGGAAGAGGAAATGCTTCTAAGGCTCATTGGCTGACATAGTCCACATTAGAATCTCCATTTGCTCAGATATTTGCTGTCAATGCTTGGCTGGGGTAGTTGTCCAATTTATTCTGCCTTCCCTCTGCACTGGTACAAGATGTCCTCTGCAGACACCAATGGACTGCCATATCTTCCATGTGCATCTGGGTGTGCCATCCACTGTTCTATCTTATCCCCTGAGGAGGCCCAGTTCTCACATGTGCACTCTATAGTCAGTCCACAGATCCTGCAATTCCCCACATGGTTGGAATTCTGAATCCAGTGGTTCAGCTGGGGAAATTCCCAAAGAAACTCCATCTGAGGTGGTCCCAGTTCTGACTCTTGTGTGTGCATACCAGTATGGAGTCTGGCTCAGTCTGTCACCCACATCAACCTACACACACTGGTAGTGGCAGTTGCTGGTTCAGTTCTGTCTCTGTCTTCATCTCTTATGTAAAACAATGGATGCTGTGGCCCAGCCCAACCCTGCCCACTATGAACTCGGCCCTCTCGTACTCCAGCAGGAATTGTAGTCTAGTGGGAGTGATCCCAAATAACACCTACCAAGCCCACCCTCAGCCCTGGTTCCTGTGCTTACTAGTATGTGCAGCAGGCTGGTCCAGTGTATTCCACATCCCATTCAGCTCTGATACACATCAATGGCCATTGAGGCCTAGTTCAACCCAACCAATCCCAATATCCAGCCCACACTCATGCTGGTGGGTGCTACTGCCTGTCTAACCAGGCCCGCCCCCAGCTCTGGTTCTTGTACTCACCAGTAGAAATTGCAGCCCATCAGAGAGGTGCCCATAGTTTATTTACTGGACCCACTCCCATTCCCAGATCTTGCGTTCTCCAGGTGGTTCTGCAATCCAGCTTGACAGGATTTGCCTCCAGTCCCTGTACATGCCCCTCATGCTGTGGCTTGCTCAACCAGCTCATGCATTCACCAGTAGATAGAGTCAGTTAGCCCAGCTTGGCTCTCCCCCTAGCCCAGTTCAAATGCAGGCCAATAGGTGCTGTAGCACACCCGGCCTGGTCTGCCTCTAGTCTCAGCTCTCACACTCACCAGTGGGAGCAGTGACCCAGCAGGCGCGCCTGCACTGCCTCCCTACTAGGCTCACACCCCTCCCTTTGCATCTCACGTGTACTGGTGGGTTCTGCAGCTGTTTGCACCCTCTACCACAGTCACAGAACACAGGACTCCCACAGTCACAGGAAGCAGGCGACCTACCCTAATCTTCTCAAGCCTCCCCCATTCAACAAATGAGCCAGAACATACTCCAAACCATCTGCCTCACCATTAGAGATTGGTCAGTGCTCCACCTTGACAAGTAGAGTCCAAATATCTTAATAGAGAGCTAGGAGAGTGCTTCGGGGGCTTGAGTGGCCACCCTGTCCCCTGCCAACTCCACAGACCAGTCTCAAACTCACTGGGAAATGTTGAATTAACTGCTCCAGTTGGGCAGTGTTGCAATGGCTTGTGCTCCTATTGAGATGGTGTTTTCTCCCTGTGGTTGTGGGTGCTTAGCTCCAGGAAAACCATGTTCCCTCCAGTCCCCAAGTGCAGGAGTCACTGACAGTATCCTGCTCACTGCTGCAAGACTGGGTTTTCTGCCCTCCTCTAGGCATTTGTCTGCTTTTTGTAGACTTCCACTGCAGATTTAGCTCCAGCTGCACCCTGGGAACTGCAGTGTGACCAGTTTTCCTCTGTTATTCTGTGGTCAGAATCAGCACATGTTTTCCCTGTCAAACCATCTTAGGTCCTCTCCTTCATTCTGTTGCACTTGTGCTCCAGAGAGAAAAAGAGTTGCTGATTGATTTGTAATTATTAATTATCGTTTTGGGTAATATCCTTGGAGGGCAGGTTTCTGCTCTCAGCTACTAGAAGACTTCACATTGTTTATGAAGTATTTAGCCAGTTCTTTTTAATGTTACTGATTTTTTTCTTCCTCTTATTGTTTTTTGCTGTCTCAGACTGATTCTTTATGTTCACCTTTTAGGTATCAGCCTGGTGGACGATATCTTTCAATGTCTCACAAGGGAATGTTTGATGATGTTTAAATTCTGAAAAAAAGGTGTAGAACAACTAACCAAGATCAACACATCAATTCAGTCTCCACGAACATCTGTGTGCTATGCAGTTTGCTTTGTATTCTCAGTGTAAACTTCCAGGATTATATATATATATATACGTATATATATAAGGCACTCAGAATTAATCACATCCTGATAATGATAGTTATTCTCTGACTACAGTATCATCTTTTCTAATAGGAATTTATTGCATACTATTTCCTAGGTGTCTGCCTTAGAAGTACAGTTGACAGTGAAGTATTTTATTCAAGGTAAACATCTGTATATGTTGAGAACAAGTTTGTTTCAGATCAGTTTTTTTTTCTTTTTCAGGAGAGTTATTTCAGAGGTTCAAGGAAGCCATAGTTATATTTTAAATAATAATATATAGTTTTAATGTGAGTTAACGTTTTTGCTGTTTCTAAGGGAAATGTTCAATCTGTGTTTCCCAAAGAAATGTAAGTGAATGGGGACCTCAAAAATAACCATATTCACAATGCCCATGTCTTAAGCCAAGGTTTACTTACCAGACATAACTGAATGTAAAAATATGTTTTTCAAATCTGATTGCAAATTCCCATGGTTCTTTGCATGTATAATTGAGGTTATATTGCAACTGATAGTGTCTTTAGCATGTATATTAAGATCAGGTGATACATTGTTCTTTCCATCTCCATAGGAATTGGATTTTATGCTTTTGGTATTGCTTTGTAAGATTTTCATTTCAGAGAGAAATATTTAACTTTATCATGATGCATATTTCAATGTTGATCATTCCACTCAAGAAAAAATCTGAAACATTAGTGGCAAATTCTTTTGTTGTCATTTTTATATAGCAAATAGTTCCACAAAATTCTCTTATCTGTGTATATAGCTGTTTATGTTTTTAGGGAAAAAATTCTGATATCTAAAGGTGAAAAGTCAATCATTTATTATTAACATGTAAATTATGTTTTCTTACGAAACAACACTATACTAAAATACGTAATTTATTTGTTGAATATGCTTATTATCATTAATTTATTATTTTACTGTTTAAGCCAATGTTGGATATTATTTTTCAGACACTAGCATTTTATTTCAAAGTAAACATGCTTGCAGAGATTTTTATGTCCCTAAAATATTTGCAGCTCTCATAGGATCCATCCTACACTGAATGACGTTACTTGAGTTTGCCCAGGGTAGCTTCATTTTAGTACCTATTATCTTTATGAAAGTAACTCCTAGCTTTCACTCTTAGTTATCTAAGTTGGAAGGTAAATTACATGGTCACCATAACGACAGGGTTACATATTGGTTGAAGGTAATCTTACTGTGAATCCTAAGTTGAAATTAATGAGTACTTGCAGGTAAATTTTTTAAAGTTGCAGTTCTGTGCAAGTGTTGAAAGGTGCGTTATCCAAATCAGCTATCCTTCTTGATCTTTTAGTTTTTATGATTTTGGAAATTATATCCTCTTTAATTATCAATGTTTGGCTTTACTGTAATGGAAAGTTGTATAGCATGCTTCTCTGAGCTCCCTCATACACAGACTTCTGTATTATGCAGTGTGGTCAGAGAGTAATAGACCAGGCAGAGATCATTTCGTACTGCTTGCAATCTCATGACCAATTCACAGAATACTTTGGGCAAACCATATAACTCTTTGGTGCCTTCATTTCATCATTTGCAGAATGAAGTTGATACTTGCCATTTACCTACCAATCTACCTCCCAAAACTACTGTGAGGGATTTGACTAGATGAGATTTAAAAGACAGAGCAAGTTGTTAGCTGTGTCATTTTTCCTAGCAGTACTTGAAGGTATTGGAATGGGGAAACGATCATCCCAGATAGGGGTCCAATTTCTTATTACAGGAAATCTTAAAATTCCCAAAGCAAAAACTCTTTTAGAATTAATTCATCAAAGTCTGTGAAAATAGTGGTCTGTGGATTTACTTGGGAATGTTTTTTCTTAAGTATATAATGTTTATTATCAGTTTTGTCATAATAGATGCTGTTATAGAAGAAGCAGAAAAAAACTACTCAATTTTACAATAAATTCTTAGGTGTCTTATGATAAATTGGCAGAAGCATGTAAAGAAATGTTATTTCCTTTAAATTACCTTTTACAGATTTAAAAGTTGAGTTTTACAGTTACATATACTCAGCAAACAGTATAGATTCCTTTTAACTTTGAGTTATTTCCAAAATACTGTTTGGTTGGTTCAGTGACCCAGAATATGCAACCTTTTAAGTAGGACTTGTCTTACCGAATTATAAACATGATCATGTACAAAGGCTACTTCTTTGAGTAATCTTGATGCAGAATGCATTGATTTAACCTTTGGTGAGTAAAAGTTTATTGTTTAAAAAAAATGTTTGTTAAGCTACCTTGTTTAAAAACTATGGCAGATGCAAATTTTCTGTTTTGAGAAGCCTATTCAGATGTAATGGCTTTTTTTTCTTTTTTTTAAGATTTACTTATTTTTCTTGGAAAGGGAGATATACAGAGAAAAGGAGAGAGAAAAAGATCTTCCATCTGCTAGTTCACTCCTCAAGTGACTGTGATGGCCAGAGCTGAGCCAATCTGAAACCAGGAACCAGGAACCCGTGAGTCTCCCAGGCCGCTGCAGGGTCCTAGGGCATTGGGCTGTCCTCTACTGCTTTTCCCAGGCACAAGCAGGGAGCTGGAAGGGAAGCAGAGCAACCAGGACACAAATGGGCACCCATATAGGATCCCAGTGCATGCAAGGTGAGGATTTAGCCATTAGGCCATTGTGTGGGCCCAAGATGTAATGGCTTTTTTGCAAAAAAATAGTACTACAAAACTCATGAACTTTACATACAAAGTACATTTGTTGAATAATTACTTTTGATGTCTTTTATTACATGATAATAAATTACTGATTATAATTTTTTAAATAGTTGTTAGGTAACCATATTCAGTAAGCCAGTAATTAAAATAATCATTCCCAAATGTAATAAGTAAGCAGTTAATTTCATGCATCATCTGTAACTTGCTACTTAACTTTTTAGTTCATAAATAACTTATTACTGATGGATAATTTTTGGAAAAAAATTCTTAAATATGAACTAAAGTATGCATCTAATTATTAAACTTTGCTTTTACCAAATAACAAAGGCTTTTAAATAATTTCAACACAAACTTTCACTTCAAAAAATATTAAGAGCTGCATCAATATACTTGAAAGTTTTTCTCATAAACGATAAATCAGAAAACTTGACAATCTGAACATTGAGGAAAAATGTTGCCCATTGATTTGCATTTAGATTTTAGCATTTATGAGGTGCTTACTTGTTAAAGTTAAGCTAAATATACACTGAAACATGGATAGAAAGGACAGCCTATGTGGTTCCAAAGTATCTTGTACCATATTAATGCAGGGATTTCATATATATTCAATGGCAAGCATCATTTAAAATACTTATAGAATGTTCTTGATGGTATATCGCTTACTATAATAAAAGAAAAATAAATTCTCTATTATAATTCACTGTTGAATAGGTGAGTTTTGTCCTTGTAATTTGAGTGAATCATGCCTTAAAAATTACAAATATAAAAGTATATTTGCACTAAGCAAAAGATGTCCCGGAAAAACCTTAGCATACTTGAATCTCCATGTGTAATCGCTTGTATTATGTTAAGTTCTGAGTATTAAGAAGTGAATGGATTTCAGGTTTTGCCTTTCCTTTCTCTTTTACTTCACCCCTTTTACACCACCCTTCAGATTTTCTGTATAATTTTTAATGTGCTAGCAATTTTTTTCTTTTGTTTTGTGTGCCCAATTGTTTTTAATGAACAGAGCATTCGAAATGAACTGCTTCTAAGAATCCTGCTATTTGAAATAGCAGTATTACGCCTAAAGTAGATACCGGACAACTAAGCAACAACTGAATGTATTTGTACCATTAGCTGGCCAGTATATGTGCTTGTAAGTCACAAAACAAGGCACTATAGTAAATGGACTTAATACAAGGTATTCAGAACCTTGAAACCTCTTTTTATGAAAAGGAATTAATGAATTGCGTGCAACATCAACAGGCGCCTTAGATGAGTCAGAACAATGTATTGGAGTTAATGGAAGTCTTGTAACTTTGAATTCCTCCCAACCCCCTTAACTCTCTCCTGCCCCCAGAGACTTAAAAGATGAGGAGATTCATCTCCCTCCCGGCTGCTAGAGACAAGGCCTTCTGATCTGCCTCGCCTCAATGGCGCAGACACTGTGCCCACCCTTCTTCTGGTTGTTTCTGGAGCGTGATGTTCCTCACTTCTAATCCTCTGATCCACCTTGTTTGGCTAAAATTTTACTTATATTTGAAAAAAGCTCATCTGTTGAGGTCAACTGAGGCCTTGCTGTAATTTTTTAATTTGTTAGAACAGCAACACTCTTGGCATATTTCTCTTCTCATGCATATCCTAAATGACAGTTGTTTCCAATACATACTTTGAGAAAAATTAAATCTTTTCTCCCTGAAAATCCTCTTTTGTGGTTATCTTAATCTCAAGTCATTTTGTAGAAGAATTTCACTGTACACAGTTCACAGGAGTAGAAAAAGTGCTTCCAGTGGCAGACAGATGTCCTCGTAACTTATTACACTGTACAGTACCATTTAGAATTGACATTAATGATGTAACTTCTCAGCCTGCTCACCTAGCACTGGATTTCTCAATGCTGGCTAGCATCTTCCCTACTGAACATACCAAGATTGAGGGGAGAGATTACATATTTATCTTTTAAAGCAATCCAATGGATTTGTTTTTGTTTATATTTTAAAAACAGTCTGAAGGATTTTTCTCATTTTAGAAAGTAGAGAATATGTGGACCTCTTTTAAATTACTATAATCCAATACATATTTATGAATTAAAACATTGAAAAGTACAGGTTATACTGTTGATGATCTTCCTTTCTGATATTTAATTTTTATAAATGTTTTATAAGTGACTCATTGTAGTATTGCTTTTAAATAGTTTAAAATTTTCACAAGATCTGTTTCCTTAGGGCAATATTCTAAAATTCAGTATTCCTGTGTAAATTCAAGCTACTCACCCATTGCTTCAGAAGCTTTTTATATTAACAGTCCCCAAGCAAAGTGTACCAAAAGCCT